AGATACGATGTATTATAAGATAGTTATAAGTTTGAGTGTGAGCAGGTTACCTGGAGCGCAAGCAGGAGGCGGGGTGCGGCGGCGTGCGGGCGACAGTGCGCTCGTGGCGCACGTACTACGCCGTGCTGTGCGGACAGCTGCTCTGCTTCTTCCGCGACCAGCACGACTTCGGCAGCGCCAAGGCAGCCGCGCCGCCCGTCGCCATACTCAATGTAACCAACATCATAAACATTTCTTGTAACCGCTCATTTAAAAAATGGCCGCTCTCTGAATCAAGTGACGTCACATTTTTATCATTCAACCATTCATTCATACGGTCTTTACACGTTATTGTATGTATGTATGTACAGGCGCGGTGCGAGGCGGCGAGCGACTACACGAAGCGGGCGAACGTGTTCCGTCTGTCGTGCGGCGACGGGGCGGAGTACCTGTTCGCCTGCGCCTCCCCACAACTGCTGGCCGAGTGGGTCGCCAAGCTCGCCTTCCACGCCCACCTGCCCCCAGAGCTGCAGCTCACACCATACAGCGAGGCCTCCGCCGCAGCCACCGCCACCACCACCACCACCACCGGCGTCACAACTGACGAGCTCAGGAGGAGGCTGCACGAGTATGTATCCCGTTATATCCAAACAAGCTTTTACCCGCGATCGCTTTTGGTATGTGCAGTATAAAAAAAAGGTTAAAATGTATTTCATACATTAATGTAGACTATGTTCTACATCTGTGCTAAATTTCATCAAGATCCATGCAGCCGTTTCAGAGATACCTTGTTATAAACATCCATACATAAGTATAAAAATTTGTGTACCTATATGTATAATTTGTTTGCATTTTGTAACATATTCTTGTTGTCCAGGAATGCATCATCATCATCATCAGCGGCGTCGTCACCTGAGCCACGTCGTGCTGGTCGCAGTCAGGCGGAGATCCTGCAGGAGCACAGGAACTCGCAACAGGAGCAGAGGAATTCACAGAAGCGCGCCTCCGCCACACCCGACAGACATATTGGTGAGAACATCGCATATAATATAGGTCGCAGGAATTTTTAAAAGTCGTTTTACTTAAAAGTGGGCGGGGCATCATGAGTGGGCGGGGCATATATTTGTATGCACTTTTATAAGCCCATAATAGACTCCATTTGCCACTAAGATGCAACGTATACTTATTGAGGTATATACGCACCCTGTTACAGAGTCAGCGGTGCTGCCGTCCCTGCCGCCACGTCAACCTCCAGCACAGCCTTCGCAGACTTCACACGAGGAGCCCGCAGATGTCGTGCTCAGGTACTAAAGTTGGTCATAAAATCAAAAAAAGAAAAACAAAATGCGTATTGAACATTAATCTGAATACGTAAAATTATAAAACACTATCAACTCATGTCTCATCATTTAACTTTGAAGCTTACTCCATATAACATAAGGTGTACAATTGCAGGAACGTGTCAGAGCGCAGCGGCAGCCCGTGGGGCAGGTCGCGCTTCTCCAACGGCAGAGATCTCAACGCAGAGTTCCTGCGCTCTCAGAGAGAGGGTGAGCACACAATCATACATTGATTTATTATTCAAATTGTCTAAATAATTGTACATTCAAGTTGGGATGATGTCGCTATAAAATACTGTGTTTTGTCCACGTCCTAAATTTGTATTGTCTTTGTTTCGTATAAATGTACATCATTGTTTAAATATTAATCATAATTTACTGAACAAAATAATAAGTAAAGCAATGACATCACAATATGACACAACTAACATTGGAGCAACAACTAACTAGCGGAGAGCGGAGCCCTGCCCCTGCCGGCCAGCGTGCCCCCCCTCCCCGACAGAGCGCCGCCCCTCCCCGACAGGGGGCCCAACCTGCCCGAGCGCGTCTCCATGATAGCAGAGAGAAGTCTCCTCGACAAGAACCCCCAGCAGTCCGTCACCGCCCTGGTCAACTCCTACCAGCAGAAGATGACCAGGAGCTGGCAGGAGAAGGACCAGAACAGGAACCCCACGTGGCAGGGCCAGGGTCAGGGACAGAATAACAACTGGCAGACGGTGGAGACCACGTCGCATTTCTACTCTGCCAGCGAGCTCGGTCAGTGCTGTAGTTAGGAGTATTCAGCTTGCATTTTATCTTGAAGCTTCAAGGAGGAGTTCTTGAGAGGTCTTAAATATAGCTGTTTTATTATTCAATTGTATATTTTATTGTTAATCTTAATTATATTGTTAACAGATTATCTATTGCATCTCATTTCTTTTTTATTTTTGCTTTTTTATTTGATTTTTTAAAATTTTACTTTTTAGATGCAGTAGTTTGTTGTTATTTCTATAGCCTTTTTTTGTAAGAAACAATATATTGTTTACTATATTATGTAGATTTTATATAACAATTATGTAAATTACTAACAATTGGATGGGTTTTTATATGTATATAAAAGTAATATACAGAAGAATCTGAATAAGTAAGAGTAAGATAAGTTTCTATAAGCGAGAAACTTATTTTTTGGATTTTACTTATCCAAGTTCAACTGTACTTTTATTATAAAATCATTTAGTTACATTTCTAAATAATCTTACTCTTTTTAAATACTTTGTATATCTTAAAGTATTACTCACTAGCTGTCTCCCGCGATTGTTCCGTACTAAATTAAAAACTTTATATGTGTTCTATATTTATGACAAATTTCATAAAAATCTATGCAAATGTTCTGGAGATACAAACATACATACATCCATACATTCAGATTTATAATACTAGTACAATAGTAAGATTGTGTTTTAGTTAGAATTAATATAAACAAAATGAATTGTTTGTAGATATATTTGACGTGATCAGACAGATGTGATGTTATTGTGCACGAGTATATTTTCTTATATACTAATATATATGTATGTGTTGTGGTGTCGGTGTGTCAGGAGCCAGCAACTTGGTGTACGTGCTGCATAGAGTGCAATGTATGTAGCCGACACGAGGGCGTTGCCTTTTATATTGCTAATAAACATTATTTTCTTCCTCACGTCTTACCTCCACGAGGTCCGACATTCAAATGATGATTTACTATTCAATTAATGTTTGTTTAGTAGTTTGTTGTAAGCTTGATCTGTGGCTTTATGTAGTTATCTAGCTTTATGTATTGCTGTTTATGTAAAATTGGGAAGCTGTTGTATTATTTTTAAGCTTTTTTTTTTCCTACAGTATTGTGTTAAATGCTTATTTTGTATATATTTAATTAGTTTATGGAATATGATATTTTAAGTTTTTTTTGTATTATACTAGATACAACACAAGATCGGATTTTTAACTATATTTAACTTACAATTGCAAGGAATGTTTCGTTAGACGTAGACATTGCTTTCCCTCGGTTTAATTCCGATGTTGTTTTAAATACTTAGTTATATTTAAGCTAAAATCATAGTATATAATTTAATATGTACATATTTTCATTATTTTTTTTTAGCTAGTTATATACAAGAGTTATGTATTATTGTTATAAAACAATGTATGTTATGTTATACAGCATACGGCGAGGGCAGTGCGGGTGCGGGTGCGGGTGCGGGTGCGGGAGGCACGCGACCAGCCTCTGTGGCCGGCAGTGGAGGCTCTCCCGCACTAGACCAGAGACCTGCCTCCAGGTAACAACACTCCTTCACTATTCATTCTAATTTTTCCTTCACAATTCTAAAAATATCGCACGGATCTGCTCAGATCACTATTCAACACGTAATATCGGCGATGCGATAATTTGACATTTTACAATTTGACTAAAAAGAATGTAATAAATAAAATCAGATCATCCGGCGAGTCGGAGCTGTCTGTCGGCGGAGTGAGCAAGGATAAGAAGGACAAGAAGGGCGTCTTCGGAGGTCTCTTCAGCAGGAAGAAGCGCCCGCAGAGTCACATGTAGAACACTGATACAACTAGCTAGACAAACTTATTTAATCCAAACAAGAATGCATTAAATTCTCTTAGAAAATATGTCACATTTTACATAGAAAATGACATAAAACGACAGTTACAGTGTGACAAGGATCGTGTTTCAACGACATGAATTGTTATTGTAATTTGTCACTCCACCGGGTCAGATAAGTTTGTCGCACTATAGTTTATATAATTCTCTATATTAAAATCATGTCTTCTTATACAAATGTATGTAAATATTTAATTTTCATAAAGTCTCTTTAAAAATATTCATAAAAATCTAGAAAGTATTTTATAATATTTGGATAAAATTATTTTCTTTTAATAAAATACAAAGCATTCCAAGTCACAAAATGCGGGACCAATTTTACAAAATTTTTATAGATCTTTTGATGAATAAACAATGAATTCAATATAAAAACATTTTAATATAGAAAACGTTTTCTTCAAAATTAACAAATCATACAAAATGTTAAAAGAAGAATTTTTGCATTATTTTTTATAAAAAAAAAAACTTTTATCTTAAGAGTAAATAATATAGATTTGGTCACAATAAAAGAAATAAGTTGTGTCAAAGGAAACTGATGAAAAAACGAATGAAAACATTCCTTATTAGTTAACTAAACAATATTGTGAAGTAATTCCTTAATTTCAAATATATTTTGGTCCGTTTCAAACTAAGTATTAAGCAATAACCGACATTAAATCTACTTTTTCTACTTTATATAGTATATAAGATTTTTTTTTATTTACTATTTAATTATTCTTTTAGTGTTAGTTTTCTTGCATAATTATATTTTTAGTCGTATTTAATATTTTTCTTAAAATCATGCAATTTTTTTCTTAAACTGGCAACATTATGATATGTCATTGATGTTTTTAGTGAAATGTAATTTGGCCATTTTTTATAGATTTATTTCTGATATTATTCAAATAGTTTTAAGTTAATTTCTGAAAATGCTTAAATATATATAATTTCTGCTGATTTTTGATTATTCTGATTATAAAGTTAGAACCGAAAGCATCTGTTTTTGTCTCGCTTCATTCTATAACTGTGGATTTTTACTAACTATTGTATAAAACATGTCTCTCTTTTTCTTATTGCTAAATTTGAGACATCAATTTATTTGAATACAAGTGTGACGTCAGTGAAACTCCACGTTAAAGTACAACGGAAGCCTTCTCTTACAGTTTAATATACAATCGTTGATTTTGCATAAGTTTATAAGATCGTTGTTTTTTTAATATTTAGTCTGTCGCTTTCGGTTCGGAAATAAAGTGACGTTTCATTAAATTTTGGCGGGAAAACATCTGTCAGTTATTTCTAGGTTATGTTAAAAGTTGGTTATCGCTATATTATGATGAATATATTTTTTGCATAATTAAATATGTGTTTGATTTTACCAAAACCTGTGATTAATTAATACAAGATATTTTTATATATCAGATATAGTTTTTATAACACCAAAGTAAAATGGCGATGGTATGAGAGGGTTGTAGTTTGCGCCGTAGCGTCTCACCACTTCGATGTTCCCCGTGTTGAAGATCCTCTGCAGACTGGCTCTGACCCTCACAGCATCAGCTACGGAAGGCCTCACGTTGGTCCCTGGCTTATTCTTTACATAGAAACTTATATCTCTCATTGGATCTTCGGATTCTTCGATGATAATTGATCGTTTTTGTATAGATTTTATCTTCCGAGGCAATATATTGACTTTTCTAACAACATCGCTAGATGTCACATCGCTTTTACGTAGTTTCTCCAAGTATTTATTTAATTTATCTCCGTGTTTTAAATTTGGGAGTTTAGGTCGTCTGAAACCTCTATTATTCTTGTAAGGATAAAGGAAACTGAAAACTAACTTCCTTTTAATGAAATCTGATCTATCTTCCATTGATTTAGGTTTTAAATGATTTTCAACATTAAGATCTTCGTGAAGTTTGTCTATATCTAGTTTGTTAGCTCCGGTCCAGGCTTTGTGCTTAGTGTAATATTCCACCATTTTCATGAGAGGCTCGTTAAGAGAGCGTTTCCTCTTAGTTCTGATGGGTTGTCTGGCCCACACGTTGGAGACGAGGTAGTTGTCGAGGACCCTGGCCTGGCGGACCTCAGGGTCTATGTGCAGTGGTGGTGGAGGCGTGGTGGTGAGGGCGCTGCTGCGGGGCGGCGGCGTCGCTGTTGTTGACGCTACTGTTATTATGTTATCTGTAAAATTTACAATGTAAGTCTTATCTTAAAAGTTAACAGCAAAGCAGCGAAACTTGGAGTAGGCATTTTAATTGAAATTATGAAACTAAAAAGCCTAACTATAATGTCTTATCCTTCCATAGAGATCAGCGCTTAGAACCCACTAACGTAAAAAATGACCGGTACTAATTTTCTGTCTGTGTACGAAGGGTGCCAATGTATGATGATAACGTATGGAGTAGAAGTAAGTTAAGACCTTCAGTAATGTTGAGCATCCTCATGAGCAGCGGCGGCAGCGACAGCGGCGCTCGGCAGCGCTCTGTGGCCGGCGCGGAGTCTGGTGAGTGCGCGGTGTGCTGGCGGAGGCAGGTCAGCAGCATTTGACGCAGCTCATCCGATATCGGCACAGACATAGGATTCACCGTCGTTGTTGTTGTTGTTCCTAATTTAACACAAGAGTTGAACAGTGAGGCAGAGGAGTAGCACATACTTTTATTGTTATTTCGCTCGCTCCCTGTCAAAATAATAATCTTCTATATCACACTAGCAGTACTACACCGCCTGCTGTACGCACAGAGAAGCATAGATTGCAAAGACTTGGAAGTCTTGTAAGTTCATGAAATGTTATTTTTCTACATGAAACACAGAATCATAATATAAGTATATCTCACTGTCAGTTTGCTTGCTGAAGACCTTGATCTCTGGCGTGTAGCCGGTCAGCTCGGCCAGCTTGTCCAGGAAATACGCCAGCCGCGTGATCAGCGCGCGCTCCTCCTTAGCGTGTGCCGAACTTTTCTACAAAGTTAAAAATGTCGCACTGTAACCATAGCCAACAAGACTGATACAAGTTTGACGAGAGGGATGTCATGTGTAGTTTCGGATTTATGTCCTAATTGTAATTGGGGTAGTCCTACATTGACTAGTAAATATATACTGGTATTAATACACTCTATATTCCCTAAAACTTGCATAAAAATAATTAATATGTCACAAGTTACTTACGTCATATTGTTTCTCATGTGCAGCCCAGGTCTGCAGCTGTCTAGCAGTGAACAGCGCCAGGTCAGCCAGGCGTCTAACATGTTCCCGCTCCCGCGTCGCTTTGTGGCACTTCGCCCTTTGAGTCTCCGCCCCTGTTAATTCTGCCTCTGTGGTACTGCGCTGTGTAGCGCCCTGCGTAGCACTCTGTGTAGCGCCCTGCGTAGTACTTTGTGTAGTATTTTGTGTGATGTTGTTTAGTGTGTTGGTGATGTTCAATATCTGCGGCCACTGCACCCTCCTCTCGCCCTGAGCCCAGTTCCAGTTCCACACGTCAGCTGTCTCGTTCCACCTCACATCGGGTAACAGAGATGCGTTCAAATTGTCGAACTGCGAATTTAAAATTTACTTATTTAGTTAGATCCGAAGGCAACTGGTGCACTTGCTCCATAGACAAATGAGGACGGGGAGAAGACTTTTTTAGAGTACTATTAAACTTTTTTAATATATTATATTTAGTCGTGTTTCAGTCAATTTATGTTAGGAAAAGACGCATTTTTTTTTCTTCAAATAACAACTGAATTTAGTAATTAATGTTCCCATATTTCTAGAAGGGATAGACTACAAAATCTTTTATTACATCTATTATAATACTATTGAAACCACTTCAAAATCACAGATTAAACAATATTTCGTATTTTTATATTTAATGTTTATACAATAAAGGATTGTTACTTATTTGTAATGATTTTCAAATGCCTCAGAAACAATAGATTTGTATATACATAAGATGAATAATTGTATATACAGAGTTATATTGAAATATTTGTTACTATATTATGGTAAATAGCTATATGTTGTATGAACACTGTTGCTATCTCTGTCTGTTCAAAGAGAATGAGAGAGATGGCTACATGGCAGTGATTCACCGTTATTTAAATGTAATATATCGATCATCTAATTATATTTCTGCGTTTTCTTAGCAGGTTGTTTTTTTTTTAATTCATCAAGTTTGTCTGTACCTCTGTAAAGTTATAAATACTGCAATTCTCCAGTAGTTGTTTGTAATTCTCTAAAGCCAGTCTCAGACCGTCTAAATACTTCGCTCCTTTATAAATATAACTGTGTACCTGCAAAAATATCCACTCATCATTTTGTACCGACACCTTTATATCTTTTCCACCTGCATTTCATCCTGCATGTGCTTACAAGATAAAATTTAACTAATTAAATAAAATTTGAGTAATAACATTTGTGCAAAACTTGATCAAATATTTGCCTAAAAAAGTAAAAACAAAAGTATCAATACTGTTTAATCCAGAATTCAAATTTTTGCTCCCAATTTGCCTAATTGAAAATTATCCAAAACTACCTGTAGCTTTTGGCTCGTACACGTACCGACACGTGTTGCCGGGCCAAAGGTCTGACATCGACTGACGGCCCTTCTACCGTTAATGTTAGTAAGATAATTATAATTTAAAAAAAACTGGAGAAATATCTTAAATGGAGCTTCAGTGTGTCAGGCATTAAGCACTTAACTGCAGAGTCTGGGTTCGAAAACCGCTATGTACTTTTAGATATTATTAGTTAGAATCCTTTGGCGCGAATGACGTGCTTTCGTTACAAAGTGTAGTGTCAGAATGAATAGTGAGGGGACATAAACATCGACATTTTAGTAAGGCTAGTGTTGAGTCAATAGACTAGCTTATTTCCGGATTATCTTGCTAACAATATTAATCTGATTTTCGATATTCAATTTACATATGTACATTTATCCGATGTTCTTACGGTGCAGGAAAACATCGTGATGCAATCTACACATTTTAAAGAAATTCAAAGGTATGTTTTAAATCGACCAATCCGCATTGGGACAGAGTGGTTGGCTATAACCTAGTAACCCTTAACGTAGGGTTGGCTGCGAGCCCCTCAGTGGGGACGTGTGAGCTGATGATGATGAAAAAATACCTTCTTCTCCATATAGCCTTCGTAACCATACTGCTGAGCGTAATTTTGTCCGCGCTGCGCCGTCACCTCCGCAAAGCTGTCGTATTCCTCGGACTCGTCGTAATAATTGTGATAATGCAGCTGGTGATAATCTTCTTGTTCCCTCTGTTTGTCCAGAAATTGTCTCACTTCATCCAAATCGACCGTCCAACACGCGACCTCCGTAAACGCGATCACAAACCATAGACAACACAAAAATGCGTTTACTTCTGTCATATTCTTCGCGCCTTTTGTTTAGTTAACACAAAAATTGATACGTGCGATCTAAAAATTAAAAAATGTTTTGTGTTAAAAGAAACAACTAATTTTAATAGTTGTACGAGGTTGGGAGTTCAAACTTGATATGAGCTTATACAATTGTGTTTTCGTATGTCGTGCTATGCCACACAAATATTATGACATCATACGTTACGTATTATAAAAAGAATTTTTTAGTAAACAATACAATTACATGTTGTGTATAATATTTGCACTACTTCTGCCACCCTGGCTTACTTATTTACTATTTGATTTACCCGAAAAGTTCAGCCGTCAGCAGTACAATCTCTAAACGATTTATCTGCATTTAAAAAAAAAACTTCTATTATTCATGCGGATGAAACTTACCTTTAGCACAAACTATAAATATGCTGTGATGGATATTACAAATACTGAAAAAAACCATTAATTTCTAAATATATTTATATACCCATAAAATATTAGAAAAATCTAAATTGGTATTATATGTCGCGCGTTGAACATAGCATCGTAAATATACAAACAAACACTGTTTTATATAAATATGATGCTATAGTGAGGATAACAATACTATGTGATCTTTACAAATAGGTTTCTAATGACGCCGAGTTTAAAACATTGTTAATAGAGAAATTATTTAAACAATAGCTAAATTATTGTTTCGCGAGTTTATATGAATTCAGTTGCTTGGCGTTTTTGAGTTTCACAAAATAAAAATGACCAAATAAACAAGAACGATCTATTAAAGAAGCTTATCAGGATTTTTGGCGCGAAACATTGTTATTACAAAATTATATTGGAAAACAACCTTGCCAAAAGATAGAAGTCCGAGGTCTCTGCCTACCCCTATAGGTTACGGGCGTGAGTTTTTTTTTCAACCTTAGCCTCCTAAATCCCTGTCAAGTTCAATATCCTTAATGACACAACTGGCTGATTCCTTATCACTTTTGCATTTTAAAAATACAAATATAACCTCACTTTAAATCAACAAAATAATATTATAACAAATAATATCTAACACTTAACTGCGTAGAATCGCTTCATTCGACTGTTTAATTATAAAAACACCTAACGGATATCCAAGTAGCCGGTGGGATGTAGTTTTTGCGGCAATGCCCCGTTTCCCGCGCTCATTGTTGTGCATTTAGCAATGCGTTTTCCTTCGATATGTATTTGTGCGTGAATGCAGTTTAATTTCTTTGTATGATAAAGAACCCATTTGGAATCGTTACCTTAAAATATGATGCAAGTGAGTATTTAAAAGATCAAGTTTGTAATATTATAAAACGATTTAATAAACTTATGTATGTCGCCGACCATTGTCTTTTCGGGAAGCTAACAGTGGTAGAGCCCGCTTTAACATCTTCGCACTAATTGTCCCGGCTCGCCCGGTGAAATACCACGACCACACAGAAGACAGGCGTCAAGTGGAAGCAATTCCGCGTTTCGTCTGATGAGTGTGCGTCCCGGAGGCCTTATATAGTCCTCTTTCCCTTCCTACACTATTTCTCATAAGAAAAAGATGGGAAGTGGACTTTCCGGAGGATGTGCATCGTCTCCTCCGTGGATTAAAGGTATGCAACGCATATGCAATTGCGTATGTCTATGGGCAACGGTCACTTCGCTATTTCAGCGATTTCAGGTGACTGCTCGCTCGTTTGCCATCTTATGATATAAATAAAAAAATAAATAAGTGAAGCTTAAGCTTTTCCAGTTAAAAATTAGTTTTTGCTTACTTTTATGTAAAATAATTGTGTTAAAAAACCAATATATCGATAGATAAAATCGTTCATCAGGGCACAACACTAATCAGTCGTGCAATGTTTATTTTAATATTCCACATTTTCATACAGACCTTGACTTCAAATTATAAAATAGTTTCAAACTCTCAACACGTACACGTAGACGCGCAACACAAACAAGGATTTGGGTGAAATAAAACAAAACGCTTAGTACATTATAATTTATTACAATATCTAAACAACTTACTCGCTAATGTAAAAGCGTAACGCGAAGTCAGTGGATTAATGAATGAATACAAAACTAAAACTCTCTTCCAGAAATAAAAGCCTGCGTTCAATCTAGCGCACTAATTGTTACATATTGTGCGTTTCCATTGTCACATATGTATTACAACAGAGTTTTTTTATAAAATTGGACAATGTAAACACACATTTAGAGAAGGACATAATATAGTGGAGATATATATTTGTCAACATACATTTTGTATGGACTTTTGATAAAAACTGACTTGAACTGAATGGCTTTTTTGCTACAAAAATGAAATCACTGGTTTAAAGTGTTGATGTAATATCTTTCACTTGGATGTTGTGTGAGGTTGTAAGAATACTGGACGTGAGGCGTGAGGTGTGAGGCGTGAGGTGTGAGGTGCATGAGGTTATCCCATCATGGGTCTGCCCATACCGCGGCCCGGCATCTGCGGCGGCGCTTCACTCTTCACGTTCTTGATTGTCTCATCTATCGACAGAATCTGGAACAAAAACACAAATTATATATAGTCACTAGCGCTCGCCCGCGACTTCACGTCTTCGCGTCTTTTTTAATGTGTATAGACCAAATGTATAGACATACAAAAAAAATGGTTTTTTCAGAATATTAATTTGTGAAAATGATTACATACAAAACACATTGGTTTAGGAATCTTTCACTTTGGGTTTGTTTCTTATGTAATGTGGTTGCATGGTGGCATGGTGTCATGGTGTCATACCTGTGTGGCGGCCTCGCACGCGGCTGTGATGGCGTTGATCTTGACAACAGCGGGCTCCCACACACAGTTCACGTAGTTATCTGCGATATCCTCCTTCTGGATGTCGATGCCGTACCACACGTCACCTGCATATATATACATACACCTTAGTTTATCACCTGAATTAATTAATTATAGAAGCTAGCAGCAAAACTAAAATAAGGTTTTTTCTTCCAATAGCAACTACCACGGAGGACTCTGCCAAAGTCTAGTTTTTGGAGGTAGAGGCATATTTTATCATTTATCAAGTGTTTTTCTGAAGTATGTCGCTTTTGTGTCCAATGTTACCGGCGTGGTGACGCTGACGCAGCTTGTTGAGCAGCCCGGTGGCATCGAGACCGGCGTTGTCGGCGAGCTGTCGCGGGATGGCCTCGAAGGCGCGCGCCGCCGCCGCCACCAGGAGCTGTTCCTTGCCAGCCACACCCTTGGAGTACTCGCGCAGGTGCTTCGATATCTCCATGTCGATTGCACCACCACCTAATAAACACAGCTAAATAATTAACTAAGTCAAGTGAAATACTTTTCTAAATGTACACTTGTATAGAGAAAATTTACGTATGTTTGTAAGATATAAATTGTTACCAGCGACAACGGCATCATTTTTGATAGTCCTGCGCACGATCATGATGGCGTCGTGCAGCGAGCGCTCCGTCTCCTCCAGGAACTGGTCCGCGCCGCCGCGCAGCACCATCGTGCACGCCTTCGCCGCCGGGCATCCTGACTCACACGTACACATACAATATTACACTGATGATCAAAACTATACATATACTACGTAATAATCGTACTAATTTTTAAAATAGAATACAATGTAAATGGAAGAGAAATTATGTATGTATATATAAGTCTGTGATTAAAATAAATTCGTGTAATGATATCAAATCTACATAACATATTTAACAATGTCATCAACAACTTCAATATTCAATGAAAGACTAAATACTAAAAATACAACAACATCTTCCTACATTACAATTTTTAATTTCCCTCACCCTCAGGACCATGTTTAATTCCACCTAACAATCAAAATAATAATATCATAAAAATCAACTAAATATTATATTTAATGCGTAATGTTAAAAGTATTGTTAATATAGTTTTTCTCTCGATTTAGACTCAAAATGTAATATCTTGAAACATAGCCACATAGTTCAGGAGCTCAAAGCAAATTTATAAATTTTTATTTATTTATTGTCTTAATAAATACCTTCAATCTGTATAATTAAGATATAAAAGTGAATTTCTCGTATATTTTAGTGTACAATGTATGTATGTATGTATGTATGTACGTACCGGTGAATATATTGTATCTCTCTCCGCCGACCTGCTTCTCGGTGAAGTGCTGACAGCGGCCGAGGCTGTCGGTCTTCATGTCGCGCACCGAGCTGAGCACCGCGCCGCCGCACGCGCGCTGAGTGCGCCGCAAGTCCTCCGCCGGCACGCGGCCCGCGCAGAACATGTCCCTGCATACATATACTATCTTAATTATATATTATACATCCCAGAACGGTTGCATGGAATATGACATAATTTGGCATACATATAGAACATAGTCTGGAAGAACACATAGGTTAATTATCAGTTCTTTTCTTTATTTAAATTCTACGCATACGGAATCGCGGGCGACAGTTAGTGTACACCACTCTATAATTAGTAAGTGTTGTCTGCAGTGAGTCTAATTTCATTATTTCATCTATTCTGCTTGATTTACATTAAGCCAGTGGAACAATATTATAAATACTAACTGGCGCCAGTGAACGCACACAGTCCACACCAAGCCAGCGCCACTGTCATGTTGTTCTGTCAATCTCTCTCTCTCTCTGTCTTCCACTCACCGGTCAGCAAAGTACTGTGTGGCGACGTCACCAATGGGCAGCATGCTGAGCACCACGTTGGCGCCGCTTGCGTGCAGCGCCGCCAACTTCTCGTACAGGATCTGCCACTCCGCGTCCACCACCTTCTGGTACTCCTTCACGTTGTCCAGACGGATCTATACATCACACAATACTGGATAACTACTACAGCTTAAACATTCTTTACAGCAAACATTACGCAAAGATTTGTTGTAAACCTCTTTTACAAAGTTATTGACTTTAGTGAACCTCCTGATAAATTTTTTTTCAACTTATGAACCCTCTACTTAATTTCCCTTTCACTCTCTTTGCCCCAGTCTTCTAAACAAATCTATACATATTTATAAAATTGGAGTGCCTGTAATATTGGAGATACACAAGACGAATTTGGGTTACACAAAAAGAAAAACCACTTTAAGAAATATCTGATTGGCTGCCCGTAAAGCTGCATTTGTTTCAAGTAATCTCCGGAACAGATGGACTGGGTTTGACAAGACTTTGACCTGAAGGTAACTTATGCACACTCCAGGACAAAGTCTCGTTAGATTCATTTTAATTCTGCGTTCACAAAGTCGGGAGTGTTTCTCACCTGTGCATTATCTCTCTCTGCCTTCAACTCCAATTCAATATTGAGTAATGCGATTTTGCAATCATCGTAGCTCTTCGGCTGCATTTCAAAGCCGGCGTACGAGAACGTCTTCTTGAACGCCACTCCTGACACGAGGAAGGAATCCTCTAATGCACCACCTGACACCTTCTTGATACCTACGGATATACAGATACAAATATAATAAAAAACAATATTATGACAAATTTGTTTGTACTGGTGAGAAAAGTAGTAAATTTTTGCCAAAAAAGCCAAGACATGACAATTCTTGTGACACTTTTGTGAACTTGCCCACTGGGTCAGACAAGGTGTGTACTACTTACTATATTGCATGCAAAACATATTTCATAGCCTCATGTCTACTATCATGATCCACATATATCATTCAGTAATTGGATCCGTTTCTTTTTAATCATCGGCTATAAAAATAATACACAAAAGAAAAATTAACTACAACATATGTCATAGAAGTAATAATACGGCACAGTCAAAGAATCAAATTACCTACCCATAAAATAGAATATGTTACAACAAACAACCATAAGAGAACCAAATTAAAGTTATAGGAATGGTTACGAATTTAATTTCCTCGACCGGACAAAACATTTTTCTGTAAAATTACCAATCATATCGAGCGGCAGCAGGGGCGCGTCCAACGACAGCACTGCGTCCACCACAATCTTTGAGAAGTGATCCTTCTGCTGGTGGATCAGCTTTGACGACATCGCTGTAGACGCGCACTTGCGAAGCAGCTCCCTGCAAATAAATATCTGTGAATAACATATTGTCATCGTCTTTGACAAAACAGAGAGTTTTGTCTAAGAAACCCAAGGTTAGTGAAGAAAATCTATATTAAAAGATAGCTTTAAGATGAACACAAAATCACACAAAATTGATTGAATAACAACAAAAACTTATTTTCTTCAATAAACATAGGAACTGACCTCTGTTCTTCAGGTGACTGGCATTCCACCTTAACGGCTAACTCCTTGACCCTCTCTATGGCGAGACGTGCTGCTGTCCGCAGCGCCTTGATGATGATGCGAGGATGGACTCCTGTGAGTAGGGCAGAGGTGAGTTATCATGTATGGGCAAGTATGTAGCTAGTTTGTATGTAAGGAGCCTCATAGAATTAGTGATCCTCATAGATATCAGTAATTGGATCCGTTTGTTTTAATCATTGGGTAAATAATTTAAAAAGCTACCTAACTACCTAGCAAGTTTTTATAAAGCTTTAAAAAAAAATTAATTAGTAGTCTATGTGTTCTTCCAGACTATGTCTACATCTATGCCAAATTTTATTAAGATCCGTTTAGCTGTTCTTGAGATATCTAGTAGCAACCATCCATCCATCCATCATGCATTCCCAAACAAGGGATTTTGATGAAATTTTACAGAGTATTTTTAGGATACTAAAGATTTGTGATTATGAATTCAAATAGTATAATATCAGTGAGTCTTTAAAGAAAAAGATGACTAAAATACTTATAAACAAAATCATTTCCTTGTACTTCTATATAAATGTTATTGTTCTACTCACCATCTTCCACAAAAGGTTTCAGCCTCTTGAGCAGCTCTCCGGCGAGGATCACAACTGATGTGGTGCCATCACCAACCTTGACACAAAAATTTTGACATTTTTTAAATTATACTATTTCTAATCAATGTTTTTAAAACAAATTAAACCCGGATAAGCGAGAAATCTCTAAAATCAAGTCATTGTCCTATCGCAATGGGCAACCTTAAGCGATAAAAAATATTGTAGCTCCTTGGACTCTCACTTCTCCAGGATTGACTTTGTATGAAATACCTATTCTAAAACCTGAATATTATTTTAATTGAATATTGATAGATTAGTGATAGCCTTTAGTTTAACAGTAAGAGTGGAGCCAAAAACAGTATTTGTATATTGAATTTCAAACTTAAGAAACATTTCTAATGTAAATTAGTCACCTCAGCATCTTGTGACTTGGCGATATCCACAAGGGTTTTGGCAGCTGGATGTACAATATCCAGGAGCTGAAATAATAATTTATTTAGTTAAATATGTAAAAGATATTAAACAATTCCAATGTTGGAGTATGTTAGTAAATTGCCTCATAAAATAATATAATCTACATAAACAAATCAGTAATTGGATCCGTTTGTTCAAATCATTGGCATTTTTTTTTGTCAAAACAACATTTCATATCTTCTCTTTCTATTTAAAGAAAAAGTTACATATCTTATGAGATAACCAAATAGATATAACTCTTTTCATCAAATAGCTTGGATATATGTTTATAATTTATTGATTTTTCATAATTTTAATTTACAATTTGTAGAAACAAGTATTACCTTCATAATAGTAGCTCCATCATTAGATATGACAGCTTTACCACTGTGGTCCACAATCAGTTTATCCATACCCCGAGGACCCAGGGTAGTGCGCACCTGAAGTAAAACACATTCAAGACTGAGTAAAATAAAATGTAAAACTATAGACTACTAAACAGGGCTGTAATTTTTTTTTTTTTTTCACAAAAGGGGGCAAACTAGCAGCGGGAACACCAAGGTGTTCAACAACGCCCATGGACATCAGCAATACCAGAAGAACCGCAGATGTGTTGCCAGCCTTTTAGGTGGTGATAAGCTCGCTTGTTGAAGGACCCTAAGTCGTAGCGGTTTGGAAATACGGCCGAGGACAGACCATTTCACAATGCTGCTGTGCGAGGCGCACGGTTGTGGATTATTACTAATATTATAAATGTAAATGTTTGGATGGATGGATAGATGTTTGAAGGTATCCCCAGAATGGCTCAATGGATTTTGATGAAAATTGGCATACATGTAGAACATAGCCAGGAAGAACATATAGCTAATTACTAATTGCAGGTGACATAATAACATAAGTAAAGTATAGCTTACTGCATCTACAACAAGTTGGCAGGCATTTATGTTGGAGATGAGTTGGGGCTTGCCTTGAGACTGGTCCGTCCCCTCCTTCAGCACTAAAATCTGTGGTTGCTGCAATAATAAGGACAAAAGCATATTTAAAACTTGTTATATGTTGTCTATTTCAAGGCTTTCCACACTTTGCTAAGGTTGAGCAAGACTAACCCTAAATATCTAGGGAGGGTAACTGTTGAGTTTGAAAAGCCTTGTTTTTTACTGATAGATAAGTAGTAACATTGCCTCATGTCTACTATCATGATCCACACATACATTTCAGTAATTGGATCCGTGTGTTTTTAATCATCGGCAATAATTTTAAACAAATGTCAATGAAAGCAACTGTCTATGTAGGTGCAGACAACTTAATTGTTTTTTTTTTTAATTCCTGTCATGTATGAATCATAAAACTTGTAAGTCAAATTGTATAAATAGGAAAATTGCTTAAAAGATACGGTTGACATTAAAATAATTATTAATGAGTTAACTAATTTAAGATCAAAAACTTGAGATGATCTTTTGTTTACAAAGTTTAGAACTTAATTTTAAACATAAAATCGATATTTTGATGGTATTAAGACGTAAAAAATATGATCTTTAAATCATAGTCCCTAACGATTAAATTCAGTATTAACTATAACTTTTACTTACAGGTTAGATTATTTATATGAACAAATTTTATGGAAAAAAAACCAGAATTAAGCGGAAACTTTTATCTCCCCGTAATTATTTGTGTTTTGTAAGATTATCTGTTAGGTAATCATATGGTTAAAGATATAACTTTAGTTATTATTACATGAAATAAAATCAGATGGCCGGTACCGATTGTTTTGATTAGATCATAGATCTTGTAAAAAGGAGTTTTAACTATATAATTGAAAATATTTCTTCGACCATAATTCAATAATTATGAAGAATCTTACTCATACTGTTTATTCTCACTTAATTTTCAAATTATTTCTCGATCTTTAACCTCAATTTCGAAACAGTTTTTCTGCAATTCAATTAACGTTTTCCCATTAATATTATAAGCGATATCTAATTTACACTCTGAAGTAATTTTTAGTTACGAGAAAAACACTAAACTTTAACGGATTATTGAAAAAATCGAAAATTTATTTACCATCTTAAATATTTTCGATAGCTCTCAAAACACAAACTCCACAGACTAAATAAATTATTAAAGACATCAAGTGACTTGACAAAGACAACGACAGGTTTTTTTTCTAGTTGATTCAAAAATACAGTGATTAATTTTTGTTAATTTTAAAATATTAGAGATTATTCAGTTCCTAAGTTAAAGAAAACAACTCAATTAAAAATAACAGTACTAGGAAATATAAAAGTGATCTTGCCTAATAAATAAATTACGATCGACTCCTTTCTTAGATTTCAAATGGAGCCGCCATTTCCTGTCTTTTTTTTAATATACATGTAAAAAATGTACATTAACTATTTAATTACATTGTAAATGACTTTGTTTCCTAGTTTCTATTTTTTTGAGTTACAATTTTAATGTAGTAAATTTTACAATTTGAAAATTTTCAAACAGCTTAACCAATTTTGACACATTAGACGTTTGACATAAGTTTGTCATTCTCTGTGGCGTGTTCAAATTGAAATTATAAGCATAAAATTGTTACGATTGCAACTTTGCTTTAACTTATATGATTTTTAACACTTAATTGTAGAATTCGTCTATAAAATATTAATAAAAGTTTAAAATGAGTCGGCAAGTGGACATAAAAGCTTTAGTTTCACACGTAGTACGAGGAGATGGCATAAATAAATGCAGAATTTGTATGGGAGACACGTCGGAAGGCCAGGTTTTTCTTGGCGATACAGTATTGATGGACGGAGATCAACCTGTAACTTTATCAGAGCTGCTGGAGACAATAACAGGAGTTCAGGTTAGTAACTTTATTATGTGTCAAAGTAAATGTAAATTGCGAAAAACGGAACGGCATCCTAAGTTTGTCAGAAAAAATGGCGACAGACGGCGGCCTTCTCGTACACAAATAACATTTTCCATTAAAACTAATTATATTAAATGATCCATTTTACAGAAAATTCACTTAAAACCAACAAATGTTGTGTTTTAAATACACCAAAGAAATAAATTCTATCATATTAAATACCTGTGGGTTATAAAGTCAACTTGGACATAACTTTATTATGAATGTCATATACGCATTAAAACAAATATACATGTACATAACTATAATTAAATAAAAAAGTATTTTAATTCCATGTAAAAACATATTCATAATAACCTCACACGCTGTTTATCACTCTGTATTCTTATCATTGTACATTATATGCTAAATAAGTCAATTTCTTTTAATACAAATGTAGCTCAGTTATAGAAATACTGTTATTAAGTACTGAAATATATATTTGTTGTACTCTTTTTTATCCATAAAACAAAAAAGAGTAATTTATTTAAAACATTATAGATAAAGGAGTATTTATATTACATAGAGATACATTTTTTCTTTTTAATAAGCATTGGATGGTTTATGAAATAACTTTACTATACAACTTTAGAATATGCTTTAAGTAACTTTGGCTTAAAACCCAAATGTATGATAACCCTTTCATATATAACCTTTTTATTGTACAAGAAAAAACACATTTACTGTGAATTTCATTTTGTATGAATACTCTGTGGGTTATCACAAATTGCTGCAAATATTAAGGATAATGGAACCTTGTAATTCATTAAAAAGTGGTATTATTGCCACATTTAAAGATAAACTTTTATACTAGAGAGAAACAGTAACCGTTGTATGTGGGCTAGTCTGTGGCACATTTCAAACAACTACAAGAATATGTCAGATGTAGAGAATCCATATGACTTTAAACCGTCCATGACATTTTACTAATTTTTGAGATAAAGGAACTACATTTAAGCCCAAAACCACCATATGATCCAAATTAATATGTCTTCATTGTTACATGTTAATTACCCATTTCATTAATGAAAACCCAGAGAGAGAAAATATGGTGATTTTCTGATGGGTACGGTGGTTACAGATGCCGATCAATGAGGACTTACCTGTCAACCTGTGCTCATTATGCTCCATGTCCGCGCTAAACGCAGCCGACTTCCGCACGACATGCAGGCGCGCTGCCCACAAATGGGAGACAGTTGTACAATTGCTGGCCAACCTTCCACAACATGCAAATGATAAGTCTCTATTTGCCCTAGTAGAAGAAAACCAAATGGTCCTTCTAACCGATTGCGATAGTATTCAATCAACTAAAACAGCAGCTTATAGACTTACTAGAAAGATGAGACCATCAGAAAATACTGATGTTGTAAAAACACATCCAAAATATCGTTACCAATGTCCTGATTGTGGCAAACAGTTTGGATACGTCCATCAGTTGTACCGACATTTAAAGGAATCTACAGATTTTAAACGAGCATGTTACATTTGTGCGAAAATTATGAGTCGAGATGAATTGGTAATACATTTAAAAGAGCAACACAATCGAAAACCCTACGACTGCAAAAAGTGTCCCGCCTTGTTGCCCTCGCACAGTCAATATGTCCAACATTTACGTCAGGCACATTCGCAAGGTTCTTGCACTTGTGGCGACTGCGGACGAAGTTTTAAAACTTCTAACAGTTTCCGAGCTCATCTCTCTATACATACCATAAAGTCATGTCCGAGCTGCGACAAAGTATTCCGTAATCAAACGTGCTATTTGTATCATGTCAAAAAGTGCTGTAATTTAGATGCAATGAAGAAACACAAGGGTATGTTAGAAGTGAAGAATAAATGGAGCGATAAAAAAGTTAAAGTCGGTTTGCGGGGAAGGATTGAAAAGGAATGTATTTGTGATTATTGTAAGAAAAAGTTTGCGGGCAAAAAGTTTATATCGGCCCATATACAGATCGTCCATATGAAGAACACACACAGCCCATGCGTTTATTGCGGGAAGTTTCTCGCTGCTGCTCATATGTCGGAACACGTTAAAAAGCATCAGGATTTGACGTTTAAATGTGACCATTGCGGTATAATTTTAAGGACTAAACTGGGTTATAGCCAGCATTTGCGGTTGCACAGCGGAGAGAAGCCTTATCCATGTCAATACTGCAAGGAATCTTTTTCTGCGTCATCGAGACGTTCGGAACACATACGGAAAGTGCACAAGAGCTCTGATATCGTGTTGAAACACGAATGTGGCAAATGTTCAGCAAAGTTCCGACTACCCTACATGCTAAAGAAGCATATGTCAGTGCACAGCAGTGAAAGACAAGCACAGTTTGAATGCTGTGTTTGTCACGAGAAGTTCAATACCTGTTCGACACTACTGAAGCACTGTAGGGTACATAAGAAAAATACATAAAATATCTATGTTACAAAAGTATATAAAATTTGACGTGTGCATGTACATGGCTGCGTATTACATATTTTGGACGAGTTTCAGGTTTACGGATTTACTTCGCTAAAACATAATAAACGAATCTTAAATATTTGTTTTATTAATAAACACAAATACCAAAAACATACAGAATTTTAATTTAATGTAAACTATTCAAAGTAAACGCGGCTCTTAGGAGTAATATTAAATTAAATTTCGTGCATCCAATAAGATTACCAAAAACGTTTAATATCTTCCAAACCACAAGACACTGTTGTTAAAAGCGTGTTTATAATACATAAAGAATAACAATTGCATGACAAATAAATAATTTCGTTTCAAACATAAGAAGAGTTGGTGTAGAGGAACGGGCTGACTGATCGCCTGGTTTCAGGTGGAGGAGGCGAAGAGTTTGCCGCGCGGCGTCTGTTCCTCATGCACACATATGGCGCTTGCGGCGGCTCATTTTCGTAGTATCTGTCATGAGTCTGCCAACCAGTGGACAAAAGCTACGTCTATCCTCAATTCTATATCTACTTTACCAGAAGAGAAAACTTTCTTCTTGCTTTATAATAAAGATGTTATACTCAAAGAAAATATTAAAATATCGTCCAAATTACACGCTGTCAGTATACTGAATAATGTACACCATGAACCTATATTCAAGATCACTCAGCGCCAGAAATCGTTTACGAAAGACACACCCTGGGAATGTCAATATTGTGGCAAGAAGTTTCGACTATTAAACTCACTGAATATACATCTGAGGATGACTACGAACAGAGTATGCATTCATTGCGGTGTTGTTGTCAAGAAGAAAAACTTGCATCATCATTTAGAAAGAGAACACAATATACATTTATTTCACTGCACAACATGTCACAATTTATTTAAAAGGGAATCAGAATTGGAAAAACATATGCAAACAGCACATAGCGTAATGTCATATTCCTGTCCTGTGTGTAAGAAAGGTTTTGTGAAAGAGAGAGCGTTGAGATCACACAAGTTCGCACATACTCTGTTTAATTGTCTCTCATGCAACAGTAGCTTTGAAAACATGAGATGTTATAGATACCACGCCGGTCATTGCAAAGGGTCGAAGTCTCCTCCCGATTCGTTATACAAATGCGATTATTGCGGATATCAATACGTGAACAAGGATTCTCTCAGAAGTCACATACAGAACAAACATTTGAAGGTATTACAATTCGTGTGCCAAATGTGTGGCAAGAGAAGTGCCACTCTTGCTCACCACAAGGCGCATGAAGTCATCCACATGACTGAAAGGATAGTTTTTAAATGTCATTGTGGTGCTAAACTGACCACTCAGCTGGGTTTCAACTTGCATCAAAGGATACATTCAGGTGAAAAGCCTTACGAATGTAAGAAATGCGGTGAAAGGTTCCTATCCGCTTCCAGACGCTTGGATCACATGAAGAGGCGACATATGAAGACGGAAGATATGCCTCATAAATGTAGGGAATGCTCGGCTAAGTTTATAAGACCTTCATTACTTAAGAAGCATTATAAAGTGGTGCACGGTATCTCCAGCTGATATGTAAACCTTCTTTATACGGCATACATGAAGATTTATTGTACCAGGTATTATTAAAAACTAAAAGACATTACAAAAACACTGACTTAAAACTCCAAAGACCATTTGACTTACAATTGTGTCGAATTTATTACAATAAAACTTTTTTGTTTATTTCAGATGACAGAAGACGCTTTCTGCCCTCGAGGTATCTGCGTGTCTTGTACGGACGCAGGCATCAACGCTTACGAGTTTCGAATCCTAACGAAGAATTCCCACAAAGTGTGGTCCAACTGTGTAAACGATCTGAACACAGCTATAAATAGTGGAAAACCACCTAATTCCTTGTATACCGTAATGAGGGAGGACCTTTCAGTTCTATCGGTCAACAACAGCTTTAACGGTGACTCAAAATCACTCCTGAATCATCTCATCAATCGTGTATCTAAGAAGAAAAATATCGAAGTGGAAAAAAAACCGAGAGCCGCACGCTCGGGCCCGCCTTGCAAGTGCACAGACTGCGGAAAACTATTCAATAGCCCGTACTATCTTACTTTGCACTTAAAGAACAGTGGCCAGAAAGAAGCATGCGCTTTATGCGGTACTATGGTGTTTAGAGGTTTGGAAATGAAGGAACATCTTCAAGCGGCCCACGGAAAGGAAGTTCACATGTGTTCCGATTGTCCGATGCTTTTCTCTACCGATTACGAACTGAAGCAACATACGAAAAGAGCTCACAGGCCAGGCGCTTTGACATGCTTTGATTGCGGGAGAACGTTCCCGAGAAACGCATCTTTTGAGGTCCATGCACAGATGCACGCAGTTAGGACGTGCAGGGCTTGTGGTGCACAATTCACAAATAGAGCGTGCTACAGGGAACACCGTTCGAATTGCGAGCCCGGAGCGAAACCAGACACCAAAAATGTACCTAGAAGTCGACGCTCGAACATTCGGGATCCCGCAACGTTCATATGTGATTATTGTGGCAAGACCTACTTATCTAGACCTCAGCTCAAGAACCATATAGTTTGGATCCACATGGATATAAGACCTCATCAGTGTCAATGGTGCGGAAAGAGGTTTTATACTCCGACCAGATTGGCGGAGCATAGTGTTGTTCACACGCGGGAAAGGAACTTCGAATGTGACATTTGTGGTGCGAAACTCGTTTCCAAGATGGCGGCGGTGTACCATAGACGTCGGCATACGGGGGAAAAGCCGTACGAGTGTCAATCGTGCGGGGAAAAGTTCATATCTTCTTCGCGGAGATCAGAGCACGCTAAGCGTCGGCATGGGGTAGGGTCGAAGTTGCAATGTATGGACTGTCCCGCCACCTTTGTGAGAATTCATGAGTTGAAAAAACATATTGCTAAAGTGCATGGAACTCAAAACTCTGATTTAACAATAACTGCTCGAAGATAGCATTGCTATGTAAAATGGTGTTTCATTGTATATTTTTAATGAATTTCTATATTTACAAAGAAACTAGTGATATCATAATATTATTACTATATTTGTAATGAATTGCAGGAATAGTTTTGCTTGTGAGATATACAACTAATTAATAATGTTCTAAAATTATTTAAAAAACACTTTAAATATTCAGTGCGCCTTATTTTTAATAACTTAGCCAATAATTCAATGCTTAGACTTGTAGCGAGCAATATTTGCATTTAAACAATATAATAGAATTATATTTTGTGTATTACATTAATTTTTATTAATAATAATTTCAACTTCGTTATTAATCGTCAGCTCAAATATGTCTTTACTGAGGGGTTCAGAGCCAACTTTATATTAGGTGTGACTAGGCTTTAGTCAACCACGCTACCTCAATGCGAGTTGATTATGAGCGAATTATAACTTTTATTAGCTAATTATATTAGTATTTACTTTAGTTTGTACTTTCGCAATTTATTTGTTTTAAAACACACTAAATGACCATATTTACCTTAGGTTTTTGAGAATCAAAATCTTTTTATAAAACAAATGGCCATTCCTGTCATCTTTGACAAAACTGTAAAAAATTGTTTTTAATAGAGATGTTGGTCTCAGAAACCTACAGTAAAAATCTAGTTATAAATGTTGTTACTATTTTAATATAATAATCGCACGTGTCTTTTACATGAATTGCTTAAATGAATTTGTTGAAATATAAAATATCTCTTTAAAATGGCCCCTATATAAATCCTAGGCATTGTAGCCCTACGTCCAGCAGTGGACAAGTTTAGCCTGAGCATGATGATGATGATGATTATAAATCCTAGGCTCCGAAACTTTAACTTCAAAAGTAATTAATTAGTACGAATTTCTAATCAGTTGCAAGAGGGCCATGTTAATATCCAAATATTGTTTAATATATTGCTACAATAATACTTTTAAATATAAACTGTTTTGTTAAGTTTTTTTTTTTAATATGTGAATAATTCAATAAATTATCTGCTTTATTTTGTGTTTATTTATATATTTAAACCCCGAATATATATATATATATATATATATATATAAATGTTTGTGTATATTTTCGTATCGAGCTAATAAAGTGAGATACAATTTTTCTCAAGAACATTTTGGAAAATCGTTGGATGGGAAATACATTTTTAATCTGTTGCATAAATAATTTCCATCAAACGTAGATTTAAGATCATCTGTGCACTGAAGATGACATTGACGTAATGTTGACAAATGACATTAAAAATTAAGGAATACAAAGTTAATTTTGCCTTTGGTCTTTTTCAAATAAAATATAAATTAAAATCATGTCGTTTCGTAGCGATTTTAAGCAATTACTCAAACCTTATTACTGGATTAATATATTACTCAGTATATCCTATGTTACGTGCAAGAGAACAGGATTTATATGCAACTTTTTATTTCCCGATGTGGATTGTGAATTGGACAGCCGAGAAACGGAAATCCTATTTTTCTTAATCATCGTCGTTATGCTGAGGACTCGAAAGGCGGGCAGTGTGACCATGGTCAATTACTTATCCGCTTCTTTCGTTTATACTAAAATTGCGAACCTAATACTATGGTTATACGCTGATGTAAGGTAAGTGTTTGATTAACGTTATTTTATTGATATAATAGACGCATCATTTATAATATGTACATACAGCAGCTCTGTTGCCTAACGTTCACAATATTATACTTAATAATTAACACAATATTGATACCTAAGCAAATAACAAGGTACAGTCAAAGCTGCATAACCGAGAATCGTTGTCCGGTCCCGACGGTAGACCTCGATAAGCGACAAAAATATCGTGAACCCTTGGACTCTCCTTTATCCAGGATCAAGTGTAAATACAATATTATTAAAACAATATATTGGTTACTCTTAGTAACTACGAATTAGGGGGTAAGTTGTGTTGATTTCAAGTAATTTTTACGGATGATCCCTTAATTATTGGTATTTCAGATACGGCTTACCATATGGTGCCATCCTAATCCTAGCTGCACTCCTCCTCCCTGAACCTACATACTCTGGTCCCGAGCATGTCACCTACTTCCGCGGCCTCCAGACCTTAGAAGATGAGCTTAAGAGACATAAGAGTACAACCTGGGTGATCTGCCTGTATGCAGCTTGGCATCCGGCCTGTGTGAACTTTGCCCCTGTGTTTTCTGAGCTCTCTGCAAGCTATGGACTGGATAATCTGAAGTTTGGCAAGATTGATGTTGGCAGGTAAAGTATTTGCTAACTCAGAGAGAAAGACATGTTTTCTTTGAAAATTCGAATCTCAATAAAGAGTATAGAAATTGGGAAAATTAGTCAGTTCATGTTTTTTTTTTATCAAAAATTGTTTATCAAGTTTTATGGTCAGTTTAGTCAAATCTTCTTATTTTTAAAATAAAACCAATTTTTAATATATTAAAATACCACAAAACATATAAATAATCCTTATTATTTAGATATCCTGAAGCTGCAGCAAAATATAGAGTGCAGGATGGTCCCACCAGCAGACAGCTGCCGACTGTGCTGGTGCTCAGTGAGGGTCAGGAGAAGATGAGGAGGCCACAAGCTGATCATACTGGAAAGCTACAGAAGTCAGTACTTTGTTTATATGAAAATTAAAAAAAAACCTAATATGCTTTGTCTATTGAAATTTAAAATGATTTCATCAGGTTCCTATTCTCCAAAGACAACATGAAAGCAGCTTTTGATCTGGATGGACTCTACCAGGAATGCAAGACAAAGTTAGCCGCTGTGAAAGCCAAGAAGACAGAAAAGACCGAGTAGACCAAAGAATAAAATGTTAGTTTTAAACATTAAGCACAATGCAAACAATATGCTAGTAATATATAGATTACTAAGCTATGAAAAGCAGTAGATTCTAGATCATTCTTAATTTATATAAAGTTAATAAGCCATAATATTTGTTATAATGCATTTCTAAGTCTTTTTGGAGTGATTTTGATATTTTTTTAGTAAATACACTTGTTCTAAAGCATAAATGAAAGATCTGACTTTTTAATTATTATAAAATCTATATAGAAATTATATTTATTTGATTTTTATAATTCCATTATATGCTTTTATATGTGTACTAACTTATTTCTTCATGTAAAGTTATTTTACTTGACCCACTAATGTATTTAATTAAAAAAAATATATGTTGTTTTTGTTAAAAATGTCTTTATTTCATTGAAAATTTTTTACAAACACAAAAAAAAATATGATACGTTTTCCAAACAATTTTGTTATAAAGTTAATGAAAACTCTAATAATCATTTTTAATGTTGTTAATCTATACCTAATATACAACACTATATTACGCTAGTAAAAAAAAACAACTAACATCAGTCTGTTATCGGAAGAAACAATATATTTCGGAGACTAGAATTATTTAGGAAGTTTCTGTTTCATATTAATAATAACTAAACATATACAAACATAACTACATACTATAATATATGTATTTTATTTGTATCGGGGGAGATCTTGCAAACATACCCTACCTTCAAAACAAAGGTAGGGTTATGTGGGACTAAAACCTCCTCGGTTACTAAACTGAAATACAAATTAATAGAGTTTCAGGATCTCCAAGGAACCGGAATTATTATTTGTAATACTATTATTGGTTAGATGATTGTTTTTTACAGTTTATAGATTGATTTTGTCTATGAATAAATCGAAATAAAAATTTGAACAGATCAAACAAATTCATTATCTTCAGATCCGAATACAAATTTTAGATTTTCTTAAATTTGTTTAACATTATTTTTATAAGCTTACTTTTAATTAATCTTAATAAATTTAATTTATCATAACATTAATAATTTATAAATAAAACATTTAATTGAAATTTCAACAAAGATCACTTCGAACAGGAGATCCGACAAATACTAGATTTACAAACAATAAAAACTCAACTCATCTCTATAAATAAATAGGCGATTGGTTGGAAATGCCAACTCTTTCGTTCCTAAAACACACCTAAACATTACATGACAGTTAATTCTATCTAGATTATTAGTTCCAATACTCACCACTACAAATCGCTATCAACGCTAAAATATCGAAAATCAAATAAGCACAAAATCCTACCACTTATAGCCAGACCATTTATAAAGATTAGTGATAAAAACTACACTTACATTAATCACAATGTCTTAACACATGTCTTCTATTTGTCATCAAATGATAAATGAACAAAACGGAAAGGCTTTGTCATTCCATCATACACAACTCAAACTCTCTTCTAGTATCTTCTAGAATCTTCTAGCGCTTAAAGAAAGCGTTAAACAATATCCAATGTATACAGATAAAGACATAAATTCCCTTTCCACTAAGATCGGATAACATACAACAAAACTGTCATAAGAGCTTTTTAGCATGTATGTAAATTGCTAGGGCAATTTTTCGATCTATATGCCTTAAATGACATTCTGTGGAAAGGGTAATAAATATCATCATCTGTACACTGCCAGAGCTCAGAGAATAAACATATCGAATATAATATCCAAAATATTCAACAACCAAAGGAATCTCGGCTTATATTCATTCTCCGTCTTTGTTGATGACACTTTCTCTTTTCTTTTGCCGTTCATTTCTAAAAAAAAAACACAATACAAGTCACAAAAACTTGTAACCTATAATTTTAAAAAACAAGTACTGATATTTTAAAAAGTAATTTTTAAAACTAGAATACAAATGCTTTAATATAGTTTAAGAGAACCTAAAAATCAAATTAAAAGGAATTATTTTTTTTTTTTAAATTTACAACATCTCTATATGGTTGAACCTGGATAGGCGAGTACTAGATAAGGGAGAAACGTCTATAAGCGAGAGTCATTTCCAAGGTCCTGACGAACAACCTCCATAAGCGAGAAACTCGGGTAAGAGAGTAACCACTAAAAGCGAGATAAACATTGCAATCCCTTAGACTTGCTTATCCAGATTCGAGTGTATTTAAAAAATCGTAAAACTTGCTTTTTATAGTTTTTAAAAATAATATTTACCTTTTTATTTTAACTAACCATAGTTACATTAAAAATCTTACCAAAAATGAAATAAATGTTTGAAGAAAGCAAACAATTGTTTATTTGGTGTTATTTTAAACGGCCACCTACAAACATCAAAGGAAAATTTATAACTACATTTTAGGATTAATTAGATTTAAGTTCTTTTTTTATAAAAATGCATCTACCAATATCTACCAGAGATAATGAGAGAAACAATTGACATTATAGTTTTGTACTGCTAAAGTCAAACTAGGATAAGCAAGACTCCAAGGGATCTATGATATCTTTCTTGTTTATAAAAGTTTTTCGAAAGCACAAGTTTTTTGCTTATAGAAGTCGGTGAGTTGTTGAAGACCAGACTCTCGCTTTTTGAGGTATCTCGCTACAAGTTCAAAAGTTAATTTATACTAACTTCTTGATTCCCCTAACTCTAACCAAGCTTTAATAATTTACCTGTTTGTTCATGTCCATTGCTTTGATGTGCTCTCTCTATAGCCAGGACCTGCTCCTCACTGAGCACCGCTGATGTGTCCAGGAACACCTGGATGCTGTATTCCGTTACTGAATGTGACCAGTGGCCAAAAACTCCGATACCTGGGAATATGTTATAATAATAATTAACATTAGTAATCATCAATTATTCCTTCTTCATCTTTCCATCCTATCTTTATCCAACTTATGTAGATATGGCATGTAAAAGAATTAGAATGTTGAATGATAGATTGATCTGGAAGACTTAAACTTGGTATACCAACCTTAAACTTGAAATTTTTGATATTACAAGTAATAATAAATTAATATGCTTACCGACTGGTCGCGGGAACTCTGCTGGTATGTTGACAATGTCAGGTCCACATGTCACTGAACTAAAGTTGTTCTTATCAATCTCATAGCTTGGCCTGAAAAATATTTGCACATATTGAGGAATCATAAATATACTACAACTAGCCGACATAAAGTGCTTTAAAATACAGCCCTGGTAAAGCAAACCCCAATTACAAAAACCCATGACCAAGAGCTCCTTACAATGAGATATTTTACTATCAATTTTAACGTGACATAAACTTAAATATTTACCCATACCTTATGTTATCCGCTACATACAAGTCCGCGTCTCCAGATAAAGATATCAGCTCCACTAGCAAGGGTCCGGTGTGTCCTAGTTGCCAATACGAAAAATTGCCCGCACCCACAACACCGACCACTGTGTCTAAAAGCACTTTATCTATCTCTATTTGCACATATCCTGACAACAAAGAAGACAGAGTCGAGATACAAATAATCCCTAGTAATACTAAAATAAATTCTCTACGCATTTTGTGACAATAAAGCACAAATTTAATATTAAAAACGGCGAAGTAAATGAGAAACTTTTTGGCAATGACAATTTACTTTGAAATGACATTTCACTATGTCTGTCAATGTAGGGATGTACGAGTAAAAGCGATTTAAGAATAATGCAGATTCGTTTTTTTTTTTACTCGAAAACAATAATTAAACAAAATTAAGATTGTTTTAAAGTTTATTTTCATTCAATAATATTTTTATGATATAGCTGTAGCCTTACATGGCTCACTATGATTAAGTACTAAATTCTACAAACGCAAATAGGTAATAATATATTTCCTACACAACAAAAAAAAGACTTTGCTTATCTTAAATATCATTTATTTAAAGAACGACTTTATCCTTATGGAAAAATATTACGGTTATGTATTGATGGACGTAAAACTTATCGTTTTTATCAGTCATTTTGTCATCAATGAATCAGATATGAGTCCATTACCACCTAATCGTATAATACGATTAATGAATGACGCTCTTTGAAAATAGTTACGAACAAATATTATTGTTTCAAAGGAATGATTTGTCATTCTTACTTGTTCGATGGGTTCTGGTGAAAGTTGCTTTGGAAGAGCCTTCTACTTCAAAGGTTTCAAAAAATCACATTTGGACTCGATAGGTGACGCTGTCATCGAGTTTCTAGTGATTTTTATACCTTGTCATATAAATCCGTCTGGAAAGACCCGGATACCACAATACTTACTTACGTGCCATTTCCACTGCATTTTCCTGCCAATCCCAAGTCTCACAAACATTCATCACAGCAGTAATTAATACCGTACTATTAATCACCACAATTGAACAATCTTTCACTAACGTGCCTATTACTTACATTACCTAACATATCGAAATGAATGTTAATTTCAAATAATGCGATGATTTATTTAGCCCAATAATTACGCACCTTTACGTACCAACGTGTCATTTTTCTAAAGACATAGTTTGGACATAGTTCGTGACGTCATAGACATACCATCAAATAATTTTGACTTTGTGTGATTACTGCGAACATGTATAGTATCGGAGATCGTGCCCAATTGCTCCTGATATAGATATCTTCTTCAAAAAAATAATGCATGTCATGATCATATACCCAAAGTATCGTAATGCGTGTCATTGTTTCGCCATCTCAGCTTTAGCCAACAAGTGAATTTATCGATCCAACTTTAGCCGATTTTATTTTGTCTACGTCAACGAGCGAAACTGAGTGATAGGCTAGTTAACAAGATAACACAAAGGAAACTCATCCAATCGCTCAGATATAAATAATAAGCAACGAGAAAAAGTTTTAGCATACAAAAAATTATATGCGAAAGTGTTATAGACAGGTAGAATTTGGTTCCGTATAATTTTATTTTTACTTGGCAGATTTCAGCAGTAATATTAAAAACATTTCTAAAAAAGGAACGGTCGCTAATACATTCATTCATAATTTAATTAATAATCACAGTAAACTAATTACTGTTATAAATCCTCGCCATATCAGCCTAGCTTTGGCGAATTAAAGCAATAATTGATTCCAAATCGTAGCCTTAAGTTTGTAACTTATTCGAAGTACGATAAAAGAAAAATGACTAAACAGTATTCCCTTTGCTTACAAGGGTGGTAATTCGATTTGTAAATGTGTACCAATTTAATCTCTGACATTTATTTCATCGAAAATTGAACCCAAAAAGTTTTACCAAGCAGCTGGTTCCTGCACAACGCAGTACAACCTGTTCTTACAAGTGCGTAGAAAAAGTCGAGACGTCGGAACAGCTGATGAATTCCTGTTTTTTTTTGGGCGCCATATTGAAGAGTGTGCGAAAGAGATAAATGCTTTTGCGTTTAATAGCAATTTTATTTAGTGGAAAAGAGAAGGAAGTTTATTATGAAAATATGCGGGAGTCCTATCAGAAAACATTGGATTTAGGCTAGGTTGAATTCGCTCTAATAGAGTTTAGTTTTTGGTTCACCTTTACTTATTTTGAATGTTATAAAGATATAGAAACAATATTTGTTCAATTCCTTGTTGTGTAAGGCATTTATTTTGTCTAGACAAGCACTGAATCCATTAGACCCCTTGAATAAGTATTTTATGAATACATTAAAAAACATATTTTTCGCTCAACCTTTTCTTAACCTCAGGTCATTCCATGACTATAAGCATGGAATTTTTTTTATATAAATAAAACATTCAAATTGACTTGCTTACTCAGAAAATCGGGATAATGTAATACAAAACTGCGCAGTTTGGTCACCTTGAAATAAAGGGGTCATTCAAATCTGGTATATATTAAAAATCTTGGTATTATCTGAATAGTTGTACTTCTCTAGTCTCAATCAAAGTTCGAAGTTGACGAAGATTTTTTTTTAACTATTGTTCCAAATTGAATCTATTTACATATGAATTTAAACCACTTACTTTGGCAGTGTTTGTTTATTTACCATATAATAAAACGGATATTGTCATTAGCTTATATGTTTATTTATATAACAAACCAAATATGTACATCTTTTTCTTGACGATTTCTAAAAACCATACGTCACGTAATAAGTAAGAGGTTATAATGAATTCTTCGCTAATTGTAAACATACGGCTTCTATATTACCATTTTATGTAAACATATCGCAATGTTATGTATAAATCGCTCCTGATAAATTGTGAACTCGATTAAAAATAACAAAAACAAAGATAGTCTTATCGTTACGTACTAGAATACAAGGCGACCATTTGCATTAACCGCACAAATTGCGGATGTTTGTTGATGTTGGCTGTAGCTTTGTTTACGTGTACTTCGGCGTTCGGACGGGTTATATCCCCAACCTTCTTGTTTTCGTCGCTTCTTTTTTCTACCTATCGATAGGCACAGCTATTGCCATAAAGGATGCCATACACGGAAACACTGTAGCAGTTTTATTTGTAAACGCATGAGATTTTATGAAACTATGAATTAAATGTAAATTTGATTATTGATCCACTTAATATTTTTTTATCTTCTATAAAAAGAGTAATAATCATATAAAAAGTCAAGATTTACGACGAACTGAAAACATAGATTTTTTAAAGGCCTAACTTTTTATTATGCAACGAATGGGCATTTACATTTAACAGCGATAATTATTGGTGCTAAAGTAAAACTCGTTGTTTTTCATTTTATTTTAGATTTAAATTTGGGATAGATAACAAAAAACTGACCTTGTTAATGAGGATTACTTAAGCTCATTATTGTTTTCAACGAAATAGTATGATGGACATAATTTGAGGGAAAATATTATCAATAAAATAAAGAGATAATGTTTGGTGATCTGCAATTTCAAAAAAGTACTTAGATTTTGTTGCCTAAAATGTAGTAATGTAATTTAGAGCAGTAAGGAATTTTGTTATAGTTAAATTCATTTAAAGTTCTAAAAGGGAAAGACGGCTTATCATTTGGAGAGTAAGATATTTTTTAACAAAGCTAATCCTTCAATTTAGTGTAATTCACTTTTGAATTCATGTGTTTATTTATTAATTTGTTATTGGAAAATATAATCCATGCAGTGACTGGCTAGCTTTAAATCCCCACTGCGCACCGCGGCCGCGCAGCCGCCATTGCCGTATAAAAGCGTCGCGCGCCCCCTCCGTCACGTAGTTGAACTCGAGAAGTGTAGGTGCGAATATGGAAAGGTGGCGTCTGTGTCGTACAACCGCGAGCGATTTCCACCGAAGCTAGCAGCGCGACCGCCGTACCGAGCACACCAGTCAGTGTTTCGACGTGTCATCCGTGTAGATCGACAGTAGTTCGAGGCCGAGATACGGCGAATAGCGAGAATTAAAATCACGTCGCTCGCTCCAGTGCCAGCCGACAGGCAACCATCTTGTTGAGAAACCGCGCACCGCGCGCGTGAGCGCGTCCGCTACCGCTACAGTGATAAGTGAACTGTCCATCCTAGTGTAACAGAGATCTTGATAAGAGTATCCTTGCGATGAACTGCCAGGTGCAAGCGCAGATCCGGGGGCGCAGGCGAGTCGCCCGGACACCGCTGCCGGCCGCGCTGAGCGTGCGACGCGACCGAGAGCGTGAGCGGCGCGAAGAGAGGTACGCCGCCAGCAAGTGGGGCGCAGCCCCGTCGGCCGCGGCGCTACCCCCACCGCCCACGCACTGGCGCCGCGACGGCCGCTGCCGGCCGGAGCCCGACCGCGCCCTGCCTCTGAAGCTGCTGCTCAACGTGGGTGCGTCGTAAGCCAAGGACTGTTAGTGTTAGAGCCGCGACGGTGCAGCCCCCGGACGCCCGAGTCGCCTGCGCCGAGGTCTGCGTCGCCGTTTTTCGTGCTAAGTTTTTTATTTGGAAACGCCTCGCGTGGCGATGCACGGTCGTTGGTGCCCCTCAGTACGTGCCGGCGCCCGTGCTTCGTCTCCTGCGTCGCGTCTAAATTCCGGCGTTAGGTATTATTTTGTGAAAATTTTAGTAGTTAAGTGGAGACGCCACGTCTCGTGCGCCGTCGCCGCAGCCCCGTTCTTCTCCCTTGCAAAATAATGAGAAAAAAACACAAAAAAAATTGTGGAGCCAGCGGGTCTGCGGTGTCGGCGCGTCCGGCGTAGGCGCGGCCCGGCGCTTCGCCCCTCGCCGTCAACGCCTTGCAGCCCCGAGCGACCTCGTCGGTGGCGCTCTCCGTTTTTAATTTTGTTACCCTCTGACGTGCGCCGCATCGCTTCCCAGCCAACAAAAGACTAGTTTGAGTTTTGACTTGTATTCAGACTGTTTCTACTTAAGTTTGTTGATAGCAAAGGCTGAGAGGGGCTATGCGACGCACGCGCAGAGGGCTGCGCCACCGCGCTCTCGCAACAAGGAATTGGGGCTCTCGCGGTTGCAAGGCTTTTAATCGCCTTTCTTTTTATATAAATGAGGTGTTGTTATATTGTAAACGAGTGGTGGCGAGGCTCGCGGCGGCGGGCCCGGGGCTCGGCCCCGCAGCGTATCGTTTTATTTATCTTGTGACCAATGTATTTTAATTTGTAAACGCGCGGCCTCCCCGCGGTGAGAGACACACGTATTGTTGCGCACCGTCACGCGCACGCACCTCACAATATCAGAGCTTTAAAATACTTTATGGGGAACGCCGCGCGTCCTTAATTCTAGTTGTAGATTTTAAAATTGAACGATACAGAGTAAAGAAGAAACCTGTAAAAGTTGACAATTGGGAGATATATATGTTTGTACAGAGAGTTATATGATCTCAGCTGTGGGCCGTCGATGGCGAGTAGGGGCTTTCTGTGATGTACAAAAAAAAAGAAATGAGTATATTTCGGATTTTACAAGTTTTTTATAATTAGTTTGTAAAGTATACTTTAAGTGAAGATGGTGCGGCGACGTCCCACTTTGTCGTCCTAGGACCGCTCGCAGCAAACCTATTTCCCACCCTTTCCCATCCCGTTTTCCTGTCTTGTCCCAGGGCTCTTCGGAGCCCGCCAAATGGATCAGAGTTTCTGGTACGTAAGAACGTAAACGTCATAACGTCAATAAACTGGTTCCTCTTCACGAGGACAGTATTTTTAGCTCAAGAAAGAAGTTCAAGCAAGATTTAACTATGAAAATTGCAAGCTCGAGTAAATATTAAGGTGAGTTTAAAATCATTAAGTTAAATGTATAGTAGACAAAATCTAGTCACATCTTGTCTTGGAGGTTTCGAGTTTGAGGTACCGAAACATTTCTCAACATAAATTGTACTGTGTTAATATGTTATAATTGGGTGGATATCATAACAAACATACCCCTTTAAAAGATAACATTATGTTCTTGAGGTTAACCTATAAATAACTGTTATATAATATAAAATGTTGTTATTTATGTTGTCTTGATAAGAGAAAATGGTTAAATTGTATGTTACACTGTGTTTACATTATTCCAGTGCTAAATTTTATCACTGTACTGGAATAAAGTATACTATATGCCATTTGAATTTATTTAAATCATGCTTTATACAATAAGAGAAAATATTTGTGATATAAAAAGAAGTGAGCAACAAGGAAAACATTGGTCAATAATTTATTGGCTACGGAGAGCAAGCTTGATAGAACTGTAGCGCTGTTATTGTGGTGTGACTTATGTTTTAGTTGTCGCAAATAATTTCAAATGTTTTTCTAATGTTATGTTTTTATTGTGTTCCACATTGGGAGCACATTTTTACAGGATTGGTGTGAATTGAATCTCATATCTTCACGAGTTGAGGGATCTTTCAAGTTGAAAATTAACAAGTGAGCTTTGTCAACTGAAATGAAATGGCCAATACTCAAGTTACCGAAACTAGTTTTTGTTTAATTAATTCTTCTCAATCCCACCATATAAACTTGTTTTGTAATTAATAAAATCTTTTGTACTTTGGATTGGTTATAAAAAATTGTTTATTTCAATCAGTTTAAAGGTGTAGCAAAAGCCACTTTTATTAACCTTTTGTACAATTGAAAAAAAAAAAAGAAATGAACACGAAATATTGGCCAATAAGAATAGTATGATCGTTTTTTTTTATAATATAGGTTGTTATTAAGTCTTGACAAGACAGTTACTCGGTCTCATTAAAATTGTAACAATAGCTTCACAGTATTTTATGTAGTTTCGGTCGAATTATGAAGTCTGAGATCACGTTTACGAGACATTTATTGAATTATAAATTTGTACTCTAATGCAACCTTCACAAACATAATAACGTTTAATTCACTGTCTATGGAATTCTTGTTTTTTTTTCTGATATAAAAGTGAATGTAAATGTTGTTTATAGGTTAGGTCAGCAACGTTGTAAAAATGTATCTCAGAAGAAATTTGGTCGATAACAAATATTCACAAACTTGAAAAGTTCACTAATAAAAATGCAAATTTTTAGATGGATGGATGTTTGTTTAAAGGTCTTTCAGGAATGGCTGCATGGATCTAGATGAAATTTGGCATAAATCTAGAAAACATAGGATACTTTTTAAGTTTGTTTTATTCTGTGCAGAGGGAGTCTAATATAAACTTAAAGCATTAATGTAAGCAATACCAAAGCTAAAATTAGCAGTAAGTTTTGACAAAGTGTAAGTTTCGGACTATACATTTGGTAATAAAAAAAGTAAAGTTCCTCCAACATGGACACATTGCGATAAGAATTCGGGTCAAAGTTTTACGACATGATTTCACAAACTCGCACACTTAGATCTTGCGTAACATTTAGAAAGATGACTATAAATAGCAAATCTTATAATCGTAAAATTAACGAAGTTTCAACCCCAGAATCTTTGCCCTAAAAGAATTTATTAAATATGAACCTTTTGCTCACTTGTTATTGCTAACTTAGTTTTTATGTTATTTAAACGATTTACAACGAAAGCCGAGTTAAGTTGTCATTATAAACATTCTCGAGACATATGGGCATAAATTTAGAACCTATGGATTATAGATAGGTGCACAAGAGGTGGAATGAAGGGCTCTGTAGGCCTTTTACTGTCACGTCCCTGCACTATGTCTGAATCTAAATAATATCATAAATGAGAATGTTTCTTTGTTTGTTCGAAGGTATCTCCGGAACCGTTGCATAGATCTCGATGAAATTTGGCATAATCTGGAAGAACACACAGGCTACTTATTATTATTAAATTTGTTTTTAATTCCGCGAGGACAGAGTCTCGGATGACAGCTAGTAAGTTTATATCTATGGGTACGAGAAAATATTAACTGCAAACGTCGAGTCTGTGTTTTATTATCACAAAGTTATTTATAAAAATACTTTTCAATATCACAGATTCAAAATATTTATCGAAAATGTAACAAAAAAATTATTAAATTTAATCTTACTCAACATTGTTATAACTACTTAAGCATACGCAATCAATCACTAACAATCAAACTTTTTTGTTCTGGGAACACTCAACATAGATAAAAGTACATAGAAAACTATTAAAATAAAGTTCTTCCTATAATTCTGCACTAAAACAACACCTATAATATTCAAATAGACATGGGATTTGTCCTTTCGAACATCTATTACAATTTTCAGATATCTTGACGGTTTGACAGTACACAATTTTAGGTTATGAGGAGAAACAACACTTAGTTCGCGAATGACCTTGAGTCGCCAAGATTATAAAAAAAGAAAAAGCTCTTGTTATCCAAGAAGCAAGAAATGAACGTTTTTAAAGACAAATTATCAAATCTTTTTACTTAAACCTACACGTACTTTTGTACTTCAGGACTTTTATAAAAAAAAATCTGGTTCACGTCAACATAGTCTTCTAGACAGCCTATTTATAGGCAATATTTCTTACTATCCTTCAAGTCTCTTTTATAATATTTGTTGTTGATCACAATTTAGGCAAATCTCTACACTCGTTTGTCGATTCTTTAACTTCTTCAACGGTGAATGTTGGCTTGTTCTGTGCGGCGGTGGGTGCGACGGGTGCGGGATGGACGGCGGACACTGTTGTAGGCACGGTCACAATGAACCCGGCGCCAGGAACCGCACTCATAGTCTGTATAGCAACAGGCACGCCATCTATTATCATTTTGTTCTCCGTCGTTTCTGTGGGTAGTTTTAACTTTGTTGTCATAATCAAGTTTATTATCTCCATTTGTAGCTTCATACAAGCATCTTTTGGTACTTCTTTTAGTAATGAAGCGACGTAATTGCTGAATTTTTTAATCTGGTCATCATATTCGTCGTATCTTTCGTTTGAGGACGAACTCAATTTGCTGATCTTGGCCGGTTTCACCATCTGTGAAGTTGTGTAAGATATTCTTGGATTCTTTTGCGGTTTCTTAACTTTTCTAGTTTCTTCTTCCAAGTATACAACCTCTGTGTACGAGTCGTTCTGGTCATCGTCGCTGTCACTCGCTTGGTCAAAGCCCTAAGAGATAAAAATGAATTTTTATTGATGATTTAAATGACAAATGGACGTAGTTAGGAGCTAAATACCTGCGCTAACTTGGGATGGTTATCCTTCAAGTGCTGCTTGAGATCTCTAATGCGGTGAGGTAAGGAGGCGCGGCAAACGACGCAGCGAGCGCGCCCACCCGTCTCCTTCTCGAAGAAACTCCACGGATCGGCCTCGGCAGTGGAATGATTGGAGTCATCGTCTATTAACAAAGAGAAAAGTCTATAAACCATCACATATGTAAGTCCGTTGTTAGAGGATACAAGGAAGGCTTTGTCAGAGTAGACTTGACCAGTAGCAGCGTTGGTTTGGGAACGATGCATAAGAGGGCACCGCAGGCCAAAGTCGGATATAGAGGGGCGCCTGCAGTGTCTCCTAAGGCACCCTATCGTTGGAAAAAATTCCCCGATATTGCCAAAAAAATCGGAAAAATTTGGCCTAGGGCGTCGGAAATGCAACATCGGGCTCTGGACTTAACAAAGTAAAAAAGTATAAAAAAAAATTATAGCTTTAAAATATCCCAGAAGAATTCTGAAAATGTCGATTCTCAAGCAACTTAGGATCACTCTCTGTCATTTCCTTCGCAGTAAAAGCGGTGTAGTCGAAATTTTTTTTTTATTCTTTGTCAAACGAAATTCGATAAAAACTTAAAGTTACGAACAGATTAAAGCTCTACATAATAAAGTGAACGTTAAAACGTGCCGGAACATAAAAATTGAGTCAATACTGGCACGAGACAGGGAAGTCAGGCGCTATGACGATGCTACAAGGAAGTGTCAACTTTACCTTAGGCCGTAGAACTCCACTGTATTGTGACAATCAAAGTAATATTTGCCGTCTCTGTTTTATTAAAATGAATGAACGAGATGAAAATATCAATTAAACGAAGTTTCACAGCAGTGGAGTATTGAATTAATACGTAATAAAATGTTTACGGATGTATGGTGAACAATCGAGCAAGGCAATTAAATGTTGATTTTGTTTATTGAATGGCAACCCTGAGAAATAAATACTACATTGTCATTTACACATTTCTTTGGCGCTCAAAAGGTTAAAAAAGTAATCAAAAGTGCTATAGAAAATATTATTTGAAAATATTACATTTTATTCATTCAACGTTAAACACAGATGTAAAATAAATTGATATTAAAGTATTCCATACCTGTGACATATACCAATTACATCGTAATTAAATGACAATTGCTTCAACACAAATAAAACGGTAAAAAGCCTAACAACTAACCTATAAATGTTAACATTTTAATGGCCATTGTTTTAAAGGTCGATCGTTAAAAAAACCGTTACACATGTGACGTTACGATGCGTGACGTCACGTCAACAGACTATTAACGTTTAACATACTGGGACTTACGCTTCGTCAACGAATATTTCCTAATAACCATACGTAACAATATACGTCACAAGTTTTTAAGGTTAACCACAGTTTTTTTAAATAGATAGCACAGATAACTCATTTTTACATTTATAAACCCACTTCAAAAAACATAATGTTATCAATTCGTCTGAATATTTTTATTCTGTGTGTTACATCATACTCCGGTCCTTGTAGATTCTTTTATTATTTTTTTAATTATCTTGAAGACTGAGAAACGTTGAGTTACATTTTAGTTTTTTTATCGCAAGTCATGATAGTTGCTCTAATCTTTTGCAATTTAATTGTCAAAAAATACTGTGTCATGAAGGAAAATCATAGTATAGTTATATATGATACATACTATCGAGATTTTTCTTATATGACTAACAACATTCCAATTAGTCATTGCGCTATAAATATAAAACTCGAGAAATTTCTCCCACACATTGGCTATTTTTATATGCAATTTTATTACAACTACTACGACTCTGTTTGGGAGTTTATTAAAGTTCCTACACTACGTTTATAAATTTTCAAAAATATTTAAATAGCGTAGAACACGGATAAAATAAAGTGTGTATAAATCTGTTAAACGACGTAGTTTCTTTATTTTATTATGTATTTAACACGCTTTATGTTACCACTTAAGGTATTTATTATTATCACAAAACAAAACAAGTTTGTGACGAATTTAGACCATAAAAAATGCATTCTTTGCTAACTACATGTTGATCAAATAAGAACAGATGCTTACACACAAGAGCAAAAATTAAATTACAAGATATATTTAATTTAAATTTATAGATTGTAAAATTGTGAATTTTAGACATCTCAGTCGTTATAACTCGCGACTCTACTCAGTTAAGGGTAACTATGCCTTTGTTAACCACACTGACTTGCCCCATGCTTAATCTTACTAATATTATAAATGCGAATGTTTGGATTGATGAATAGATGTTTGTTTGAAAGTATATCCGAAACGGCTTAACCGATTTCGCTGATATTTGGCATATACAGTGCAACCTCAATATAACGAATCGGAGGGGAACAAGTAAATATTCGTTATATCGAGTAATTCGTTAAACTGAGGTTCGTTATGTTAAGGTTAGGATGGTCTAAAATTCGTTATAAAGAGGTAAAAAAATAGTTTTATTCACCTCAACATTACGTACGCATCTTGTTATAGCGAACAACTTCTACTAATAAATGATAACTCTTTTTTTATCAAATTACTGTATGTGTTTTCTATTTAAAAAAAATTAGGCAAGTAACAAAATTTTTTTGTAGGTACATATCTTTGTGGGTGCAAACATTATGTAGTTAATTTCAAAGATTCGTACAACAAAACTCACGAATTAAGGGTAAAGAATCAAAAATATGGTTATACATATGTAGTAGCTTAATCTCAATTTTGTTCATTTTAACTTTATATAGAGGTTTTGGGTTGACAAAATTCGTTAAATAGAGGTATTTATACTTTTTCTCGATGGTTGAAAATTCGTTATAAAGAGGTTGTTCGCAAAAAATGTTCGCAATGTAGAGGTATATTTTATATTGACTCTTATGGACAATTCAAGGGGATTACGAAAAATTTGTTAAATCGAGGAAGTCGTTATATCGAGGTACGTTATATTGAGGTTGCACTGTATGTAGAATATAGTCTGGAAGAACACATAGGCTACTTATTAAGTTTTTTTTAGTCCTGCGCAGACGGAGTCAAGGGCGGCAGCTAGTAATTAATGAAAAAACAACAATCGCTATATTGTATTGCCACCTTTGAATAGCATCTGTCAAGATGGCCGTCACATTTGGCAGGTGTCCACATGTGAGGGTTATAAAATTGTTAACCCGAAGAACGAAAATAACGCGGTTACATATTTTGAGAACTTATTGCTTGATCACGTGCAGTTAAATCTAGATTAATTGGTCGCCAGTTTCCGGTCATTTATTTATGGTGACTTTTTATATAAATACGTTGTTTTTAAATTCGGAAATCGACTCGTTTGTTTGCGTACTGCGTGTACGAATGTGGGAGCGAGAGAGATATATCAGGAGCACGAAAGATGGAAGTCAACCTATATTTTATGTTTTTTTATTATTTTATCTTTTGGCTACTCTTGTGTACGGAATTAAGTTGTGTTGTGTTATTACCATAAGTGATGAAAATATAATTGTGTCTATATTTCTATATTGGACTAGGTTTGTTTATAAATTTTAAATATTAATTTAAAACAGTCTGATGGCAAGTGATTGCGTGACGAGTTGTCGACTCAAGGGCGGTCACGTATTGTCGTCACATTACAACAGGCTGCGACTGACACCACACAGTGTGTATACGTGCACTTCGTCACCCTACGCTATCAAGTATCAATTTCAATAGTCGTTATAGCAACAACATTGGTTTCTGAGACGAAAATCTCTGTATAAAACATATCGTCATCCCAATCATTTGACAAAACAGATATACGTTAACATGTTTTAAACGGGATTTTATGAAGCATTTAAAAAGCTTTTTTTGGATAAAAGTTTGATTGGATTTATCTTTGTAACTGCGTAATTCCTGGACGAACTGACCTCTATACATGGCCAGGCCATAAACCGTGTTATTTTGTGCTTATTTGATCTTCGACATTTTGGCCCTGACAGTTTCAGTTTTTAGCGATGGTGAGATGGTGAGTCAAGAACTTCATCAGGCGCATTTAAATAGGAAAAACACTAGTCAAACAGTTGTCGCTAAAGCATGTAGGTATGGGCAATTCGCCTATGTTAGATGGTTGGTCACTATTAAATTAGGCAATCATTTACAACTTTTGGCGAATACTTTAATTTCTCATTACCTAATAAGTTTTTTATTTTTGTTTTTAAGTATTATTAACATTATATAAAATATGTAGTTAAAACAATTCACAACTAGTCTTCGATTTCTCTTAAAATGTCTCCGAGCTTGTGAACACTAGAAAGAGATAGCAGACAGCATCGATGTGTGTGAAAGAGATAATAGATATGTATCATACCGGTAAAACAAGACGTCTTATAAACGGGTTTTTTTTTTAAACGTGACATAAATAAAATTATAGGCTTTACTTATTTATTCATTATTTAAAACTTTATATTTATAAAAGGAAAATTAAGGTGAATATTATAATTTTGTTCATATAAGATTCATAAGAAAATCTTTAATAGGAATAAAGTTAACCTCGTATCTCAAATCGTCAAAGAACGAATTGACCTCGTAGGCACGTGGTTAGCGTAACGAATACTACGGATATAGGATTCAAATTCATTTATTACATTTTATAGGATTGTATGTTTTTCCTTTACGTGTATATATCGCAGTAGTCCAGCATAGTTGACGTAAGGCCTAACTAGTAACTTAACGTTGCAAATCAGTGGGAAATTTTAGGGCTTAAGTGATTGTAATGTTTAGCAATAATGACGCGAAGATTTATATAACGTATAGGTCACGGTTTCTGACCAAGATATTTGTAAAACAAACGCGAAGGCAGCTTAGCTCGACTCCGCTAGGTAACAGAACAAGCACAAAAAGAAAACGCTCGTTTTTGTGTCGAGCGCCATTTTGTGAGAGAAAGGCGACGTTGTCGCACCGTGCACCAAAACAAGTGCAGCTACTCCCCAGCTAGGCGTGTTGTTAGATTTGGGATTTTTCCGCAATATTTTGAAAACATATTATAGCCTTTTATGTTTTTAATATGGTTTAAAGCATTCGATACAATAGTTGAAATGACCCTATTAAATTAATTCGGGACTAGATGATGACCGACAATTTTCCTACTTCTACGTACTTATGCAGTCTTCTAGAGGCATTGCTCTACCCTTAATAAGAAGTAATAGACTCTATCCTGATTGTACCAAACCTTGATTATGTAGCATTCAAAACAAGTTTAATTTGCGCTGATAGGCTGTAGGTAGCAAGCGGAGAGAAAGGCGACGTTGCCATACCGTGCAGCAAAACAAGTGACGCAACGAGTTGACGGCTGGTCAAATAGGACGGTCGGGATAGGGATTGCGGTGTTTACATTTTAATTATTATGTACTAGCTGTTGCCCGCAACACCGTCTGCGCGGAATTAAAAAAATCATAATTTGTAGCCTATGTCTTCTTCCCAACTATGATCTACATCCATGCCAAATTTAATCGAGATCTGTACGAGCCTTTCTGGAGATACGTTCAAACAAAAATCTATCGATCCATCTAAACATTCGCATTTATAAGATTTACATATGTAAAAACCTATCTCTGTGGTTTAAAGGTGCAGTAAACAAGATAAAAATACGCAGAAATGTTTTGGCTTCTTGATAAACTAAGGCTTAATAATTACTACATTTTTTTTAAATGAACTTGATTGCCTTGTGTCACGAATTAGGATCAAACATATTAGGTCACGCTACGGTCCCGTATTGAGACCAATTGGCGAATTTAATATTGTCATCTCGCTAGCTTTTTTCTCCTGAGAAGTAACTATGACGTCATTGAACATAGCTCTTGTTACAATGGAAGGGTAATAATAGTACATACGTAGAATTAACTGGACTAAAAGACTTTTACTTTTATGTTTTTGCTATGTAACTTTGACCTTTAATCTTATTACATAAGAGCACAAATTTCAATAACTAATTTTCTTAAAATAGGGTTAATCGACACCCTTCTTTTCAATTTATTACTCGCTATCGTACTACGATGATTAAAACTAGGGGATCATTTTGTAGGCATGGAAAGCGTGACCCCTGTTCAACGGAACAAAGGGTATTGATTAACCCTAGACCTATGATCGGGTTAAACAAGTTTTCCTATGATATTATTATTATGGTAGCTGCCTTGCCTCGAACCCTTGAGTACAATAAAAAATTTAGACTGTAACTAGCTTATGCTACTTCAGGCAGTAATGTGTTCTTCCAAATTTCATCCATGTCTGTTTAGCCGTTCTGGAATGCACTAATAACAAAATCCAATAAAAAAAACGCATTTATAATATTTGTACGATACGATTGACTTCTTTTTTATCAAGTTTAAACTATTCGACAAAGAATTGTGATTAGTTAACGGTTTAAGCATTTGAGTCCATTAAAATTGGCCTTCTTGTTATTTTTTTTTAAATACATTTTTTCTACGCTTAGCTCAAATCACGTGTTTTACATGGTTTTAGTCTGCTTACATTTTACACATTTAATTATTTTAATTTCTCACGTACAATTTCTTTAAAAAAATATTTATATATATTTCTTGTCTTCTTGTTCGTGTTTGTGCCTGCAGCCTGATGGATGAGCCTATTACTGCCAGGATTTTTTTAAATGTCGTACTTTAGACCAAAACATATTGAAAAATAGCTATCAGCTACATTGTTCCCATCAGATTTTATTAGTATTGTACAAAATTCTATGTTATAGTCAAACAAAGTAGAAAACTAATGTAACATTCAAACAAAGAAATCACTTAAATATTTCAAACATTTCGCAACAGTAAACAAAGAAACTGAACGCAATAACCACCCACGTAACCTTCCCTTACCCAATCAAGGCGCTGGGGTGAGCAGGGGAAGGTTAGGGAAGGGGAGGGTGCTCCAGCTGCGAGGCTGTAAATCAATAAAACTGGGATTGAGTCCCGCACCGCCCGGGAGGATCTATTTTTGTAACCTCATCTCGAAAAGGTCACTTGAATTTTTCGCGAAGGGCACGAATTATCAGACCTCACCTACATTCAATGTCGGAGTAAAAACTTCCAATATAAGTATGAATAACTATAAAAATAAATCTATAAAGGTTTGGGCTTTATGTTTTAAGGGATCAAGATAAATAACACAAAGCGGTTTGTTTAAAACAAATGTACCATTAAAAATAAAGATTAGAATTAAAACACAGAAAATATGACAATAACTCAGAGTCGATAATTGGTCAGTAAGTAAGACATTTGACTACTTAACGAAACTAAAAGAAGCAGATAGGTACAATTTTAGTAGTTGTCTCAAACGTTATTAAAAATCTTGCCTCGAGGCAGTAACTATATCCTTGCTATATTAATTTTATAATAAAATATGGAGATATATCAATGAAATTCTATTAAATAAGATGGTCGCACTATTTTTATGTGAAAATTCTTTTTTGTGTGTAATTATGGTAACTATACGAACGAAACTTTAAAAAGTTCGACTCGAAGGACCAATACTGCCACGATTACACATTTAGCGCATACTTCGTCAGTCCTTTAGTGGACATGGCTTAAGCTACACTAAGTGACTAAACAACGATTCTGAGGCGAACATGCAGTTATTAATGTTGATAGTAACCACGACAACTGTCTAAAAAAGTTTATTAATATTAGTTGTATAGAAGAAATTACAGCTATAGATAAATCATAAATAACACGTAACTGTGGAAAAGGCAAACATTAAAAGCAAAACAAGAGGTACCCCTTACGTTCATTTATAGATTTGATCAATATGGCGGCCGTACGTGCGACGTTGCCGTTCTTCCATTTAAAAACATTCGAGATCTTTAATATTAACTTTAGACATTTACACACAACAAGTGAATAATTTTAAATGATTTTGGACTTTGCTACATTCAGCATTACGTTCAAATACCAGTTTATGGGTATACTTAATAAAGCATTTCGAAATGAACCTAAAATGTAAACATAACCTCAAATCATGCCATTTTATGTCTTATTTCTGGATAGCTAGAGGTGGTTTTACTTTGCGTTTTGAAATGTGACGTATAGAATGGCGCGATGGATCCCGTGAAGGGAATCACGTATACAACAAACATAAATGAATTTACATACAGATTCCGTTCGAATTTCGACTATATTTCTACGAAATAAGACATAGAATAACGTTACATGCAACATTGTAATGCATAATAGGGACATTTTATTAATAACAAATAAAATGTTTGGTGTAAATTGCTCGCAGGACAACAATTTTTTTTTTTGGGAATTACACTTACCGATATTGTTGGACTGAGCAGTATCGTCGTCGCCGCTTTCGTTGTAACTTATTTCGTTATTGTCGTCGATATCGTTATTATCGTTTTCGATAAACTCATCAGGATGGGTTCGTTTTAAATGTGTCCTAAGATTAGTATTACTTGATCTGTACGAAAAAGTCTTATTACATAAATTGCATGTTGCTACTCTCTCATTAGTCTCTGATTTCGTAAAAAACGACCAAACAACTGATTCGTTTCTTCTTTTTAACGTAGCTAGTTTACGTAGCTCGGAATTTATAACAGGCTTCAAAACGGAAGATCTTAATTTGTCCGTATTTTTGAATCCTACTTCTTCCGGATGAAGACGCATCAAATGAGATTTAAGGTTATACGTTGTCGAGCTGTAACTAAGCAGTCTGTCACAGAATGTGCATTGAGCTCGTTTGACTCCATCGTCAGATTCACATTGTAAAAAGTACTCCCACATTTTTGAAGTCATCATAGTTTAAAACTGGCAAAAAAACGATAACAACAAAATGAAACCGTTTCGACGCAACGTAGCAAACAGTAACCGTAACGCCGTTATAACTACAAGATGGCGGCGTTCGTTGAAGTTTGACGTTCCACACAGAGTATAGTGTTGTGTTTGACAGTTTATAGATTAAAAATATTCATTTTGTGTTTGGAAGAAATACGACCAAAAAATGTTTACTTAACGTTATATTGTTGTTTACCGTTATTTTTCGACTTATTCTTCCACTATTCGATTTTAATTTAACCTTTTGCATTAATATGACATTATTTTATTACCCTTCCAACTTTGAGCTTATTCTAACAAATTGTGCTGGCTTACAGTTGTATTTAATAATATATAATCATGGTCCTATGTTTATAAGGCTAACATAGAAAATAGAAGAATAACATCAATAACTTACTATTTAACAGCGCTGATAAATCAGATTCAGAGTTTTGAAGTAAATCGTCATAAACCAAAGGATGTTTCTGTTTTAGATGAGCTTTAAGATTTGAACTGGTTGTTTTGTATGAAAAGAGTTTTCCGCAAAATTGACAAATTGCCATGAAATCATGATCGTCGCTTTTCACAAAATAGTTCCATAATTTCGAAGATTTAGGCATTTTAATTGATAACAATAAGTCTCTTCCAGTATGTTATAACCAAAAAACACTGCACTACAAATAGCTATTTTTCGCTTATTAATAGCGACATAACGTCGCGTATTCTGTTAATTTTGTTGATGAAATATGTACGAAATCACGATATAAAGGTTATTTATTATATTAATTATAGCAGTAGCGTTATAGGTTATAACGTAGCGTAACAGATAACATTTCCCAGCTCTGGATATCAGTGTTTTGAGCATGATTACCTATAAAAGAAGTACTTTATGAATGAACATATTTTATATACTCTTTGAACCTGACTAAGATGATTTAAAAGTGCACTAAATCAGAAAAATATTTTTATTTCTTTTCTCTCTTGGCTTTCACAGCAAGTATATTTAGTCACTAACGAATCAGAACACGTTAACATGTAATAAGACTGAAATATTGGAAGATGAACAATTGTTCTAAGGAAAATGTTCATTAAAGACGTTAAATAAATAAAATTTTAATGTATAAATACTTATTCCACAGTTTTTATTAGGTCCTACTGCTAAACAAAGCGTAACTGAAGGTTGAACGTTTATTGGTTATATTTTCAAAGGTGCGCAAAATTTAAAACTCGTTAACTGATTTTCGTTTATTATAACTACTTATAGAATAACCGTTATTATGACGGGTATGAAAATATGAAAAAGTTGTTTTAAAGTGTGAGGTGACTTATCTATCGCTTGCAACATAATCACAAGTCAAAACTTTAAACAAATAAAAAATATTCGTATTAAACAATTTATTTCTCTATTCATATTATGCTTAGTTGCTAAGTCATTGGTTATTTAAAAAAAACACATATATTTTTGCTTAATACAAAACTTTATGATATAAAGTACTAAAAACATGTTATATTACATCGTATTTAATGTTGTGTTCCCAACAACTAAGTTTCCAAACACATCGCTTGAATTATGTCTAAAAAGTGATGTATAAAGTTATAGTTACCAACTTATCTGTGAAATGGCAAAAATAAGAACTACGGTGACAAGTTGAATTGTCATTCGACTGTGGGTGTCTACTACTTTCGTGTGTTTTATTGCGATAATTCTGAATTATAAGCGTTAAATTTGCCGAAAGCTATAGAGAGTGATGCATGTAGTATTATTCTAAAGGTGAAATCATTTTTTGAAGAAGAAGCTCGGCTGCAGGCTCCTATCCTATATTGGTATATTTTAGATGGAATCCCTATGTCTTAGCAGTTTATCGTAAATACAAACTATATCATATAAATAAAAATGTGTCGACTTTCCCGACTTTTGTGCACATTGGAATTAATTAGCAACACTGAAACGACGCCCGCGACACCCGTCAGTTCACAGATAAGTTGGTGACACTATAAATTCACATTGATCCATTCGTCAAGTGATTGTCATTTTTGACATTTATATTTTTAAATTTAGGGTAAGGGAAAAGAGAGATGCATAGAAAACAAGAAAAAATTAAAAATTCAATAAATTTCCAAAAAAAATGCACAGTTGTTTTTAAACAAAAATACAAAAAAAATCTTTGACTATGTATTTAGTATAAAAGTTTTTATTGCATCACGCAACAAATTCACAATCAGGTACAACGGTGATCTTCAGTTTGTATTTCGGCCACGACAGTGTGAGTGGCAGGGCGGGCGGTGGCGCGGGCGCTTCGCCCTCATCCTCTGACTCCGAGTCGGTGTCCGCGAGTCGAGAAAGTGGTACTAACTGGGGTGACATGTCCCGAGCTAATTCCGGTGGTATCAACAACTGTGTCAAATTAAAAAAAATATAAATAGACATAAAAAAACTTTCATATGACAATGCAGAAGGAAGATTGTAAACACCATACCTGTAGCCAAGGTCCTCGTTGTGCGTACGGTCTGGTGATAGTAGGCAGGGCTCCTGAGACTCCGCCCGTCACGAAGGTGAGGGCTCGCGGGCCGCAGCGCCATGTGAAGTGACGTCCGTGAGATATGCGACCACTATAAAAAAAACAGTGGTTAAAGTTGTATAGAAAGTTTATAAGATTCTAATGAAGAAAATGATTTCAAACTTTAGGATTATAACTAATTTAAAGGGTAATAAATATAAATTTACTAACTCTATGGCGAGGGGCAGCAGACTGGCGCCCTCCGCGTTCATCACAACATGCACACCTTGAAAGTACTCCACGGTGTCTTCACACCGCCATGATCCCTGCAACATTATAATATAAATAATTTTAACAATCTGATTGAAAATTGCTTTTTTAAATACTGTGACAGTTAATGCTATTCATAGTGTAAAAAAAATTCTTATGACATTGCATCCTGAAGCTTTTGCTTTTTTCTGACTTTTTAAAGTTGCTCACAATTCTATTTTATTAGTTTGAATACTTACCACCGCAACAGTCAGCGCCAAAATGTCGGAAATCATTTAGGCACAAAATAACACAGTTTATAGCCTGTCCTTGCATATTTCGAAACATGAAAAGGTGAAAATTATATTTTTAACAAAACATATTATAGTTGAAAATGACCTGCATTAACTCCGGTATTTGTGGCAAAGCTCTCTCTATACTGGACATCTCGAAACTATCCGTCGACATGTTGTGACCTGCAACACAATGTTATTTTTAATATTTTTCATGGAAAATGCATTTCAAATAAGTACAATATTATTAAAAAAATATAGTTAGTAACATTCTCTGACCTCTTGAAATGGACTGGCTATGAGACATAATATATCTATTTGATTTTGACCTACAAACTAAATGACTAGAGTGATTAACTGTAAAATAACATTTGATTTGTACTGACCGGAGTATAGCTGGGATATTATTTTTTTTTTATATCATGAGGTGGCAAACTGTTTTCTGTGTGGTGGTGGTATTTCACCGGGCGAACCTGGCTAATTCGTGCGAAGATGTTAAAGCGGGTTCTACCACTCTTTTATTTTGATACCTTCGGGTACAGTTCTCTCAGTGGAGCCCATGCAGTTCAGTCCTCGCTGTAATGTCTCCTTAATCTGCTGTTCCACTGTGGGGCTGAGTTGAGGTGAAGCGGACTCCTCTGTGTCCTAGAACAAAATTAAAATCATATATCCACTAACATTCAGACTGTACAGTAGAAACTTGTGTAGCCAACTTTACACAAAAGAACATAATAAAAATAAAAAAATATTTTTTTCCTTGAAATAGAGAGATATTGCAGTACAATAAAATTACAGAGACATTCTTTAGTACAAATATTTTAGAAATAATAAAAATATTTTACCGTTGTATATGGAAGCCATTTGACCCTAGCGGAGACTCCAGCGAGCAGCGCAGGCGCAGTGCCGGTGCGGGCGCTCCGCACTTTCCGAGCAGACGCCCTGCGTGCGCGTGTCACAAGCCAAGACCCACCACATCTGAAATACATTATTTAACTATTTAACCTCTTATTGTAGTCAATGTAAGCAGGCAGTGTATAGATATTTAATGGACAGAGAGGGGACATACTGTGAGATATTTCCCCTTTCTGTTCGTCTCTTTTGCCGTTAAATTCTTTAAAAATTGGTTGTAAGTAGAAGGGAATCAAATTCAAAACGGCCATAGTTCACAGTAGTGTTTTCTAGTACTTCTGTTACATGTCTAAGTGTTTTTATTATATCAAATACCTTGGATCTTCAGCTATAAGCTTGAGTACATCAAATCCGGAACCTCTCTGTGCTGCTTTCAGTTCCCGGCCCGTACATCCCACCATCTGGAATTAATCTTTATGTAATAAATTAGCTATTTAGCTCAATTACAATTAAAAATACTTTAATAATATTTTGGAAATTTGTGCCTTGTAATATCTAATAGCAATATTTCACTCAAATATTTTTTAATAATTTAAATTTAAAGGGAACAAACAGCGTCATCTATTGAAAAATAACAGAAATAAACTTTCTACCAAATATAAAAAAGCCGTTGCGAAATTCTCAATTTCTTTATGAAGTTCAGTCATTCATTAGTAACATTTTTACCTGTATAAACTTAACAGTCCCATGTGGTGTATCAATAGCTGGTAACTGGGGGTCTTCAGCGACCAGCAAATGTCGCACCCTGGACTCAGAGTCCCCATCCAATGGTGCATGCCACGATATGTGGTCGCCAGCACAGAACTTGTTACCTACAAAAAAAGTTATTTCAAGGCAAAAATCTTTGACAATACTCTCTTTTGTAAATAAAAAGTTTTCTTACATAAAGGCAATATAAAATTATATTCATTTGAATATGCCTCATAAATTTTTAAAAGCATAATTTCAACACAACCAAACAAAAGACAAAAAAAACATATTTTTTATGAATGGTGACCCATTTCATTATAATGTCCATTATTTGCCTACTGTACCTGTAGTGAAAACATATCTTGCAAGTGCCTGCAGCAGCGTGGCAGGCCAGAGGGGCGCAGGGCCCGCCGCCTCCAGCCGCAGGGTAAGCTCAAGTCCATAGCCTGACTCCAACCCGCCTTCTGGATGCACACGCCCATCACCATGCAAGTCCGATAGACCAAAACTGTAGAAAGCAATAGAAATTTAATAATTATTACTAGTAATGACACATTCATTAAAAAAATCATTATAAGCTCACTTTACAATCCCACAAAGGGTCTCAAAGCCTACACTATGTTAAGGGTGACTGGGACGTAGGCAACCACACTGGCCCAATACATGTTGGTTGATTTCACACGTATGAAATTCTTAGTTACATCACAATGTTTTTCTTTACTATAAGAATATTGGATCAATGTACATAGGTCACTATCTCTCACATTCTCTTTAAAAAAAAAGAGACAACATGTGTAAAAACAATAGCCATATGGTCTATACTTTAATGGCAGATATATTATAGTGAAAAGAAAAGGCTTTACCTTACATAATGCCAATGAGGTGGTATATTCTCTTCAGACTTGCCAGGGTTCCAGTACATGCTGATGTAGTCCAGAGGATCCTGACCTCCTAGCCTGCAAGACAAATTTAGTAGAGTACTGCTTTAAAAATACGAAGCAAAATTTTCAAGTGAAATCGGTATAATTTAACAACCCTAACTTCACAAAAAAGGCTAGGGTTGACACTACAAACTGAACAACTTCTTATATAAAACAGTTTGAAAAAATATCTTACCAATATTTTAGTCTAGTGGTAACTTGTAATGGATTAGGCTGTTCAGGATACAGTCTTGAGTAAGCATCACATAAAGCCTTAAGACCGGCAGGCACTAGCCTTTCTGAAAAAATACAAACATAGACAAATGTTTACTTTTATCGACCACCAGCTGGATAAAATTACGTCATCATTACAGCCAAGCCCTTTAGATATTGCTTAAAGCCTGACTTAAATTATTATTAAATAGTCAATCAGCACATTGCCTTTATCTGTAATTTAACAACAGAACCCCACCTGCTGCCATCATCTGTTCATTACTCGTTTGGGAAGGGCCCGTAACGAGGGAGGAATCCACCGGATTATCATTTATAGGAGGCTGCGCAGACGCAACAAAAGATAATGCACTGCTCCTAATAACACCTGTTGGGGGAGTTGTGCTACTACCAGCCATTTTTATTAAAAATTGAGATTAAAATTGTTAATTAATTACACAAACAACATAACAAAGAACTAATATTAGAAAGTAAATAAATAAGATCAACCACGATACGACAACTCTCTTTCTGGTATTGCCGTAGACTAAAATTTAAAAAATTGAAATGTCAGAGAAATTGTCCATGGTTGTAAAAGGCAATTAAAAATTTTGACTTTGTTCATATTATATGTTATTAATATAAAAATATTGTTAACCATTTATGTCAAAAAATTATTTGATTTGTCTCTATGCATATATGATTACAAGGCAAAAAAAATTTGGATTTTTTAAACAGTGCAAAAGACTCTGGTACCGAAACTTAAAACATTATAAGTTTGACGTCTTTGACGTTTAAAGGAAGTTTAAATGACAGTAATAAAAAAATTGTATCCTTTTGCGGAACGTAAACATCCTTCGCTTTCGCCGACTCAAAATACGAGAAATATTTTAGCTGTTGTAAAATTACTCTATATATAAACACAAACAAAGTCAATCCGATCCTATAAATTCATTCATTACAGTGGAGTTGTCACCAATTTTAACACCGAGTTTAACGACGTATTTATTCAAAAATGCGCTACTTTTTCGTTGTATCTATATTTAGCGTTGTATTTGCGTATGAAAAAGACATGACTTTTACTGTACCAGCTGGTAATACTGAGTGTTTCTATCAGAAAGTGCTAGCGAACGAAGTAATCGACGTTGAGTACCAAGTAAGTAATTTTAAGAGTGTAGTTCAATAGGTTATATCGCTATGATTTTGTCTTGATCCTGGCAATGCTGCAGAACCTAAATGTTAATCTGGTTTACTAAAACTGTACATTTTATGTCGTTTTCTTACTTCTTGAAGGGATGTCACAAAAGGTAGTCTCACTTAATACACATATATTTGAGGTACCATAGTGCATCACTTATACTTTTTTTACGATGAAAGTACATCAAAAGATCATTTATGACTTGTTGATAAGGTGACTTTGTTTCACCTTGCCTATAGGGCATAAAACTCCAACTTAATTGTTTATGAATTTTAAAATTTATAATTATTATATTCATAAAAAGATAATCGTAAATATTGAATGTTATGACACCAATACTATATTTTGCTATTTATATATGCAAGATAAGAAAATAGATAAAAACAATTAATTTATTGATGAGTTATTATTTTGAACTAAATAACAATATTTCAAAGTTAAATAGCAAAAAACCTAATTGTATTCCTTGATTACACTCAGGGGAGTGTAAAATTTGACTTACTCATTAATATCCAACCATTTAATCTAAAATGTATTGACATAGTTAGTTGTAAGGGTCTGATTTCTGCAACTCCTCAACTGGTGGATTTCCAGCCAGCCCAACCCTCAAAAGTATTCCAACAACCCTTTCATATTGTCGAAGATCTCAGGGAGTGTTCTTGGTGATACAAGATCCTTTACCCTTTAATTTATTCCATGTATTTCTATCAACATGTTGAGACATGTTGGTACTACATTATAACTGAAGGGACAATATCATTCAGTGTTCCAGATATGATGCTGGGTACCTTGGCCATTCAGGTAAAGATACAAATATTATCTTATTTTCAAGGTTATAGACGCAACTCACGGTGAGCTAGATATCTCCTTCCAACTAGCAGACCCTGTGGGAAGGGTGATTGTTGCTGATTACAAAAAACCAGAGAACGCCCACCGGCATACTTCATACCTCGAAGGGGATTATAGATTTTGTTTTGATAATAGCTTTAGTACATTCAGCCAAAAAACTGTAAGTAATGTTTTTAATAGCATTTTATAACTTGTACTTAACAAATTATATTAAAATCTTTGAACTATCTGTCAGGTTTTCAAGAGACTGTTAGTTTAGAATATCTGGATATGATTAATGACAAGATAAATACAATATTAGTTTCGATTTACATTGTCTTGTGTATGAAGAATCTTTACTGACATCATCAACACATAAACGCATATCAATCTTACTAATCGGTGAATGGACTGATAGCGAAGAGTTTCGACCAACATCTCAAGAAGCTCTCGCTAAACAGTTGGATTAAGGGCCCAATACAAAAGGCAGTTGTCCTAGAAACCGCATGCATCGTGAGAATGTTTCTGTCTCTGCAGCTCTGACCACAGGTTGTTTGAGTCATGGGACTCCGCAGCCGGTGGTGTTCTATTTTTAATATAATATGTTTTGTATAATTTTTATATGAAATGTAATATATTAAAAATATGATAAATAAATGTATAAGAATTATAACTGCAAATGTTTGGATGGATGGATGTTTGTTTGAAAGTATCTTAAAAACTGCTCAATGGTTTTTATGAAATTTGGCATACATGTAGAATATAGCCTGAAAAAACACATAGCCTATTACTAAGTGTTTTTTTTTTAATTTAGCGCAGACAGAGTCTTGGGCGACAGTTACAAATTTATGTATCTTTTTAGGTGTTCTTTGATCTAATGATAGAGACAGAAGACTCGCCAGAGAAAGACTATGATGATGACAAGGAAATGGAATTGGGTAAGACGGTCTTTCAAATTTTTAAGCACTAATATAACACTAAATTTTGGTCCTTCGAGCAGGATTCTTCTGTTAAACATTTTGAAACTTGTTTATTTGACTATGTAATGGCTTGCTTGTATATCAATATAGTAAATATTTATTTATGCCTATAAATATTCCTTATTTAGGAACTAAAAAAAAAATTGTTTTGGATCAGGTAACGCAGCAGAAACATATATGATGCGTGTAAAAGACATATCAGAATCTGTGAATAAGGTAAAAGATCATATGGCAACAGCTCGCAGGCTGCAGGAGCTGCTGTCAGCTCATGAGGCCAGAGATAGAAATCTTGCCGAGGATATGTGTTCAAGGTAAGTAACACAATATACTGGAAAAAGGTCAAGTAAAAAGACATATAGATAATATTTTTATGAACAAATAAGACAAAAAGGAAAGAAAAATGATCTATTCTTTGTCTCCATAACCTTATCTCATTAATCTTAGGTTTTTACTTTGAATTATATCTATTCTAAAATTATCTACTTATTTATAATTATTGCAGGGTTATGAAATGGTCGTTGTGGCAGATTGCCGTTATGCTTCTAGTCGGAATCACACAGGTTTGTAAAAAAAACAAGTTTAAAAATATATCTGTCAAAAATATACATAGACAAAAAATGCGCGGGAATAAATTTACTCTTTTTTTATAGGCGTTTATGGTTTTCTTCCTTTCCTTATTGGAATTTTAAAAAAAATCATAAATTTTGTTTTATTTCTCAGGTTGTATTCGTGAAGAGTCTCTTTCAGGAGCCCAACAGTAGCATAAAGAAGTTTGTACCTAATTTCTTGTCGCAATGACACCAAAGATTGTTATGTTTTATTTTAATTTAAGTTCTGCCAGTTGGTGTAATTAGGTTTTTTATCTGCCATTTTCAAATTTAGACAAAAATTAACTGACTTTATAGTGAACACAATTTAGTTATGTTTATTGTCAAGCTCAAATTTAATATTTCGTTCTTATATATAAGTGCAAAGATTTTTTTTCATACCTACTAGGTTCATTTATTTTTATATTTTAGTATATTTAGGGCACAAAATAGAACAATATTATATGTATTTGGTAATAGGTAGACTTTTTGAATTTGAAGTTTTTTCTTATGCATGTTATTTCTTATCCTCTTGTGTGTGAAGCGTCCCAATTTGGGACGCTCGAATTTTTTTCTTGTCTGTGGGGCGTCCTGTTTCGGGACGATGACAGTGTTTAGTTTTGCGCGTATTTTGCGGTGTATATAGTGTTTACTCTTTTGCACTTAGGAAAATCGGAACAGTAAGTATTATTTAATCGTCCTATTCTAGGACTCTCCACAGACAAGGAGACTCCTGTCTGTGAGAGCGTTTTGTATTGGGACTCACAGATGGGCTAATTTTGACAGTTAACATACGAAAGGTTATGTTATTTATACCAAAGCTATAATTAAAACTCACATAGCTGTAAGAAAAATAAAGGCCAAATTTGCCATTCTGAATAATGTCTTTTTTCTTGTATTTCGTTTTCTAAAATGTATCTTTATAAGTCATAAACTAAAATATCGCCAATAAATAGTTAAGAAATTGTGGCGTTATATATTTTTAGAACATTTAGTTTTATTTAAATCAATTTGTGATAATTTTGTTTCACATTACGTTCATATAAATAGGTGTTAATATTGAGATGCAAGTGATTTAGTTATTATATAATAACCGAATTGTTAAAAGTAAAGCAATATCTGATTCCCGCCACTTTTCTGTTACGTTACATTACAGGTATGAGTTTTATTTTATTATTTTTGAATGGAAAAATAAACAATAAATAATTATAGTTGTAAATAAAATTGTAACTAGTCATGACAGCATTTTTATTTTTATCCCTTTTAAACTTATTGAAATAAAACCGTTGATCAAAGGTATGCAACGCGTCTGACATTGATGTTCCTATTTCGGCGAATTCTGGTGGCATTTTGCCTTTTTGACACCAGATAATATTCAAAAAATTATAAGATTACAGATAAATATTTTGGGATAAAACGACAAATCTAAGTTTTCTACAATGGAATAGCAAAAGTAAATTGCTTGGAAAAGTAAAATGAACAACAATTGATTACGAAAAAATATTTGAATGGCTTTTGTGTGAGATATATATTCTGTAACCTAAAAAAGTATTTTATATACTCTTTGGTCATCTGTCAAATTAAAACCATTTGTCAACATAAGGTTTTGTTTACATAAAATATTTTCACAATAATTTAATCTTTATGAATGAAACAATAGCCAATTTTCTGTTCTTATATTCAGAATATATTAAAAACTTTAAAACAAATTGTTGCACCCTATTTTCGTTAGATAAAACAAATACAAACGAAAGAAAATCGAAATGCTGGCTGTTTTATTTATAAATCGTATAACAGCTCGAAGACGAACAGCTAAAATTGGAATAAACTCTGTAAAACCAGAGAAGAAGGATCCAGAGGTATGCAGAACTTGTTTGAGCATCGAAAATTTGGTACCAATTTTTGACAGCATCGAACATTCGGACAAAAAATCTTCAGATCTAAAATTAGTTACCGGTTTAGAGGTAAGAAAAACCAGTATATCATTCTTATACTTATTGAGAATATAGAATAATGCCTGCAGGTACATAGTTGCGTGGAAGCGTAGTTATAACATAGAAACTTAAAGAATATAGAAGATATTGGCTTATCTTTTTCACTTTTCCATATAAATACAAATACATAGGTGTATAAGTATGGATAAGACTAGGGAGGTTAAGATTTTATCAAATTGTAACACTTTCTGTGGGTTTCCGATGCTAAAATCCCCGTTTAAAATTTTCTTACCGCGGTTTTGTTGATGATAATGACAATATGTTCTACACAGATTTTGGTCTCAGAAACCAACGGTTAATCTACCCCTTTTAATATAATCATGTATTGTTTATATTCAATATACAATATTATAGAAAAAAATATTTTTTCAGATTAAACCAAATGATGGTTTGTCACAAAAAATATGCAATAATTGTTTAAAATCCATGAAAGCTGCTCTACAGTTTAGAAAAACAAGTAGAAAAGCAGAAAAAGCACTACTCGGTAATGCGACCAGTATTAAAAAGAAATACACCAAAAAGTCTCTATTGGATATAAAAAGTATACCACAGATAGAAAAAGAGGAGAATATAGATTATAATTATGAATATTTGGACAATGATATTCAAACAGATGATTATTCTGATACAGCAGAGTTTAAACCGCAAATTGTTATAAAAAGAGGGAGTTGTAAAGAGGTATGTATTTGAATATGTTTCATTACATATTTAATTTAAATCCAATTTTGCTGAAATAACTTCAGTTACATATCTTATCCTATTTGTAGTCCGAGCAACTTAAAATATTTCTTTTTACAATAATTAACAAATAATAATTAAATTATTCAAACTTTCGTGAGACATTATACTAAACTGATATATAAACATGGCTAAAACACTCACATATATTCGTCCGGTGGCGGCACCGACTAGTTTCGAGTCCATCGGGGGCCCTTCATCAAGATGAGTGGTGCTGGTATTATTTCGCGGACGCGGCCCGTCACTCACTCAGTGAGAATGATGAATGGCCCCCGATGTGCTCGAAACTAGTCGGTACCGTCACCGGACGTATATACGTGAGTGATTAGCCGTGTTTATATATCAGTTTAAATAATAATTAACTAAATACCATCCATTTAAGTGTGTCATGAAGACAGAGATATTAAGATTCATTTATACATGTTAATAAAACTGGAGTCGATCATATTTCATACAAATAATGTATTACTATAAAGCGATTTTAAAAATTGTCTGTCTGACTGTCCGTAAGGCCGTACTTCTGCCGGAAAATCTCTGGAATTATGACAGAATTTTAACGAGAAACAAGGCAGATGCACACAGGAGTATTATATGCCACTTTTTTTTTTAATTCTGCTCTAATGAAGTCCATGGCGATCATTGTTAACCATATATTAAGTAGATTAAAAAACTTTAATATTTCCAGTCAAAAGGTAAAGGACTCACTTTAATTCCAAATGCCTCGTCATATAGATGTAGTTTCTGCTCCAAGGAGTTCCGTATGAAGGCCACATATAAAGCACATCTCAGGTTTCATACACATTATTGTGTTTGTGAGGTGAGTGTTATCTTTAAAAATAATTTAAATAACAATAGAAATATAATCTAAAAAGTCTGGTTAATAGATTTATCAACATAATGTAATGTGGCAATCAATACTAAATCCTCGTTTTTACAAACAATTGGCCACTTGGACCTATGGAGGTGTGTCTCTTGTCTCTGGTCTCTTCCTACTCTGTTTTTTTTTCTTTTTTTTTATAAGAGAAGGGAGCAAACGTTTGGTATTGGCTTGAGCTATGTAGTTGTAAATTAAGCTAGAAACTTTAAAATAAATAGTAAACAATGGAGTTTATTCTTAACATAGTAGATATTTGGTATAACAGTCATGCGGCAAACGATGCAGGAATCACAACCAGCTTCAGGAACATAAGCGCGCACGACACGGCCTCGGTCGTATACATAAGTGTGCTTATTGCGACTATACATCTGCTACTAAGGAGGCTCTCACTGTAAGATAATTTATACGTTTTAAAAACTAATTTTTAATAGTCTGACCACCATTTATGGTGAAGGAAAACATCGTGATGCTGCATATATCTGAGAAATGTCAAAGATGTGTGTGAAGTGACGCACTGGACCAGCATTCACTATGACCTAGTCACTAACTTAGGGAAAGCTCCGAGCACCTCAGTGGGATTTATAGTGAACTGATGATGACTACCATCAGATGGGTGGATGCGTAGAAAATGGATGAGAGGATTTTTTTGGTAATATATGACATGCTAAGTTGATGAAAGATTGTGTGGTATTGAATATTTAAGAATGATTTAGTATATCTCGATATACTGACTATAAATGAACTAGCTATATGTAAAGGTATTTTGTGCCTATTTGATTTCCGCCATTTTGGCGCTGATGGTAACAGTTTGTAGCGGTGGTGTAGATTCGAACTAATAATATAGCTGGAAATAACTGGCATGTAACATTAGCAGTCGCGTTAAAATTGTATTTAAAAAAATTGCCAGCTCCATACAATCGCTTAGCCGTTTATTGAGTTCATTGAGCCTAATCATTCGATTTTTATTCTTATTCTGGGTGTCATAAGGCTTAAGTCAATAGTTATTTTTTCTTTTTTTAATAACTATGTCTTAATCAGATCCACGAGCGTCGTCATACAGGTGAGAGACCGTACGTGTGCGACCACTGTGGCGCCACTTTCCACCGACGTTCTAACCTGGTCCAGCACATCGCTATACACTTGCCTGAGAAGAATTTCCAGGTCAGTTATATCTAGACCAGCATTATCTAAGTCTAGGTCGTACCCTAAGGGTCCAAAAAATAAGCGGCTATAGACCATCTTAAATATTGTAAATTTTAGTTAATATTATAATTTCAGTGTGACATGTGCCCAAAGCGCTTGAAGTCCCGCAAGTTCCTACAGATACATAAACACAATGCGCATACTGGCCGTCGCTATGGTTACCTTTGCCCAGTCTGCGAGCATCGCTTTGAAAAACCAAACAAAGTCCGTGCGCATATGCGTCGTGTGCACGGCCTGCCAGATGACACGCATAGTCCTATTGTGAGGGTGCAATTGTGAAGATGCTGGACAGAAATTCACATTGAAATTTTAACTAGTCTTCAAGAATCCTCCGATAAACATGTTCGAATAATAGAATCTCCGGATGGTTAGATATTATTTATTTGTAAATAACCTGTATATGTAATAAATTACTTAGAAAAAAATCTTATTCCATTTTATTTTACAAAATTTCTAAGAGAAATCTTTTATAAATACATTTAAAAAACACATTTAATTTGTAAAAGGCAGCGCATCAAGTACTTTTTTTTTAATATCCTTTTAATCTGTATTTTCGCAATGGATAATATTTATCTGTGACACTCATCTGACATGTAAACAATAACAATTTAATATAGTTTATAGTAGTTTTATTTTATTAAATTAACGAGTTTTATGAATAATATTATTGTCGTAAAATGGCCAAAGCGTATCCTTGGAGTTGCTGCAGGTTTTGTCTTAGTGAACAGTCTCTACACCAGATATTTACGCGGGCGGAGCACAGTGAAAAGTATTCTAATGTGATACACGCAACAACGGGTGTTAAAGTAAATTTAAGCTTATTTTAACTTATTCATCATAATTAATGACTAGAAATAATCAATATTTACAATTCTGTGTAAAATTAATCATAGTCTGTCACGGAATTATTCTAATATAACTCGAGGTTAGTAGTTTTTTGAATCATAATTTCGTTAATTTCAGGTAGAAATAAATGATTTACTACCACAAGAAATGTGTACAGCATGTATTGAATTTGTTAACGAATCATTTAAATTCCAAAAACGCTGTGAATACGCACAAAATACACTAATAAAATGCAATTTGGACGGCATCAAACCTGAACGTATTACTAACATAAAAACTGAACATAGAAACACTGAAATAGACATATCAGAGTTATTACCTGATGATGATTTTAAAGATTACGATGATAATATAACTCTAGATATATTAAATACATATGAAAATTGTAAAAAAGAAAATCAAAGTGATACTAAACCGACTAAAATTATCAAAACTAGAAGCAAAAAGAATGGTAGTGTTAAAAGTAAAAGAACAATAAAGAAGACTGAGGATGAAGGAGAAGGTACAAAGAAGAAGGAAGTGATTGAATGTGAATTTTGTCATAAGATATTAACATCGAAGCTATCATTACGCAACCATTATAAAATACACACAGGATTTGATGTTGTTTGTGAGGTAACTTTGTTTACTACTAGCTGTCGCCCGAGTCCCCGTCCGCACTGTAAAAATAAATAGTAGCCTATGTGTTCTAGACTATGTTCTACATATATGCCAAATTTTTGTGAGATCCATGCAGCTATTCTGGAGATACCTTCTTACAAACAATGGCTACAAATACATAAAGCTAGTTGATCAGCATTGATCAGTTTTGTACTGTACACACAGTGTTCACAATTAGTCTATAATAACTTGATTTAGACTCAAGTTTTATACAGCACTTGTTTCTCGCGACTTTATCAGCACATATTTAAAAAATCTAGTAATAAGTATATCCTATGTCAACCAAGGATAGTGTAGCTACCCAACTTTAAAGAATTTTCAATTCTGTTCAGTAGTTTGGAACTATTTAATGCAAATAAACAAATATTTCCTCTTTATAAGTTTAGATTAGATTTAACATAGTTTTTCTCTGTAGATGTAATAATATAATGAAATTGTTATATTCCAGCATTGTGGCAAGAAATTTATTACTCGACGACTCTTGCTGATGCACTGTCGAGCTAAACATGGCTACGAGAAAACAGACAAATGCTCCTTCTGTGATTACAAGGCCTCTAATGCAGAGCAGGTTAAAGTAAGTTATAAACGCAAATAGTCGTTTGGATATGCTAAATTAGCGTAGTACCGCTGCCCATAGGTTTCCTCAATTGCAGATGCGTTGCCCACCATTTGCTTTGGAGATACCTTCAACCAAATCATCCGAGCATTCGCATTTATAATATGTCGGGTTATCTTGTACTTCTACTAATGAATGTTTCTGTCTTTCCGTTAAGATCCATGAACGTTTGCACACTGGGGAACGTCCATTCTCTTGTGAGCAGTGCGCTGCTGAGTTCCACCGTAAGAGCAGCTACTTGCAACACATCGCTATACATTTACCCGAGAAGACTGTGCAGGTAACACTAATGTTAAGTTTATTACTAACACTTATACAGAATCTTAGCTTAGCTATTTCTAAAACATGGTTACTAATAGCGTCACCAAGTGGGAGATTGAAGGTGCTCTAGAGAATTAACATTTAAAATAGCTACATAAATAACTTCAAAATAATAAATTACCTAAAAAAACTAAAAAGCACATTATTAACATTGTTAGCCTTATTCTTTTTGATACAAAATAAGAATTTTCGCTACTAAACTAAGGCAAAAGTAACTGTCTGAATCATCAAATGTAATGGTCACTAAGACAGTCCCTTAATATTGAATAAGGAAGGTCTGTACTTGCTGTGGTCACTAAGTTCTTCATAAAAAATGTTGATTGCAGAATTAACATTATGGTACGTGGCATAATTGCCAAAACCTTTGCCTTTTTTTGTTATAAAAAAAATAGGTGTAATGACAGGAGAATCGCGCGGGAAATGTTATGAACGAAAATGTAGTCGTGGTATAGTTTTAGTATAAGTATTTTAAAAATGTAATAAATCTGTTTGGGCTGACTTGCTGCTTTTCATTTTATACAAATTAAACAATGCCTGGTATGTGTGTGGATTTATGTTGTATTTGACTTATTCCAGTGCAGTCAGTGTCCCGCTCGCTTCAAGTCTTTGACTCTCATGCGTATCCACTTGCACCGTCACCGCGCGCCGCAGTACGCGTTCCGTTGCGCGCTGTGCGAGGGCAGGTTCTCGCGGCGGCGGAACGCAGCACGTCATCTGCAGCGCGTGCACAGCGCAGAGCCACGACCAGAACATATACAGCGGGTTAAACTTACTTAATGTGTCTTAACTTGTAATGTAATGTGACTAAGTCGTCTTAATCATATAATGGGGATATTGGGCTAATTATGAGTCTTGGAGTAGTTTTGGGGGTCTTGGATTCATTTAGGGGTCTTGATTGCAGTTATAAGGTCAGTATTAATAGATTTCTTATCTGAAGATGCGGATGTATACAATTGAACGTTCATAAGCGAGAATCTAAGAAGCCGCGACTTTTTGTCACTTTTAGAAGTTTCACTTTATTAATCTGAACTTCTCGCTTATGGAGGTTGTGCATCGGGACAATGATTTGCTTATCCAGATTTCACTGTATATTAATAGTTTCGTTGATATTGAATCTCATATATTTTGGAACATGTAGTATTAAAAAGTATTTAATGTGATATTAGGAAATAAGTTTAAATATAATACTTGGCATTTGTATTATTTTAACCCGCCTTAATACTAAATTTTGCTATGCAAAACTTTGTATTATTATACACAATCCTATTTCTCTTGTTTTTTATTACATATCTCTTATACAATAGATTAAAATGAAAGATGTTAATTTTTAAAGCAATATATATTGCAAGGAATACATTTAACTCTATTTTTTTATCTTGTTTTGCTTTTTTAATTGTTTAGATCAACATTTAATATAGATAGTAGTTGTTGAAATATATTATGCATATATTTAATAATTCTTTCGCTTCTCTCTCAAAAGTACAATTAGATTAACTCAGATTGCAAATGTTTTGTACTATTTCAGTAGTACCTTAGTGTGGGTTTGATAATGAAATCTCTAAAGGTTTACATGAGTAATCATTTAACGTCTCGGAGTGTTAAAAGTGAGCAATAGGAAGGGTATTTCCTCATTCTTTCCATTATTCATGTCCATTATATTTTAAACTACAGGTTAACATGTTGAGCGCCATGCGTTTTTCTAAGACAATATAATACACACTGGTGTTAAAAGGCCTGTTTCCGATTGAAGTACAAAATAGTTTACATTTTTAACACAAAATAGTGTAAAATTTTATAGTATAGTTTTCATATTATACGTTGTCTGTCACTGATGGTTGACGCGGTCTAAACGGAAGTCTAGTGTCAGCCACCGATGGCTGACGTGGCGCTTAACGTGTTAAACCAGTGGTTCCCAAACTTATTTTGTCTAATGCCCACTTTGAGAATAAATATTTTTTTAGCGCCTCCATATTAGAGTTTAAGTAATCTTTTAATTCATATTAGTTGATGTTCACAAGTTGTTGTTGAGAGTCGAGAGCTCATGCAGTCGTTGTCTAAGTGGCCTCCTAGCTAAATAAAATTACAAATCATCCCGCAGCCCTCTACACAATGCCTCCATTTTCTTTCTGGGTCTCTTACCACCTTGAGACCTGCAGCGCCCACAAGGAGGTGTTATCGCCCACTTTGAGAAAGACTGTGTTAAACAGACTGATTTTGAGGAATTTCTATCAAACATTAAAAGTACATAAATAGGAATCACTGAAATAAACTTGAAAATCTTTATTTTTTTATTGCTATATATTTAAATTTAATAAATATCACAAAAACAACATTTCTATAACCTACAAACAATACATTTTATATAATGCCATAAGAAAAAAAAAACAATCCATTTAGTTGCCATATTAAAAAAATACCTGGAAGTGAGATAATATTTAATATATAATAACATAATAAGGAAAGTGATTAAACATTTTGTTAATAAAAGAGGTAGGCAGGAATACAAAATTATTATCTTTAAGTGTTTTATAAAGTTGTGTATTTACTAAATTGTGATTTTAATATTTCAATACATAATACAAATACTACTTTGAAAGAAAAACAATGCGACATATTTTTTTTTTTATAAAATCCTAACAAGAGTTTTTGTTCAAAATTTAAAAAATAAAAGAAAAAACAAAATGTATCATAACGCATTTTTATTAAAACCAATAAGTTGTATTTTTTAACATAATTTTGGTATCATATAATTTTCTTTATATATTTGGCTAATGAAATAAATTAAAATACAAACCCTTATATCTTTCTTGTCACTGATTTTGTCAGTGACACAAATGCGACGGGAATCAACTTTTAATTCATAAATACAAATAAATCTATACTTGGAATATAATAATGATATCTCTTTTCTTCCCTTAGACATAATAGGGACATTTTTAAACATGTGTGAAATTAAAATTCACGATAAGTAACATTCTTTTTTAATCATAAGTTATTTATTGTGATGCAAGAAAAAACTTACAGAATACCGCCTTTTATAACGCAGTAAAGTCTGATATTTAAAACAATGCAAGATAATGATCACCGTCACCAATCACGTCAAATCACTGATTAGTCATGACTGACTTTATAACCGAACTTTTTGGCCTGAAAAAAACTTTTAATAAATGTCTATGGTAAGTTTATTTGTCATTTAACGAAATCATGTCGCCGCTATAACTGAAATCTATGACTTGTTTTCAAAAGGTTACCAATTAAGTTTGCCACCACCGCATGATGTCAAGTGGCATTTGTTTGCTACATACAAACACTCCAATTAATATATATAGATTTATTATTTTATTACATGACTAATAAATCCAATGACTAATCCGTGATTCGTCGTGACGTAACTATGACCGGTCATGATGGATCATGATTGGTCATGACTGATATACATACAGCTGGTGCAGGTCTACCGCTGCAAGTTCTGCAGCTTCTCGCAGCTGGGCGTGCGCAACTTCTGCGCTTCTTGATACTGGCGCGTGTCACCAAAGTTGCGGGCCTTCCATGTCATGCTGTCGCGGTAGTTGCGCTCTCGTTGACACGCGTGACGGAGACCGACTGTAGAATTTAAATATTATTGGCTCAAAATTACTCATAGTTTAAATTGAAGTATATAAAAACATTAAAATCCCAAGGTTTATAAAACCTCCTTTGCCGACCCCACGTGAGTGGAATAAGGCCAGGAAGTACTAGTCTCGACTGGGGGTGTGTAGTGACACGCCTCTTTACTAATTTGAAACCTCAATAGTAGGCTATTTTCCAGACTATATTCTACATGTATGTCAAATTTAATTAAGATCCATGCAGCTATTAGGGAGGTACCTTCAAACAAACATCCATCTAAACATTCGCATTTATAATATTAGTAAGATGTCTTATATATGTATCTGGGAAATAAATGGTTAAAATATTAAAAAGTACATACCTATATACTCCTCTTCTATAGCCATTTCAAGTCGACGCACAGAGCCCTGGTAGTCAGTGTGGAAGTTCTCCTTCACGTAATATGGTACCTATAATTTATAACAATTTTAATGTTACTTCAGAACTAAATTCCTGGTTGAGTTACATTTGTTAAAATTCTCTTGAAAGTGTTATAATCTTTTGAAAAAAGCTATGTGCTCTAAAGCTGTGTAACTTTTGAGTTAGCGGGACAGAGCATGTGTTGGAATGGAAAATAACCTCTTTTTGATCATCCTCAATCAATTTAAGGTAGAAAAAGTATAAACAACTTATTCAAAATGTCTATGGGCAGCGATGTCTATGGGGATCAGGTGACTGTTCGCTCATTTGTCACATTTGATTACAAAAAAAAAATCGTGTTAGAAATGTCTCTACATGAATCTGTGTCTCTCAGTCATCATCTCATCTCATGTATGGTGATTTTCAACTTTCCAGGTTTAGCGATGCACATTCAATGATCTACTAAACACATATAATTTCAACTAGTTACCTTCAAGTTAACAGTCTCCCGTGGCACGGGGTACTTAGAGTTTGCAGTGAGACTGAAGACTGGTTCACTGATGAAGAAGCCAGACATCATGGAGAGCAGCACGAGCACCGCAACAGGCAGCAGCTGCACCAGGCTGGTGTGAGAGTCGCGTGGCTCAGGTTCCCGCGCTCGTCGTCTGCTGTATACTGTTGGGCCGCCGCCAGAGAACGCTGAGAACACATTACTAATATTATAAATGCGAATGTTTAGATGGATTATTGGTATCTTGGTATGGTAATTAAATTTAAGAAGTAAAACAAACTAAAAAAACATAGGCTACTAATTAAGTTTATTTTACTCAGCGAGGACGGAATCGCGGGCGACACTTACTACACAAGAGTCATTTGGACCCAACAGATGAAAGTTTCATCTTATAAAAATGTAATTCTTTTGGTCTAATGCTTCAATTGGTAACACTAGCTGTTGCCCGCGACTTAGTCTGTGCATAGTTGCAAAAAAATAGTCATCAGTTTTATTTAATATAGTGATATAAGATTGTGTAGCTTCGCAACGGCGAAAGAATTTTTAAAATTAGTAGTTTTGAACTTGTAGCGTACAATGCAAACAAACAAATCTTTCCTATTTATAACTATAGATGTTAGATCCGATCAACTCACCGGTAGCACCAAAGAACATGTTGAACAGTTCCTCCGCAGTGAGATCTGATTCAAATCCTCGTGCATAATATGTCTGGTGATGGTGCGGGCTGTGTGCGGGCTCCTCGCCACGCAAGTCGTACTGTTTGCGCTTCTCGGGGTCCGTGAGGATCGCTGCTGCATTGCCGATTGCCTGGTACATGTAAAATATATCTTAATATTACTAATATTATAAATGTGAGAGTTTAGATGTATGGATAGATGGGTGTTTGTTACAATGTATCTCCGGAACGGCTCAACGGTATTTTGATGAAATTTGGCATGGATTTAGAATAACACATACTAATCAAGTTATTTTTTTATTTTCCAGTTGGGACAGCTATAATAATTTCATAATGGATAGATGTTGTCTAGAATATTAATAGTTTTTAACCTAGAAAATAGAAAGGTTCTAGTGATTTGTTTTATAATTTAGTAATTAACATAGTAACTAAATACACACTATTTTTATTTCAATGAAGACTAAATGTGTAATGAAGTGATAAGTCAATTACCTTAAAAGCCTCAGCAGCTCCGGGTGCATGATTCTTGTCCGGATGCAGCTGTAGAGCAAGCTTCTTGTATGATTTCTTTATGTCAGAGTCTGTGGCTTCCTTTGATACACCTACAACAAATATGCAGTATAACAACAGTTTTTTTATGTGAATTCTTATGTGTATTTGCCGAAATCGCGAGGCATGCGCAATAGTAGATTTTTCGCCTGCCATTAATCTTATAACAGTTAAAAGGTTTCAGTATGAAGCTAGTATTAATTATGTAACAGTCTGACACTCTTAGCTAATCCAATGAAATATGTTGTGCACGGAATCATTATCCGTTCCATCTCTGTTTTAATATTTGTATGTTTTAGATGTTGATATGTTAAAAGGTACTTTGACTTTTTAATTACTCAGCTAAATTAAAAAATCAAACAGTTATAGATATATTATTCAATTACAGTCCTATGACAAACGAGAATCCAAGGGACTGCAATATTTCGCTTGCATATAAAACTCTACTTAAAATCTAGTTTGCCCTCTAATCTGAGTCTTGCTTATGAAGGTCTTCAATATTTCAATAGAAAACTAAAGAACAATACTAAAGGAAAAGTTAACATGTCCTTGTAACTAACCTTTACTTGAATAAATCTATTTTAGTTTTTTCAAGTAAAGGTTAGTTCTTGTCAATTGTGATAAAATCGAAAGGCATTCTTTCTTATTTACCTTAAGTGATATATGCTTGTATTGTTTTGTCCCTGACCTCGAAATATGTTACAGCATTGTATAGACAATTGTTTACGTCATTGGACTTTTGGTTATTAAAAAGTTATAACATTAATAATAACATACCTAAAATTTCATAATAATCCTTGCATTTAGTTTTGATCCTGCGGACCGCCTCCAATTGTTCTTGAGTGTATTCCCTTTGTGGTGGTTGATGTGAAGGAGCCTTTCTGCGCCTAACATCTTCAGCACTAGGGGAATTAGGCGGACTTCGTTTAGGAGCAGTGCCCGTATTTCCCGCAGATCTAAGACGATTAAGCAGATCTTTGGCGCGTGCTGTAGGATACAAACGTTCAGCTTTTAACAGAAATCTCTCAGCTTTTTCAATGTTTCCAGCAGATAAAGCATTTTGAGCGATTTCTATACATCGATCTGCATCGTCCTTGTTGCATTCGATAGTCATTTTTAAGGAAAAACAAGTCCAAAGTTGTCGAAGTACTATGTTACAGTGTAATGTAACAGTTCAAAAGTTGTTTATGCAAATTCGATTAGTATAAATTGACTTTCATTAGCGAATAATTACACCATTTTACTTTTATAAAAATTGAGCGAAATGCAAAGAGTATAATAAGTATACTATAGAAAGAGGGGCAACTCGCACGAAGTCGTGGATCCACGGCGATTGTGGCGCTCCATGCGTATAATCGCTGAACTAATTTTTTTTTTTTTGATATCTATATACGTAGGCACGCTTATTTAGCTCACTATAATAATAACTGATAAGTGGGAATCTAATTTATGAAATTAAAATTGACATTAAATCAATGTTCAAAAATAATACACCCACTTATCAGTTATTATTATAGTGAGCCGATATCAAGTAGCCTTCTATGAAATACCTCTATTAAAATGATCCTATTATTATTGGGGAAATAAAAACAAAATATTTTTGTATTTTTGTACATTATTTATTATATTTCTACATAACTTAATTTTAAATCTATGCAAGTACATATACATCAATGACTTTCAAGATATCAGCTCAATATTTTAATATTTAATATATATATTTGAAAATTACATTTACGGTAATAAATAGTATAGCGCGGTCACAAAAAAATGCATACCCTGTAATTAAAACCAACCCCCAAAATATTTTCAGTCACATGCAAGCTGGCAACTGGCAATTTGTAGTTATTTGCGAGTTTAAACACTCTGAACATATTCTCTTACAACATAGGCAAGCAGATTTTTCTTTACAATAAAAAATTACAAATAAAAAAATATATTTTTTACATATACACACATGGACCCACCTACTAATTTCAGACACATCAGTTTATGGCTCTATAATTCCAGTGATTGGCACACATTTTCTGAACTTCACTGACCTTCTCTCAGGAAGGGGGAAACCGTGTATATGTGCACCTACAACAAACAAACAGAATGTGATTTCCTGTCAAGTATAGGAACTGATATGTAAAATGTATTAGAAGTAGGGCACCATTCAATATGATAACCGGAAAGTATAAATCACTGTGGTGCTAAAAACTACACCAAAATACGAAAATATTTAAATGTTTAAATGAGTCTGACGTATGGGAATAACATGAAAATTTTTATTGAATTGTAACTTACCATAATCAGTCCATCTAAAACACAGTTGCATACAGCGTCGTTTTTCACGAAAACACATTTTAATTAAAAACAAAATGAATGAAACAACATTTAACTAAGAATACAAGAACAGAAATAGAAATACGAAAAAACGTAGCGGTTTGATGACACATGAATGTCTCGATGACAGAAATGATGCTTCTTCTCAGCCATGAGATGAAATGATGTTTACGATTATATAAAAGGTGGCGCCACTTTCCATACAAACCGTCGTTCTTCTAAGTTTCCACCCCCTGGCGAAATGATATTGCGTCAATGAAGCAAAATATCAAAGTTGCCAGTAATTTATTTCGTCTAATAAATATTTTTTGTTCTAGCAATAGTTTTATAAGGTAAAATTAGGTAAAATCGATTTACGGGAATTTTTTTAAAATATTAATTTCTATTTAAACGTTTTACCTTTTCATCTATTTATTAATTCAATAAAAAATTTATTGAAATCTCTTCAATATTAAATTCTCAAAAAGTTATGAAGACACAGAAAATTTACTACAAAAATCGATTTTCCAATAGGGTCAAACGATTTTAGGTAGCCCATCCCTAAAGAGACTTGACATTTTCCCGATATTTCGTCATATGACGTATGACGCATTCTTCAGTAATCTAACATTCGGCAACGGCAATTGAAACTGATATTTTATTAATGTTAGTCTGGTATCCATAGTGTTAAAGTGTAAACTCATTGTATTTTCGCTTATAATCAATCGTTTAACACCAAAAGATGGCCGCTCCACCGATCTATAATCCAGTAAGTTCATTTGCAAAACTTTCATTATGTTGTTTGTCTTGAATATGAAAATAGGATATAGCTCTTTTTAACGTTCTCAAGGGCGCCGCCGCGGCTTGATAGCTGTATTATTTGCCGTGTAAACACAATGTGCGTTGTTGTTTTATCAGAAACCATTTAAAGGCACATCTAAAACGTTTTTGTAGACGTTAAATGGGGTTTCAAGGTTTTGCCGGCTCCACGGCGCGTTACTTCGTCACGTTTTACATTTACGATTATACTTTTCATTTTCCTCTTGTGTAATATATGAAAATGTTACTATCCATAAATACAAATTTACTTATGCACTATGTTGCTTTCTTTATGTACTCTTATGTAAACATATATACATACGTACTAAACAGCTAATAATGAGATAACAAAAATAATTATTCATTGTATTAATTTTACATCTTACTAATATTATAAATGTGAATGTTTGGATGGATAGATGTTTGTTTGATGGTATCACCAGAACAGCTGCATGGATTTCATTTAAATGTGGCATAATTGTTCAACATAGTCTGGAAGAGAGCATAGGCTTATTTTTAATACTGAGGACAGTTAGTAAAACATATAAATGAGGTACCTACACATGATATCATTTACTAAATTGATCTGTCACTAGGGAATACTAGTTTTATGACAAACACTAATTGATAGATAAATGGAAACACTAGATGTGACTTTCCTCTAATTGGTATAGGTCATACAACATAATCTACATTGTATGCTTTGAAAATCTTTGAATTTTATATGTAGAATTAAATCTTACTAATATAAATGTGAATGTTTAGATTGTTGGATGGATGGATGTCCATCCATCCAACAATCTAAACATATGTATGTTTGAAGGTATCTATATAATGGCTGCAGAAGTCAACTAATTAGGTTTTTTACAGGCAACAGCTAGTAAAGATATAAATTTAATGGCGATTTCACTTGTCTAAATTAGTTTAGATTTTATACATATGCATATACAGTCTTACTTGGTTAAGAATTCATGGGATTAATATTTTTCCTACTAGAGGTTACTTACGAAGTTTGTGTGTATGTCTCTTGTTTATAAAGGTTTCTCACTTTATCTAGGATTGGTACATAAATCCATACATATGTGTGAAAAACATTATACAGTAGAGATATGGAATCTCCTGAGACAGTTTATTTATGTAGTATTGTGATATGGGAGGCTAGACAAAGTGCATTCGCATTTTTGAAGTTTGTTATGTAATAGTTTCGAAGAGAATGCATTTTGTTTAACCTCGCTGGATATTTTAGTAAGTGCATTTTTAGTAATAAATGTGCAAATAATTTGTTTCTGCTTTTTTCCAGATAGTGCCATGTGTGCACCCTATTCCTGGGGGTATGTTCCCCGGCAGAATGATCCGTCTGCAAGGCAGTGTTCCCCCTGGCGCACAGAGGTATGTGTTCAGTCTGTTATTAGAATTTTATATAGTTAGCTAAGATAGAACATAGAAAGACATATTTTCAATTAGTGTCATAGAGTTTATTAAGAGTGTTAGAGACACTATAGATTCTACTAGACATAGTTTGATATACATTTTGTTTTTATCAGCCTCTTGTGCATTATAGCTATTTAAAAAGCCTATGTTACTTGGGAATAATGTAGTAGTATCTAATGGTAGAAGAATTTTTGAAATTGATCCAGTCGTTTTTGAGTTTATTTGACACAAACATAAAGAAATACAATAGTTTTTCTCCCTATATTGTTAGTCTAGGTGTGCATCTCTGTTAGTAAACTTAATATCAACCTAATATTGTTTCCAGGTTTGCTATCAACCTCCAATGTGGTCCCAACACGGATCCTCGTGATGATATAGCACTCCATCTAAACTTCCGCTTCATAGAGATGTGTGTGGTTCGTAACCATCTCACTGCTATGAACTGGGGAGTTGAGGATACAGCTGGAGGCATGCCGCTGGTCAGGGGAGAGGCGTTTGAAGCTCTGGTGTTGTGTGAGCCGCAGTCTATTAAGGTCAGAGAGAACTTTTTTTAAAAGAACTCGAAATAATGTTTCAGCCAGTTTCCATAATTCCAGTCCATTAACCTATACAAGCGCTGGATTACAACTGGAAAAATGTAAACACATAGAAGATGTAACGCCATCTAGTGATTTTAGTTGCAGAGTTGGAAAGTAGTGTACAACCATCTTGTGTTTCTTTTTAAGAGAATGAAGGGGATGGCAATTTTATTTTTAATACTAGCTGTCGCCTGCGACTCTATCCACGCGGAATTGAAAAAACAAAACTTAAGTAGTAGTCTATATGGACTAATATTGCCAGCGTTGAACAACTTTTTCGCTTGGCGCAGGACAGGAAAGGGTTCGCTGTGCTGACGGCCAACCTCCAGTAATGGAGAGGCATTGGAAGAAGTAGTCTATATCTCCTTCCAGACTATGTTCTACATCTATACCAAATTTCAGCGAGATTCATGCGGCTGTTCTTGTGATATCTTCTAACAAACATCCATCCATCTATCTAAACATTCGCATTTATAATGATAAGATGATTGGAGACTCGTCATGAAGTTTCTTATAACTTTAATATAATTTAAACAGATAGCACTGAATGGTGTTCACTTCTGTGAGTTCCCGCATCGTCTGCCCTACCAGCGCATCTCCCACATGACTGTGGACGGTGATGTTATGCTTCAGTTTATCGGCTTCGAGGGAGCGCAGGCGCCGCCATCGCAAGTATTCATGGTATGTTGAAATAGTACATAATACTTTGTTAACACAATTTGTTCTTGTACATTTATGATAGTTTGGTTTTTATGATCTTTTATATTAGTAACTTCAAAATGGTGTGAATTTTATTAAAGCAGTTTATGACAAAATTTAAATCCTATTATTCAGAGATTATATAGCATTTTAATGAGGAATTAATTTTTGAAATTAGTAATAGTTTTTAAGTTGATTTGAAACCATTCGAACTTGGATAAGTAAGAGAAAGTGTGATAATTTTCTCACTTATAGAAGTTTCTCTTTTACCTGAGTTTCTCCCTTATTGAGGTTCTCAAATACACAAATCTCCACATTAATATTGGTATAGGATTTTATATAATACTGTTGTAACATTGTTACTTTTGACCACTTTACCATGTCTTGAACTATATTTTTTTATTGTATTCCAGTCGGAACCCCCAGCATACGGGGCCTACGGTGCTCCGCCCCCCGTGTACGGAGCCCCCGGATACGGCGCTCCTCAAGGTATGGACATAACTTTTGTATAGACTTTGATGCTTTTTAAATAAATAACATAGTGGTATATTCGTATATACGTTGTTGGTATATTGATTTGATGGTTTTGTGTATGAAAATGGATGTTGCATAATATATAAAATATTGAAATGACATAATATATACACAATAACCTTTTTTTGTAGAATATCTTAAAGAATTAAATATAATTTTAAGAAATTATGTATTTAGACATGCAAGTCGCGTTTTCATATACTTTCAAACTTTTTCTTCAGTTTAATTCTGACATAAGTTTCTTTCCATTTTCGTATATAAGATCATATAACTGAATCTTGTCTGGTTTTACAAGACGAAACACTTTTAGACAAGAATAGCATGTTGTAGTTAGTTCTATATGTAATTGTTCTTAAATCAGGTAACACTAACACAGTATTTAAAGGGTTAAATATAATTTTAATACTAATGGAAAAAATTATTTAAAAAATAATGACCGACCAAGAATGTCTTGTGATGAATAAATAACTCCCGCCAAATTTTTTGACTTTGACATGTCATTTTTTTTTAATTTTATGTCCTGGTAACATAGACCTTTAGGTCATATTTTATTTGGATTTGACATGTCATAGATTATGTAAATCATAGATTAAGTATTTTGTGAAATGGCTGTTTTTTTTAATTACTGTCCGTAATTGTATTGCTATGGTTATTTTTAACAATATTTTAATTTAAGTATTATAAATATTTCTAACACATTTACCATTGCATGAAATGGGGTAAATTCTGTCTCTTATATTCGTCTTTTTTACATTAATATTTTTTTTAATTAACCTATGCTAATAATAATGCCGAAAAATCTAAATTTATTTAAGAGTTTCTTTTTTTTTTTTTTTTTTTATTTGTACAAATAACATTTTTGCGCATTATTATCGCGAGTGAAAGTGTATTTACTTACAAAAAAAGGTAAGTTTTGATATATATAAATATTACAAGTGTTGTATATATATGTTTGAAATTTTATAACATGTCAATGTTTTTCGCTTGTATTTATTTACTGAAAAAAGTATAAAAAAAATTGTCTTGGTTTTTCGTTTTAATTATTAATGTCTTTTTATCCAATATCGTCCATTCTCTACTTTTAAGTTATATCAACCAAGGAAATGTCGACATTTTAAGTTTTATATTCGACTTTTTTATTTACTTGCTTCTTCTATGGGCAATATTAGGTACTTCTGTGTCTTTTCTTGTAAAAACTTATTATTTTGTGTATTAGCCTAGTTTAGTCATTGGGTTACTTGGTTGGTGTCGGATTAATCAATGTTATTTTCTACTATTTTGGTAGTTTTTTTTTGTGAACCAGCAGCTTTGTGTTTATTTTTTTTTTGTTTTATTTTTACGCAGGCTACTACTGATGGCTTGTAGCTGACGTGGACGATGTTACAATGTAGGTAGTGTTTTTTTTATTAATACGGTAGTGCCAACACTTGTTTAAAAATAAATATTTTTGTTTTTAATTCAGATACAAACAAAAAGGAACCATCGACTAATATTAATTCTTAGCATATTTTTTATCCCATTACAAGGACATAAGTTTGATAAAATTCAGAAAGCTAAACAGATGGGTACATTTAATCTTAGTTTTTATTCTTTTTTAGTATATTAGTATTTTATGGAATTATTTTATTTTTCAGGTGCACCATAAGAAACATAAAGTGCGCAGTTTGAAGAGTTCGTTTATAATTCTATATATTTCATTTTAAAAAATCGTTTATATGCCAACTTCATATTGTAATATAAGTGTTTTTGTGATTTTTTTCTCGAACTGTTCTCCTCTGGATGGTTCTGAAGTATTTTTCATCCAAAAAAAATTATAGCATAAGCTTATTTTTTTATTATTAAATTTGTTTTTGGTAGGGAGTCGGATTTGTTACTGGCAACATTGGGTTTTAAATGTCAAATGCTTTTTAAGATTACTAAATTTATTGCTATAAAATGTATAAAAAAAGAAAGCATTAAATGTTTATATGAATAAAAATATTTTAAAAAATCGTAAGTAATATTAATTTAAAAAACTATATTTCTTTTCACACTGGCATTAAAAAAAGATAAGTGTGCTATTGAATCTATGTTCAAGTAGAATCTCCCTCCGGAAATTGAATATAGATTAAATAATTGTTATTTAATTAATAAAATATAAAGAAAGATATTCGGCTACGTTGCTAATGTTTTTATGTAATTGTAAGATTCTTGCAGCGTGAAAGTTGTTTATTATTGTTTTAAAAAATTATGTACGCACTTTGATTATTTAATACAGTATTTGCATTTATATTATTTTGTTGTTTTATTTCGTAAAAAAACGATTTGGTAAAAATTACGACGCTAAAATTTCTATTAACAGTTGACAGCTGTCAGTGTAATTAGGGTTTGTTAGCTAGATTAATCGATTATGATTAAGAATCGATTGAAAATTCTTCTAAATTCTAATCGTTATAGCTAATTGTCAGTTGACAATTGATGCATTAGGCGTTTTGGTAAAATGTGTATTTTATTTATTAGTAATAAATATTGAAATTATAAATCTGAAATATTTTTATTTGGTTTTAACAAAATTGAAGCCTTTATGTAAATGTTATTTTTGTGAAAAGTTAATTGAAAATTGAAGTTAAAGTTAATAATGCAAATAATCAAGTATATTATCTCTACGCAATGGTATGCAAAAAATCTATCTACAAGTAAATCGCCTCGTAAAAGTAATAAAATCGACTAATTAGGCTTTTTATAGACTTTCCAATAATTTAATGTTTTTATTTTCCAGGATTCCAGTCAGCTGGTGTAAGTATTCTTTATAAATCTACATATATTTTTAATATCAAAGTACATTTTTAAATAAATAAATTTGTACATGTAGGGGTATGAGACGACATACGTTCAAGGTCAGCCGCAGCGGACAGGGCTGGGCACGGGCGCGGCGGTGGGGCTGGGTGTAGGTGCGTTGGCTGCAGGAGGGTTGGCGGGTTATGCCCTTGGCGGTGGCTTCAGCAGCAATGATTCGCCGAGGGAAGAGGTAACTTTCGAATGTTTATTATTAGGTTCCAAAAGAGAGATCCCCCACCTGAATTCGCCGAAAAAGCGAAGCAACTGCCCATAGATATGCGGAATTGCAGATGCGTTGCCTACTTATAATAGACCTTTATGTGACGGTTATGTAAAAATGTGTATTTGTAACATACGCCAGGATGATTTTTATCAAAATATAAAATCGACGGACAAGATTTTCATTTCAGATGGAGGTGTCAGTAATTCAATTTTTAGGCCTAGTAATAATGTATACTATAGGATTTTATTTTTAGCCATAATAATGATATATATTTTGTGGATTTTCAGGTGCATGTTTCATCATTCTCAGAAAATGTCGATTTCGGTGGCGACGACTGGATCGAATAAGCTAAAGTATAAGAATATAATGACCTAACACACCTACATATAAAATACACAAGCAAACTAAACATGTCCAGAATTATATGTTTAAATAACATATGACGGAAACTTTCTGATTAATAATAACATTTTTATACTAAACGCATTTAAATTTAACTATGTGAAAAAAAAATTACAATTATATCGATTTTCTTATTTTGGCGATCATAAATCGATACATCGAATAAGTTTGTAACATGCACATCACTATACTTTGTATTACAAAATGGCGATTGTTAATCAGCTGATTGAGTTATTAATTAAAAAATATAAAATAATTAAGAAACAATATCGCTTGGAATGAGTAAATTGCAAAACGCGCCTATATCCTTGCGTATGATTATTCCAAAAGCTAATTTGAAAAAAGTCTTGATGTTAAATAAAACTATTTGAATTAGATTGATTTGAAGAAAAATTTGTTAAATCTATGAATTGTTAATGAGTAAAAACAATATTTCTTGTTACGCGTATTCTTCTAGCTTATTTACATACTAATTTCACAACGTAGTTATATGTTTTTATTAGTTTTATACTATAGTCGTAGACTTATATCTCTAGACGGAGTTTTCAGAGTACAAAAATGTTAGCAAGACAACCGGAGGCATTTTTGTGGTAAATTTCACCAGTGTTGTCATTTATATTATAATATTTACATAAGAAGTAAATCGAATAGAACCTCTTTGATAAAAAATTATACTAATTAATAATTTTACAACAATAAAACACAATTTTTATTTGTTTTTAATGAATCTAATATGTGTATAAATTAACATTTTAACAAATTCAAAATATTTTCCCGATTTTTGGTACATTTTTATTACACTGGCAAACATTTGCGTCTAGTAAACGTTCTACCTAGAGATATGTCTATGCCTATCGTAAAATAGAGAGCATTTATGTTAGGCAATAAACGTAAATATAAGCAAATATTATCACATATTATGTCCATTTATTCAGTTATTTTAATTATTGTTTGTTTTTTATTGTATTGTAAACAATTTGTAGTTTATATTAATTGCAAATATAAAAGTTATTGGCGAAAAATGTAATTAATCGGTAATGTTACTATATGAAATATTTATATAGAGTTATTGTTTGGTAAAAATTTTAAAGGGAAAAATATTAATATCATAAATATTTAAAAAGCCTTAAACGAGCCTTTCTAAATTAAGATAAAAATTTCAAATATATAGCTAAGAGAAATATAGATTTTTATTAGAAGCTTTGTGCGGTGTTGGATTAGAAATTACGAAAAAATGCAAAACAAAGTTTCTGTTCAAAATAAGTACAACATATAATATGAAACCAAAATAAAAATATTTTAAGCGAAAACAATTTTTTTTTACAGTTTCTTGATTTTTTTTATTTCAGTACAAATATGTATAAAAGTTTGCTATAATAAAGTTTTTTGTACGTAGATATGAAAAAAATCAATAATCGACCAGCCATAGAGAGGTAAATAGATTAAAAAAGCTTATAAACAGATTTATAAGTATATTATTTGAATATTTGTGCGCACTAAAATATCTTTCACTTGTGTTTAGTTTGACTATTTTTAATACGAATTATTAAGTTTTCGATGTTATTGGTAGAGGGATTTTGAACATGCAAGTAACTAAAAAATACTTAATCTTTTATCTATTAAAAATAAATCGATTTAGTCTACCAATAACTTCGATTTTTCGCTATTTTAGTAGTTTTTAAGTCATATGGCAACACCGAGCAGCCTTGTCAAAGTTGCACCAAAGCTTCGGAGTTTTCGTAAACATTTTTCTATCGGTTTTTGTAATATTGTGAATCACAAATTTTATTGCTATAATGAATTTATTAATCGTTATTTTTGTTTTATTTTAAACACCTTTGAAAAATTAAAAAAAAAACACCTGGACAATTCGAAAACTTCGTCAGTCAACAAAAGGAACGTCAATATTAAGTCGTAAAAAAATATATTTTACTGTTTTTTTATATTTGATCATTTACTCCTATTTTACTTCTTACTAATATTATAAATGCGAATGTTTAGAAGAATGTATCTCCAAAACAGCCGCATGAATCTCGCTGAAAGTCATAGATTTAAAACATAGTTGGAAGAACAAATACTAATTAAGTTTTTCTTTAAATCTCAGACAGAGTCACGGGCGATAGCTTATCAATAAAAATCATATAAAATGTATGAAATCTTATATTTAAATATAATACAAAGTGTGAATGTCTATGCAAGGTCCGGAGCCCACAGTTTGAATGTGCGGTCGTAGGAACAAGTCGCGATGTACTTGTTGTCTAGAGATATGTCCACACTCATCACCTGGAAATACATACAACATACATCTATTCCAGATAATAAAGATACGGACAAATTGATAACCTTCTTTTTGAAGTCGGCTAAAAATTAAAAAAAAAGATAAACAAGTTGAGTGTTTGTATGTTGGTATTGGGGGTACGTCTTAATGTATTGGGGATGTCTGTATGCATGTTGGGGGTGCATATTCGTGTGTAAGGGGTGAATGTTAGTGTGTTTGGGGTAAGTTTTGGTAAATTGGGGGTGCATGTTAGAGCTAAGGGTACATGTTGGAATATTGAGGTGAGTTATTGTATGTTGGGGGTGAATGGGGGTGCGTATTAATTTTGGGGGTGTCTGTTAGTATGCAGATGCAGGGGTTGTCCGTTTTTACCTTGTTGTCGTGTCCGGAGAGTGTGCGCAGTGGATGCCAGGCGGGGTCAGACCAGAGCTTGCCGCTGCCGTCATACGAGCTGGTCGCCAGATAGTGACCATGGCTGCGCTGATATCTCACGTCTGTGAAAATGTAATAAAGCATAACTTTCTAATATAATTTAAACCTTTGTCAGATTCTGTACTCACCGCTAATTAGATGCGTGTGCGCAGGTATCGTGTAAACTGGTGCTCGCTTTCTTATATCCCAAATTTTTGCCTGAGAAATAAACAAAATCTTACTATTATTATATATATGCGAATGTTTAGATGAATGTTTGTTTGAATGTATCTCCAGGACTCCTTAACGGATCTCGAGAAATTCGATATAGATGTAGAACATAGTCTGGAAGAACACATAGGCTACTTATTAAGTTTTATTTTAATCCCCTGCGGACGGAATCGCGGGCGACAGCTATGTCTTATAGAAGGAACACTAATGTTTGTATGTAAGAACGTGCCTGGTGGTCAGCGGCGGCGGTGGCGAGGCGGTGTCCTGCTGGATGCCAGGCAGCGCCCAGCACAGGGCCGAGATGACCCTCCAGGAACATGACGCAGCGTCCAGTGCGCACATCCCACACGCGACCGAACGCGTCCATACCACTGAGAATAACAAAATTTAAAAATAAACTAAATATTGCATAACTATAGACAAATAATATAAAAATCCCGGAAGCTCTAGTATACGTTAATAAATTAGTTTTATATTTTTCTACAATATGGTGAGTTTTTTTTATATTTCTAGTCATACTATAATATAGTAAAATATATAATAAATATTACCCGGTAGCAGCTAACGAGCCATCTCCTTGAAACGCGATACTGTAAACTTGCTTAGCATGTCCTTCTTGATGGAGTACCTCCGTTGCTGTAAGAAAAACCGTTAACAAATATCAAACACAGATGGCGTTGTTATCAATAATTAAGTTTCCTTAAAAAGTCAACAGATGGCGCTAATATTAAAAAAAATTAATTTTAAAACTGTTAGAAATATAACGTTTTTGTGATTAATAAGTTATTTTAAAGACAAATAGAATACAGTTATTGTCTTCATATAGAATATAAGAATCATCTATGTATTACATGACTAGCATTTGCACGCGACTTTGTTCGCATACAATTTAAAAAATCATTAATTAGTACCTTAAATACAATTATACAATCGCATTTATAATATTAGTAAGATTATTAAAATGGTATACAAACCAGTCTCGAGGTCCCAGAGTCTCCAGGAGTTGTCAAAGACAGTGGTGGCGAGGAAGCGGCCAGAGGGATGGAACTCGACGCGCGCCACACGAGCCGGCCCGTGACCCTCCAACGACGCCATCGGACCTTCACTGTATACAAGTATATAGGATTTTTATAAATACAAGAAAACTATTCAAGTACATAAAGAATCCTTGTCTTTTAAAATGTTAAGACTAAAAATTATAAGTTACAAAGATTTTATTAAAATCTAATTATTTTGAGATATCAAACTAATTTCAATTATCATTTGAAACGTATAACATGCAATAAAAACATTTTTTTTTACGGCAAAAGGTGAGAAACGAGCAAACGATTACATGAATTCGCAGAAATGGCGAAGCGACCACTACCCAGACATCCGCAACTGCAGATGCGTTACCTAACCCCGCATGAAACAATGGAGGTGACACACAGAAAAAGGAAATTTCCAATTTTAATACTTCATCTTCTCTGTCAAATACACATCTTCCCATCCTTTTCTTAAAAGAAATGGTTGGAAAAGGGTGTATTTAGCAGAGAAGTGAAGATATGAAGAATAAATATGCTTCTGTGCATCTCCTTCGTCAATTAATGGTAGGCAACGTTTGTAAATTGCAGATTGCCGACACTTCGCCATTTTGGCGAATTTATGTCGCTGACTTGTGTGTCACTTTATAATATAAAATACGAACCCGGCAAAGTTCCACAGATGAACACTACCGTCGTAAGCGCAGGACGCCATTGTACAAACTTCTGATTTTTCATCAGTCTCCATAGACTCCGTGTCTGTGCCATCTTTTGCATTGTTTATCTGTAATTTTTATAAAATATCAGCTGTCGCCCGCGACTCCGTCCGCGTGGATATATAAAATATAATTTAACTCTTTTACAAAATGACGAACAAACAATCAGCCGTTAATTTACAGAATACTTCGACACGACCTATCACCTTGAAAGTCGACGAGCTAATGAGCGCTCTCTGAAGTTGGTTGCCTTATAATAAGATGTCAAAAGCTACGCCATTTTATTTTTTTATGCTTTGATTTATTTTATCCTTCTACATATATATAGTTTATATTAAAACCTTGTGCTGGAAGTGAGTTGGCAGAGCAGCCTGTGGATGGAAGACTGCGCTGCTGACGTTGCAGGTGTGTCCTTTGAGGGTCTGCAGCGGAGTGCACTCCGGCACTGACCACACCTTGATCAGACCTGACCTGGGAACAATTGTTATTTTTACGTCAAATAATTACAAAAAAAATCTATACGTTAAATGTTTTTTATATAAATGGTGTTATCAACAATTTTAAAATGAAACTTTGACAAATATTTTAATATAGATGGCGGTGTAATCAATTTTAATTAAATTTAAAAATAATTACTTTAAATGTAGATGGCGTTATAATCAATAATAAACAATTATTTTTAATTAATGGTGAGTAGTGAGGTGGTGTACTCACCAGCTGGAGGTGATGAGCATCTGACTGTCATCACTAAACCTGCAGAAGCTGATAGGACGACTGTCACCTATCTGAAAAATAACAAAAATATTAACAAGTAGCCTATGTGTTCTTCCAGCGGTATCAGAAGATGTACACATAGAAATGGATTATGCAAACATAAAGAAGTATGAACAAGAAAAATGACAAAAAAAAACGAAAACCTAGCTAATCAAAGTTCTAGAAATAACAGACCTGGCTGCAATATATAGACATAGCGGAGGCCTTCCTCTGTGACTCCTGTTTTGCTGCGGCGCGCACGCTGCCTGGTAGCTTCAGCTCTTCACGGGCCTTTGTTAACCTGGACAGGATAACATTACTTACAACCAGCCTTTGTTTTTGTTACCTTCAAAAACTAGACTTGGCCAAAACCCTCCGTGGTAGATGCCATAGAAAAAAACACGGTTAAAAAAGTAAATTTCAAAATATGGTAAGAAATGTCCGTCTATACTTACCGTTGTTTAGCTCTAGGCAATGAATATCTAGCGATCCACAGCCTCGCATCTCTCAGTTCCGGAGGACCCTCATGATACCAGGTACCTTCCCGTCCTCTGTCTCTCTCTATCCTGGCTTCTTCCTCTTCTAACTTCTTATGTATAGCATCCTCTCCAAGACTGGAATAGTTTGAAATTATAAACTTTAGCTCACGATTATTCTTGTAATTTATGAATTAAAATAAAAAATGTTAAGATTTAACAGTTAAAGTCTTTGTCTGGCTAATGATCAACCTCCGTAAGCAAGAAACTCGGGTAAAAGATAAATATCTACAAGTGAGAAAAGTCATGGGTCCTTGAACTCTCTTTTCCAGCTTTGACTGTATTTCAATGTTCAATTGTTAATTTACATACTTTTCGTAATGGTTAGCAAATAAATTGTTTAAAATTTGGTTAATTATAATAAATTGATTATGGACCCTCAATGGGTCTGGAACTAGTCTGTGCCATCACCAGATGAGCTTACGCGACTTAAGCCGTTCCTAATTCAAATTATATGATAGAATTATAATACACTTAAGTACTAAAATAAAATTTAAACTATTAGGGCTGGAGTTAAAATAGTTGTTTAAATGGAAAATTAGTTAAAATATTCACTTACTAACTAAGCAGATCACGTAGACGGACTCTCCTCTCAGCTGGGCCTTCACCAAACAGGCACACCGGCTCACCAAGTTGTCTCAGACTTCTGCGCACCTGATACACAGAACATTTACTTGGCCATTTTAGTGAAATTTCATTTAATAATCACAACACAATTAGATTCAAAACTTGTCACAACATCCTTACCTCGTCATCATCTGTAGATACATTCAGTTGTCTTGCTTTTCTCCTCCTTTCAAACTCTTCCAGTAGAGCTTTCTTGTCTTTGGACATTTCCTCTTCCAGTTCCATGTATTCTGGAAATTCAAACATACATTAAGTGAAACTATTTGTAAATTATTTACAAAGCTACTATCTAAAGGAAGTAATCTGGTTGAAAATTAACAGATATGATACATAATGAAAGCTTGAACGAAGGATAAATAGTTGAAGTTAATCAAAGTTTACAAAACTTACCACTTGAAATTTGAATATCACCAAGTTCTTTTCCTCCATTGTCTTCGACCCCTTCCCTGACAGCGGCGGCAAGGGCAGCCAGCCGTGCTTTCTCTTGTTCTTCAAGAGATCCATAGTGGACTTGTTTGGTCTTCTTTATCACCACTTCTTCATCATCAGACATATTGAGGTTATGTTTGTTAAGTTTATTAAAACAATAATGAATGAGATATTTGTAAAAAGCTTCTCTTTAGTAGCTTTACAATTAGTTTGGCAGTATTAAATTAGTTAAAAATCAAATAAATCCCTAGTTTGCCGAAACAAGCTAAACAAACCCAACTACTATGCGATACGTTTCAAGCATTTAACATGAAATAAACAAAATATTTTCTACAAAATTAACCGAGGAGTGTCTAGAATAGTTGTTATAAAGATATGTTAAACATTTTTAATTATATGAATAGTGCATTAAACTTAGGTAGAAAATTTTAAATTAAACGGATTTAGGATTAAAATGTGATTGTAGACACTTTTTTAACATTTTGGTAAAAACTTAAATTGGAACGTTGTACAATAGACAAATGCTTAAAACATCGTTACCCATATTACGGGAAATTTTCTTTAAACGGAAATGGACAAAATAATCAATAAAAAATTATAATAACCCATTAAGCACCTAATAAAACATTAATGAATAGAAAATCATTATATAAAATAACTTTAAGTAGAAAAAGGAAAAATTGATCGTAAAAGAAAATTCTTGGAAAGATATTTTTGTGAGGTTTGGGAAATACTTACTTATTGACACAAACACCGAAACTCCTGAAATTGTCTATTATTTACGTCAAACGTAACAAATGTCGCTTATATTTACAAAACATATTTAAAAATACATTATTATTATGAAATGAAGCGAAAGTAATGATACATCTGGCAAAATCGAGTGTCGGAAACCTGTGATTGTGTTATATTTGTGATTTATTGTGATACCTGGAGCATAACCTCAAAATTAACAATTTGATCTTTATATTCGGTGGAGATAATGGCTTTGCAGCTGTCTAGACGTGAAGTGGACGACTTGCGTTCGTCGTTAGATCGTGCAATTTATCGCACAATTGGGAAATCGGATAGTTCGCTTTTGTCAACAGTTGCGTCTTGCCTGACTAATGGGTAACTAATGTTCAGATTTAACTCTTATTGTTATCTGTTTAAAGTTTATATTTCTATGATTCCACTAGGAAGTTGTGTCGTCGCAATTTTTATTCAAAATTCAAATAATTATATGATCTTAACCTTTCACAGCTATGAACGGAGGAAAATCATAGACAAGATATCATCCCACATAGATTCAAAGAAAGCAAGTAAACTAGCAGACAAAGTGTTGGCTTTGGCACAGGAACTAATATCAAGTTCAAAGTCATCTAAGAGAAAATATGAGTCTTCAAGTGACAAGGATAGAGATACAAAGAGGTAATTACTAATTAGTTTACAGTTGAACATAAACATTAAACCTTTTGAATGATATTACTCAAGAAGGGTCCACCCTTAATACCAATTAACATGTTAAACGCTATAGTAGACATAGAAAAAATAATTAAAAAACTTTTTGCTGGAAATAGATGCAGAATGTTCAAAATATTTAGGTTTAGGGTTCAATCAGAATCTGGGTTCTGCAGATGCTATATAATACCTTGAGGTCATAGGTGTACTACATGGCACTTATATGCAGGCAGGGTTCCAATTTTAAATGTTTCTAAATCAATTTTTCAGGTCAAGACATGATGAAAAAGAGATCAAAGAAGAGAAGCGGGAGTCTAAAATTGAGAAGGAGAGACAGGAGAAAGAGGATGAGAAGAATAATGGTAATGGGATGGAATTGCCAATAATTCTACCTGAAGGAGAGACTGTCGGATCCAAGATGGCAGGACTTAGTGCGGATAAGATTAAGGTATTTTATATTATTTTGTATTAAACTTATTATCATTTAGAAACAAAACATTTTAAGAATAAGAAAATTACAATTAAATAATTGAATAGTACATATTACTTATCTTACAAATAATATAAATGTGAATGTTTGGATGAATGGATGAATAGATGTTGGTTACTATCTCTCTCCAGATCAGCTACATGGATAACTAAAACTTGGCATAAATGTAGAACATAGTCTTGAAGAACACATAGGCTATTATTTTTTTTTCGATGCATATAGAGTTGTGGGCGATAGCTTATATTAATAACATTTCTTTGTATTCCAGTTGATGATGGCGAACGCACAGAAGGAGATAGAGGAGCGCAAGCGAGCTTTGTTAGCGATGAAGGGTGAACAGAGGCCGAGTGTGAACGCAGCGGTGGCAGCGGCCCAGCAACTAAAAGTACAGATGCAGCAGAATAATGCCATACCACCGCCAAGTGTTATCAAGCCTGTGCTTTATTCAAAGCCATGTGAGTTTTGTTTTTTACACAAAAGGCGTCAAGTGGAAATTGAAAATATAAAATATTGTTACTTAGACCAAATGATTCTAATAAAAAATCTCGAATGGTGCTTATGAAGCGCTCCTGTTAACGTCAAGTGTCAAATTCTATTAGTGAGGGGATACAAGTGTCGACATCTCAATAAGACTAGTGTTGTGCTGACCGGCACAGTGATTAATTTTGTTTCTAACATTTTACAGTCTAATGAGTGTTCCGGAGGATTCATTTTAGTCATTTTCCTTCTTTTTTTTTATAAAGAAATGATGGGAATGGGTAGTGGATTGGCAATGGGAAGCATAAGAATCTTTTTTCTGTTAATTCCCTCCTCTTTCATTTGAGGTAGCTATGCATCAGCAGTTTCAGATCTCTATGGGTAGTGATCGCTTCGCTATTTCGTCGAATTCAAACTTGCACGTCTGTCAACTTGTCATTTAATTTTTTTTTATTACACTAATTTTTATATTTTTTTTAATGTGTTTTTTTTTGTTTCTTTAAGCAAAAAGTATTGATTTTGTGATTTTTCTACCAATAGTTGGTGTGATTCTTATATATTACAATACTAGCATTTGCCAGCGGTTACGTTTGCGTGTAATTAAATGAAAACATAGTGCAGACAGTATAGTATGTTGTCAGGTTTTTGTGTTTTTTGACGTATTATGATTTGTATTACAGCTGTAGCGCATTTGAGTCAAGAGGAGTTGGAGAAGCAGAGGAAGATAGCTGAACTGCAGGCGAGGATACAGAGGAAGTTGGCAGGTGAAGCATATTTAAACTTTGAACAAAGCTAGTAATTAAACCATTAGCCGTGGGTTTTTGAGAGAAAAATCTCTGTATATAAAATATCGTCATTTCTGTCATTGTCTTTGACAAAATAGAGATAGCAGTTTTACAATCTATTAAACAATCTTACTAATAAAGAAGTTTGATAATGAAGATTTAAGTTAGCTGTTTGACTATAATTGTAGGTGGAGCGCTGGCTGCAGCAGGTAACACGGGTCCTGCACCCCTCATACTGGACAGAGAGGGTCGCACTGTGGACACCAGCGGGAAGAGAGTCCAGCTCACACATGTCGCGCCCACGCTCAAGGTAAACTTGATCCTTACATTTATTGTCTAATTTCTTACAACAGCTGTAAGGAAACGTTATTGTTATTATTCTGGAATTTTTTTTTCCTGTAGTCTTCCTGAAACCTTATAATGGCCTTAGTTCTAACGCCATGGGCTAGATTTCTACTGGATTTTATTTTTTTGACCATGCTCCCCTCCCTAAAGGAGCGGCCGCATGAATTCGTCAAAATAGCGAAACGATCATTGCCAACAGACAACCGTAAATGCATGTACCTTGCCAAAATTTAATCGATGGAAGAGGAGATATCTCTTTCATCAAGTCTCCCCTTCCCATTAGTTCCTTATAAGAAAATTAGAAGGGAAAGGAGACTAAATGCCCTGGGCGATCCAACCTCGTCGTAGAAAAAAATCTTAAAAATAATACGTTGAAGGCGAACATCCGTGCACTACGTCGCGAGGAGTTCAAGGCTCAGCTGTGGAGCGGGTCAGCGTCCAGCGTGCCGGCAGCCAGCGCGCCCTGGTACGACGACCGCGTCGACACCAAGCCCGCTGTGCGCACTCGACGTGCTCTGCGCTTCAACGAGCCCGGCAAGTTCCGACATCTCGCTGACAGGCTCCGCATGAAGGTACACCAACACACGAACACACGAACCAACTACATCGCCTTGACTCCTATTTAAGCAGCCAAATTCCCTTTCTACTGAATCTTAAAAAAAAATTAAAAACACATAAGTACATGACGGAATTTGAACCCAGGATCTGCAGATTCCATGCTTGAACCTTTAGCTATCAACACTCTCACTTAGCTTAAACAAAATACATCTTACAGTATTTATATCCCTGCTCAAAGGACCAATATATAAAATTAACGTAGTATTCAACATTGAACCTTATAACTTAACGCATAAGGTCTATTTTAGGCACAACTGGAGAAGCTGCAGAATGAGATAAGTCAGATCGCACGCAAGACTGGCATTTCTTCAGCCACGAAGCTTGCCCTACTCGCCGCGGACACGCCCGACTCTGACCGTCTGCCAGACATTGAGTGGTCAGTGACTACATCATCAGCTCACTATACATCCCCATTGAGGGACTCGCAGCCTACCCTAAGTTAAGGGTGATTAGGCCATAGTCAACCACGCTGGCCAAGTGCAGTGACTTCACACATATCTTTGACTTTCTCAGATATTTGCAGCATCACCATGTTTTCCTTCACCGTAACCTCGGATTAATGTACATATGTAAATCGGAAATGGAAAAACACATTGGTACATGTCAGGATTCGAACCCAGGACCTGCAGATTGCAAGTCAAGTAACCCCTGAGCCACCGACGCTCAATCGTGTGCATATCTTACTAATATTATAAATGCCAATGTTTGTGTGTTTGTTACTATATATCTCCAAAACAGCAAGGATCTTGATGAAATTTAGTATAAGGAGATATGGTGGGTTTCCGAGATTAAAATTTCTGTATAACATCATCAGTCCTGTCGTTATATTTAACAAAACAGATATAACATTTTCTTTAATGAATTTCTATTTTATGTTTCGGAAACCCACGATTAGTCTGGAAGAACACATAGGCTACTTATTAAGCTTTGATTTCCGCTACGACTGAAATATCAGGCGAAAGTATTATACGATATTCTAGACATATTACACTTCAAAATGTCTACATTCTAGACATTCTATTTTGTATACATACCTGGATAAGCAAGAAGGCTTTTTTTTCTCCCATCGTACTTTCTCGCTTACCTTGGTCCTTCGGAACCGGACAAGGATTCTTGATTCTAGAAGATTCTCGCTTATCCAATACTTGTATTAAAAAAGGGATTGTTTGGATGGATGGATGGATGTATGTTAGAAGATATCATCAGAACAGCTGCATAGATCTCGCTGAAATTTGTCATAAATAGAACATAATCGAATAGAACACATAAGTGACTTATTAAGGTGTTTTTTATAATTAAGCACAGACGGAATCGCGGGCGACAGCTAGTATCTTTTAAGATATTGAAAAATACTCAATCTACTATCTATTTTAAGGTGGGACAGCGTAATCCTGATGACTCCAGAAGAGAGAGAAGAGAAGAGAAAGAGAAGTGCGCCGACAGGAGACAGCAGGACTGACATACAGAGAGTGGACGCATGTAATGTGGGAGATGATGATATTGTAGAGAATCTGAATGAAGATGCCATCACCAACCTTGTTGAACATCCGCAGCAGTTGAGACCGCCCAGTAAGTTGACTTTTTTATTAAAAATATTGTAAAAAAAAGAAATAAGTTGTTTATGATCTTATATATAAAAGAACGGCTTTACCGATATGCCTGAAATAAGTGAGGAGGTAGCTGAGAGCCAGGAGACGGACATAGGATACTATTTATTCATTTTTTATTCGCATTTCGCTACTAATCTTTTATTTAATTTCTATTTAGAAATAAAATAAGAATATAATATTAATTTACTTTATTTGGATCAACACATAAAAATCCTATTCTTTTAAAAAATGATGGACAACCCATAGACGCACACAAAAAACAGCTTTCCAAAATAACAGGTGCTGATGTACTGGAAGTTGTTTCTGGAACATTCTCCGTTGATGTAACCGTTACGCTATTTATCGAGTTATTTTCGTAACTGTTAACGTTATATCCGTTATTTTGGTTTTTCTTGTAGTTGTTTGTTGGATTGGTTTGTAAGTTTGGATTATTGGGTTGGTATGGATAGTATCCATATGGATTGAAATGCAATCCATTGTGTGATGTAATTGGGTTAGTATTGTATGGATTTTTATTATTATTTATTGGATAACCATTGTTGTTATTATTTCTGTATCCAGTATTTTGGTTCTGATTAGGTATATTTGATTGTTCATTATTTAATCTGTAAGGATTGTTAATAGGTTGATAACTAGGGTTGTTAACTGGTTTATAATAATAGTTATTTCTGTTATTCTGTTGGTTATAACCGTTATTGTAACTAGTTGGAAAATAACTGTTTTCGGTTATTCTGTTGGCGCCAAAATTATTTATATTTGGTTGGTTTTGATATTGGATTGTTCTATTATTTTTGTTATAATAAAGTAAATTGTTGTGATGACTCGAATTAAATATGTTTTGGAAATATCCATTTCTGTTTGGGTCATTTTGGTTAATTCTTCCATATGTTACGTTTCTCTTATTACGATTGAATTGTGATTTTGTTTTTTTTTCAAACGGCCAAAGATATTTTCGTTCCCGCACTTTTTTATCATATTTTTCTAATATTTGTTTTACAATTGAGTCTTGTAAAGTATTATTATTAATAATTTTTGTTTCTTTTATACGATTTGATGAATCTTCATTGTTTTTTTCTTCCAAATCGTCGTTATTTTTGACAAAATTTTCATTTATCGAAGATTTCATTCTGTCATTAATTTGTTTAGTTCTTTCGTTCAATTCATTAGCTGATAAAGTGAACGATATTCCTTCTTTTTTCTTTAATAGTTTTTCATTCGTTGAACTATAAAATAATTCGATGGATGGTTTAATATAAATCTTATTTTCTTTTTCATCTTCATTCATTTTTGATGCGAAATTATCTTTATATAAGTTAGTTTGTTGGTTTTGATTAAATTTCTCGTAATTTTTCTTACTAAATATTAAATCTAATAGTAAGTCGATATCTTCATTGATTTCCTCATCTTCACCGTTTACTTGTAAGTCTTTGTTATTATTTACGTATTTTCCTTCATCATTATTTACAATTTCTTGTAACTTTTGTAAGCTTTTCCTTTTATTTTTATCCAATCGTGCTGTATTTTTGTTATTTTTCTCTGTTGTAGTGTTTTTATTTGTGAATTTAACTAAGTTACTTACAGTTTTTGTTTGTTTTTGATGATTCCAATTATTTTCTTTTTTATTTAACTTGTCTTCCTCTATTGAAATATTTATATGTAGTTTTTTTAATTCATCGATTTTTAAAGTTCCATTTTTGTATATATCCTCTTTTGTTACTACGTTTTCATTTGGTTTTTTATTTTCTTCGTTTTTAATTTGTACATGTCTTTTTACTCGTATATCCAATGGATGGTTTTTAATATTGTAATTATTTATTTTTCCACTTATTGTAACTATGGCCGCGATAATATATAATTCGAGTAACATTATGTTTAACTTTATTGTATGAATGTTATTCGCGTACTGTAAATTGAATGCGGTTAGGTTTATCATATATGTTGTGAAACTAGTTGCTTCACTCGTTTGTACTTGTTTAATTAAAAAAAAGTAGATGATGTGTTCTTTCAGATTATGATCTATGATTAAAAAGGAATAAATTTCATGCGTATTTTTTGAGTAATTTACTATTATAGAAAATAGTTGCTAAAAATAAATAGTTGAATTCTAAAAAAAAAACAAATATTATTCTTAAGAAAATGAAAAGATTAAAGATCTTTTTAAAATAAACAAGTTGCATTCTAAAAATAAAAAAAAACTGAGCGACGGACCACGTCCGCGTAATAATACCAGTACCACTCATCCTGATGAAGGGCCCCCGATGTGCTCGAAACTAGTCGGTGCCGACACCGGACGTATATACGTCAGTGTTTAGCCGTTTTTTATATCAATTTAAAAAATAAAATGTTATTTTTCTTTAGAAATAAATGTTATTTTTATATCTTTGGTTAGAATGCAAATAGTTTTTTTTTTTAAATATAATGTATTGTTCGATTTTGATTTGTGAAGTAATACAAACAGACTGTATGATAAATGTTTTATATTAGTATTGATGAAGATGACAGCATTTCCGTCTCGTTATCATTCGTGGAAACGCGTATTTACTTGTACTGATCGTAGTTCCACGAAATTGGTTAAATTTGAATCATAAAATGTTCAGAAATAATTGTAAATAACATAATTTATAATTTTTAAGTAAAATCATATTAAAGTTACATCTTACTAATATTATAAATGCGAATGTTTAGATGAATGTATGTCTGAAGGTATCTTCAGGCTCAACGGAACTTAATGAAATAGAATAATATATAAGAATAAAATAGATGTAGAATATAGTCTGGAAGACAAAAGGCTACTTATTAAGTTTTTTTTTAATTTTGCGCTAACAGAATCGCGGGCAACACTTAGTTTGGCATATGGATTGTAGTCTAGAATAACATATAGCTTACGATTTTTTTATAATTTCGCGTAGACCGAGTCTCGGATAATAAATATTTCATCTTTTCATCAGCTATACATCCCCACCGAGGGGCTCAGAGCCTTCCCTAAGTTAAGGGTGATTAGGTCATAGTCAGCCACGCTGGCCAAGTGCAGTGACTTCACACATATCTTTGAATTTCTTCTCAGATATGTGCAGCATCACGATGTTTTCCTTCACCATAACGTCGGATAAATGTACATATGTAAATCGGAAATGGAAAAACACATCGGTACATGGCGGGTTTCGAACCCAGTATCTGCAGATTGCAAGTGCTTAAACCCCTGAACCATCAGTACAATTGTGTAACAAAATATAATCAAAGTCGTTTCAAGGACAATATTTTTTACATTTTAAATCTCGTTTATCTTAAACAATATCCTGTTCACTTTAATACGCATATTGATAACTAGCTGTCGACCGTGACTCTGTCTGCGCGGGATTAAAAAATACTTAATTAGTATCCTAAGTGTTCTTCCAGACTATGTTCTATATGTATGACAAATTTCATCGAGATTCGTTCAGCTGTTCTGAAGATACCTTTAACTAACATCTAAACATTCGCATTTATAATATTAGTAAGATTGACTACCATTTTGTTTTTACATTTTTAATACATTAATGTATATATCACATATGAAACAAATAGTCTCTTCCTTTCCACCCTCTCCTGATAAGCAAAGGATAGGGAAGAGAAATGGATTGATTTAATTAGGGGAAACATGTTGTCATCTATGTTTAGTCAAAGATAATGACAGGGATGACAATATGTTTTATATCTAGATTTTGGTCTCATGCACCAAAAGTAGACTGTATTTTTTAAATGACATCAAAAAGGAGGAGGTTCATAATTCGTCTGTATATTTTGGTAACTACGAAATAGGTTGTCCGATTTTCAAAATTCTTTTTTATATTTAAATGATGTTGCGTGTCATTTGGTCCCATTTTTTTTAATTATTTAAGTTTTTATTTTATTTCTTAGCGGAGCCATTAAAGCCGACGTATATGCCGGTCTTCCTCACAAAGAAGGAGAGGAAGAAGTTAAGAAGACAGAGCAGACGTGAAGCTTGGAAGGAGGAGCAGGAGAAGGTCAGATTAGGTCTGGAAGCACCACCGGAACCTAAACTCAGGTAAGTCTTACTAATATAAATGCGAATGTTTAGATGGATGTTTGTTTGAAGGTAACTCCAGAACGGCTGCATGGGTCTTGATGAAATTTGACATAGAACATAGTCTGGAAGAACTCATCGACTATTAAGTTTTTTTTTAAATCCACGCGGATAAAGTCGCGGTCGACAGCTAGTTTTATATAGCTGTGAGAAAAATGACAAATTTTAAAATCAACTTTCGATCAGACGTCAAATTCTTTTGGAATAATTCATCTATTTAACTTCTTACTAATATTAAAAATGCGAAACTCTGGATATTTGTTTGAAGATGTCTCCGGAACAGATCAACGGATCTTGATGAAATTTAGCACAGATGTAGAACATACCCTGGCAGAACACATAGGCTACTAATCAAGTTTTTTTTTATTTCACGCGGATGGAGTATGGGCGTCTTATAGGATATATATATTTGTGTATAGGATATCGAATCTAATGCGTGCTTTGGGTACGGAGGCTGTACAAGATCCGACCGCCATTGAGGCGAAGGTGCGGGAACAGATCGCCAAGCGACAGAAGACGCACCAGGATGCAAACAAGGCGAGGGCACTCACAAAGGAACAGAAGAGGGAAAAGGTAGGATGTTTCTTAATGGTTTTATTCTAATCTAGCTTTAGTCAGCTACTTTGTCAGCTTGGAATTAAAAACATGCCTGCATACATCAGCTATCTTCCAGTCAAAGTTTCGTCAAAATCGATCTAGACATTCTGAAGATTATCAGGAACAAACACAAGCTTGCAGACAGGCAGACAGACTTTTAAATTTGTTTTTTTTCGTTATTAGCAACGCAAATATATAACGTGTAAGAAATATTATATTTTTCTTTAAGGTAACATACAGATACTCCAGTTTTATTAAGTGGAGCCAGTTTTATTAGTTGGAACCCGCGACTTTGTCTTCGTAGTATTAAAAATAAAAAAAAACTAAGTCATTTCAAAACAATTTTGATACTGTTAATTATTGTCTTTCTGTATGTCTGTCAGCAAGTTTGAGTTAGTTTCGTGTAGTCACCGCAACACCTGGATTTTGACAGAACTTTGTCTGGAAGGTAGCTGATAGGTAGACCATGTATAGGCTACTTTTTGAATACAGGCGAAGTCGCAGGCGACAGCTTTTTATTATATGGTGGCAAACGAGCGAGCGGCCACCTGAAATCGCTGATATAGGGAAGTGACCGTTGCCCATAGACATACGCAATTGCATATGCGTTGTCTAACTTTGATCGACGGAGGAGAGGATGCACAGAAAGAAAATATTTTCCCTTTCCATGCATCCTCTCATCCGGAAAGTCCACTTCCACTTCTCATCCTTTCCTTATAAAAAAGGGTAGGAAGGGAAAAAGGACTAAATTAGACCTCCGGGACGCACACTCATCATCGTGTAGTTGGAATAGCTTCCACTTGAGGCGTGTCTTTTGTGTGTTCGTGGTATATCACCGGGCGAGTCTGGACATTTCGTGCGAACATGTTAAAGTTCGCTCTACCACTGTTAAAAGTTAGTTAATTTAAAATTTTCTTTTTATTAACGTGTTTTAATTAAGTCTTATTTGGTTACAGATTGACAGGAAGATAAGGGAAGATACATCACTAGGTGTCCACGTGGCTGTTTATAGGTGAGACATTATTCCATTGTTACTTTTGTCCCTTCCCTTCCCACCCGTTCCCTACTAAGGATCTTTCCTTGAGGAACTGGAAGGGAAGGAGACGTATAGAAATGGGGGGCTGTCATCTTTTTGTCCATACCACGAGCACACAGAAGACACGCCTCGAGTGAAAGTTACAACTGCTGTCTGCAGTCTGATGAGTGTGCGTCCCGGAGGACTTATTTTACTCCTCTTTCCCTTCCAACCCATTTCTTATAAGGAAATTATGGGAAAGCTATTTGATGTAGGAGACGTATAGGAAGGGGAAATATTATCTTTCCGTGCGTCACTTTCTTAGTTAATTAAAAGTAGGTACTTCATCTATAAATGCTGATGTCTATGGGCAACAGTAATTTCGCCGTTTTAGCGAAATCAACTAGCAATTAAGTGTGTTCATTATTGTTTAAATAATGTTTGTGAGTATTGTATTGTTTCAGAGTGAAGGATCTGTTTGAATGCGCCTCAGCTAAGTTCAAAGTGGAAGTGAACGCGAAGCAGCTTCACATGACGGGGTGCGTGCTGCTGCACCGCGGCTGCTGTCTCGTTGTCGTGGAGGGGGGACCTAAACAACATGATAAATATAAAAGGTACAATCACACAACACACACACACACGTAGAGCGAGAGAGAGAGAGAGAGAGACAGCGAGAGTAGGGGTTCAAGGTCGAGAGAGAGTTCAAAGGATTGCTTTTTCGCTTATAAAGGTTTCTTTCTGACTTAGAAAGAATCTCTGTCGTGACTAGATAACTCTACTTTGGCTGAAATATTGTTTGATAAGTAACTTAACTTTGGGTAGGCTCCGAGCCTGAGGTGGGGACGTATAGTGAGCTGATGATGAAGTAAAAACCTGACTAATTAACCATAATAATATGAATCCAATGACACCTTACTCGTCAAAATCGGTTTAATAGTAAAAACACTGAGTAACAAAGGATTTTTGAGAGCAATATCTCAGTTTAAAACATATCGTTAACTCTTTTTTTTTCAAAAATAACGACAATGATGACGATATGTTTTATATCTAGATTTCTCTATCAAACACCAACGGTCAATCATTTAAAAAGAACTAAAATATTCAAATTTCTGTATATTTTGCGTGGTCATAAACAATTTTTCAGTTTTTATTTTTTATTTTTGTTGATCAGGCTGATGCTGCATCGTATAAAATGGGAGGAGGATATAGTGAAGGACGCGGAGGGCGCGGAGGTGCCGAACGCGTGTCATCTTGTGTGGGAGGGTGTCAC